GGAACTGGGCCTCACCCCAGTGTTACCCACACATCACGACGGATACAATCAATTTACTCAAGCAACACGATGAAGATTATATTGTAGAGCAATTGAATGTGATCAAAGACTTCGCATCCCTCCCCCCATCTCATCAACGCAAACTCTCGTTACAATGCCAATTATCCACCATCGACGATCACCAAACGCATGTCATACCAGTTTTGATAGATTCAGGATGCACAGATTCTATCATTGACGAAGCCTTTGTTCGGCAACACAACATTTCCACAAAACCACTGCCAACTTGTGTTGTTGTCTCAAACGCCGATGGAACCAAGAATCGCACTGGACCTCTGACAGAATACGTGACACTTCGCCTAACTGTAGCGGGTCGCACAGAATTAATGGACTTCCTGGTTACTGGACAGAGAGAGGCCAGAATTTTATTAGGACACGACTGGCTAAGATGCACGAACCCCAACATCAACTGGCAAACAAACACCATCACGTACCCTTCTGATGATACGGAGTATCACCCTGAAGACGGAGATAGAGTCATCGCTGTAGACTTACAGAGCAGGATTGACAAAATTTCCGTTGAAAGCAACGTATCTCAGACCAAAAGCCAACAGATTGCGGAAGAATCAGAACGAGCAAAGTCAACACTCACGTTCAGAGACGTCGTTCCCCCGTTTTATCATCATTTTGAGCCAGTATTCACAAAAGCGTCATTTGACAAACTACCCCCACGACGAGTCTGGGACCACGCAATTGAACTCCTACCAGAAGCCAAAGGTCTAGACTGTAAAACGTATCCACTTAACCGAGACGAACAAGTACATCTTGACGAATTCTTGAAAGAAAACCTGGAGACATGGGAGGATTAGAGTGTCAAAATCCCCTTATGCATCCCCATTCTTCTTTATCAAGAAAAAGGATGGATCTCTCAGACCGGTACAAGACTATCGGAAACTCGATGCTCTCACGATCAAAAACCGATATACGTTACCCCTCATTTCAGAATTGATAAACCGGCTCAAGGGTGCTAGATTCTTCACCAAGCTGGATGTCCGTTGGGGATATAATAATGTTCGAATCAAAGAAGGAGATGAGCACAAGGCCGCCTTCAGAACTAACAGAGGACTGTTTGAACCTCTGGTTATGTTCTTCGGACTCACGAACTCCCCAGCCACCTTTCAGACAATGATGGACCGACTTCTCCGAGACCTAATCAATGAAGGATCTGTTATCGTATACCTCGACGACATCATGATATTCACCGACTCGTTAGAAGAACATAGGAAGATCGTATCCAAAGTTCTTCAGATACTCGCAGACAATCAGTTATATCTCAAGCCAGAGAAATGCGAGTTCGAGGAGAAAGAGGTCGAATATCTAGGAATGATCATCTCCCACAATACGATTCGCATGGACCCGCTAAAGGTACAAGCAGTCGCAGAATGGCCGACACCACGCACAAAGAAGGAGTTACAGTCGTTCCTAGGATTCTCGAACTTTTACAGACGATTTATCAAGGACTATGGAAAAATTGCCAAACCACTGACGATTCTCACCGGAAAGGCAGATTGGGAATGGGCTGAAGACCAACAACAAGCATTTGATGTTCTCAAAAAGACAATCACCACTTCGCCCACACTCGCAATCCCTAACGACGAAGATCCATTCAAAGTTGAATGTGACGCCTCCAACTACGCCACAGGAGCGGTGTTATCCCAGCAGCAAGAAGGGAAATGGAGACCGGTCGCATTCCTGTCAAAATCGATGAACCCTGCAGAGAGAAATTACGCTATCTGGGATAAAGAGATGTTAGCGGTAATGCATGTGTTAGAAGAATGGCGACACCTCCTCATGGGAGCTAAACACCAGTTCACCATATTCACCGACCATCAGAACCTCACCTACTTCCGAGACCCCCAGAAAGTAAACAGATGACAAGCTAGGTGGATGGACACGCTAGCGAGATACAATTTCAAGTTAGAGCATGTGAAAGGCTCAGCAAACACGAAAGCGGACCTACTTAGTCGAAGAGTAGACCATCTGAGAGGCGAGAGAGACAATGAAGGACAGGTCCTTCTACCTCAGCTCGCGGAAGCAAACATTTATACTATGGAGGACGTGTTAGAAGAACACTACCTGGACGAGCTGCTAGCTTCGCAGCACAAACTAGATGATTACATTGTAAAGAAGTTGAAAGACGATCCAAAGATTTGGAAGAAACGAGACGGAATCATCTGGATAGGAAACGAGAAAGAAGACGAATTGACGTTAGGGTCATTCAAAAACAACATCTACGTACCCAAAGACCCAAAGTTGAGGGCACGTATTATCGAAATAGAACACGACACTAGCCTCAGTGGACATCCTGGCGAAAGGAAGACGTACGAAGGAGTAAACCGATCTTTCTGGTGGCCTAGCCTCAGAAGAGATGTTAGGAAATATGTCGCAGGATGTGAGATATGTCAGAGGACGAAGTCGCATCGCCAAAAGCCGCATGCTCCCCTCCATCCCAACCCAATCCCGGATCGCCCTTGGCAGATAATCACGACGGATCTTATCGGAGCGCTGCCAGAATCAAACGGATACGATGTGATCCAAGTTTTTGTTGACAGATTCTCAAAAATGGCTCACTTCGTACCCACACATGTCACGCTCGACTCACTAGGCTACACCAAACAGCTACGAGATTCAGTCATACGGTTACACGGAATCCCAGAAAAAATCATATCCGACAGAGGACCTCAATTCATGTCGAATTTCACCAAAGACTTCTACCAATCTCTCAGGATTGAGCCTGGTCTATCAACGGGTTACCACCCTCAAACTGACGGCCAATCTGAACGAATAAACCAGGACCTGGAACATTACCTACGCACGTTCATCAACCACCGACAGGACGACTGGGCCGATTGGTTAGCAATCGCGGAATTTACATACAACAATCACCTCCACTCCGCAACCAATCAGACCCCCTTCTTCGTAAATTATGGTTCTCACCCTCGTAAAGGGACCGGTCAGAAGCCTTCCGGGCGCTCGCAAGCTGCCGAAGATTTTGCAACCTCTATGACGAAATTACACGAGCAAACTCGGCAATCATTATTGCTTGCTAATCAAAACCTCAAGAAGTACTATGACCGGAAACGCACGGAAGCACGGGAATATCACAAAGGGGATAAAGTGTGGTTGGAAGGTACTCATATTTCCACTGATTGGCCGATGAAGAAGTTAGACGACAAGTGATTTGGCCCGTTTACGGTAAAGGCAAAAGTCGGCCCATCCGCTTATCTTCTTGACGTCCCTAGATCCTGGAAAGTGATCCACCCCGTATTCAACGAAGTCCTCTTATCACCGTATCACACGCCGGAGTTCCCTAATCAACCTCGTACCTCAAAACCTCCGCCGATCCAAGTCGATGGCGCAGTCAAATACGAAGCCGAAGAAATCATCGCTTCTCGACCCACTAAACTCAAAGGGAGCAAGCTTGATTACTTCGTCCATTGGAAGGGATACCCGATCACGGAAAGGACGTGGGAACCCGATCACCACTTGAAAAATTCCCCCTCGCTTATTGCCACCTTCCACCACAAACACCCTGCCGCCCCGCGCGTCATCAACTCCGCCGCCTTACAATTTCGCCCTTACGAAAATTTCACTACTACAACCAAAAAACCCCGCCTCTTTGACTGGATCACAAACCGCTTCACGGACTGTGGCGCTAAGATTCTTGGGACAAGAATATAAAAGGGGGGGGTAATGTAAGGACCATTTCATTATTTTCTTATCTTCGCTATGTCTTGGTTCTCGAACGCTTTTCCCATTACGCCTCTGGCTTTAGGGCTAGAGGTATCATTTGCCATTCTACTTCTCATAGCCCTCACAGGCTTTCTTAACCATCGCTACCATTTTATATCACAGATCAGAGACTGGGTATCGCTCCCAGCCAGCCAGCACACTGGGTAGGGACTGGTAGTAGGCATCTCACCAACCAGCTCCAAGCCCCAGTAAAGCCTGGTTATACTAATAACACCTTAGTTAGGATCGTACCTCATCATGAGGATACGGTTCCTGAACACGCGTGACAATCCTCTATTATTAGTACAAGTCTCTCACCTGCTGATTAATCAAGTCAAAAGTTGTACAATAGTTACTCTCCCTTTTTCTTATTGGTTGATTAATTCCTCAGACCACTTTTCGTATATTCTCCTTTCGGTCTGAGGAACGGACAGTTCACTATATAAAGCCTTACCTATTCATGTATGGCTCCTTAGTTTTCTATTACTGAATTTACCCGCTTTACTCCTCAACAAGAACCTTTGAAGCTTACCTCTCAAAGTCCTCTACTCGCTATATTTACTAGCGTCTGTCGACCTCAAGCTCATTGAACCTCTTACTCCCTGCAAGTGCAGAAGGAGACAGGTTTCGTTTTTGTTATAGTTTATCGTTGCCTCACACCTTCACCCCACTCTCCCACTTTCCCCTCAGCACAATCGGCGGTGTACCCGCATGCATACACCCCCCAGCTCCTCCCCCAAATTACTCAGCAATACTCCTCCTCATACATGTCCTCCCATGCGCCCCCCCTGAGTTCTTACACTTTGCCAGGTCCAAACGACAAGCCCGGTACCATTTATTACAGTCCAAATGATCCTCAAGGTTACATGTGGTTATAAATTTGTATATAGTCCTCCATCAATACATGTGCTTTTCTCAAATTTTGTGTGATAAAAAGTTGATATATTCTACTACAATTTTCTACTACAATTCCTACTACTATCGAGCTGGGGACTTTGGCGAATTTTCTGCTCTTGATAGTGCCGAGCGGGATTTTAACGCGGCTTCTGTGACCTCTCTGTTACTTTTGTGACGTCCGAATAGCCCCCCCATCCGAACTGACGGTTAACGACAGTACAAAGCTGGCGGTCATGCGTTTTCCACGCGAGAAACATGCGAGCATTGCCGAGCTAAACGGCACTCGTTCTAGTTTTAGTTTTCTAGTTCTCGCTCTCGCGTGGATGTTACTTTACTTGAAATTTCGTCCAAGAGCCTCGCTGCTTCCTGATCTCACCAAAACAGGGGCCAAGCGAATTTCAGTCTCACTTCCACGACCATACACGTCTAAAAGTCTCGAAAACCAGGATGCTAAGTCGTATTATATCACCACACCCATCTTTTATCCAAATGCAGGTAGGCTGGTTGCGTCTGTGCCTCTACCTCCTCACCAGAAACTTACTCTCATACCCCCAAATACAGTTCCTCACATAGGACACTTGTACTCTCTTGTCGCCGGAGACATCTTGGCGCGTTTCGCCAGGCTCTCAGATCCAAATAGACCCGTATCATTCCTCGCAGGCACAGACGAACATGGCCTCAAGATACAGAAAGCAGCCAAAGACCAAGGACTCGAGCCCAAAGTTTTGTGTGATAAACTGAGTCAGCAGTTTCGTGTGTGTTGGTGTCGTGGTTCCTGTCTCAACTTTTAATCCTGACACTGGCATAATGCATCAGAATTTGGCGGCTAGAGCCAATGTCAGCAATACAATATTCCTGCGCACGACAGAGGACGCGCACCACAAAGCCGTGGAAGACATCTGGGTATGCAGCTCACTATAATTCGATAATCATATGTTTTAACCGCACAACTATAGCATCGACTAAACACAAAAGGACTAATCTACAAAGGAAGCTACGAGGGGTGGTATTCCGTCTCTGATGAATGTTTCTATACAGACACCCAAGTGACCAAATCATCTATCCCCGGTGGTGATGTGATGGTGTCAATAGAGACGGGTTCCGTAGTCGAGTGGTCAGCAGAAGAGAACTACAAGTTCCGCTTGTCCGCATTCCGCGATTCGCTCCTCGCGCATTATGTCGCCAACAAAGATGCCATATTTCCTCCCTCATACCATGCTCGTATCATCGACTCTTTGTCTTCTGAGCCATTGGAGGACCTGTCGATATCTCGTCCGCGCTCTCGTTTGTCTTGGGGCATTCCCGTACCGGGTGACCCAGGGCACACGATATATGTATGGTTTGATGCATTGACAGTGTATCTCACTGGTCTGGGATACCCTTGGAAGACTGCAGGAATCAATGGTCATGCAGAAGGATGGCCACCAAATGTCCAAGTCATCGGAAAAGATATCTTAAGGTACTCCTTTATCTTATGCAGTCGCTTGCCCTACTTACATCATGCCTCCAAGGTTTCATGCTATCTATTTCCCAGCCATGCTCCAAGCGCTGAACCTGCCTCTCTCTCGGACACTACTGTCTCATGCCCATTGGACTGTGCAGCAAAGAAAGATGTCGAAATCTGTGGGGAATGTTGCTGATCCATTTGAAGCTATGGATACTTTTGGAGTTGATGTTGTTCGGTTTTACCTCGCTCGAGTGGGCGGTCGTTTCAGAGACGACGTTGGTAAGATGCCTTTTTCCTTGTCCAAGCGTGAGCTCTAACTTCTAACCTCTGGAACTGCAAAGATTGGTCACACGATCAACTAGAAAAGCACGGCGAAGAGATTCGAAGTCTCCTGGGTAATTTCTTCCTCAGAATCACATCGAAGGCAATCCAATCGCGCATAGCTTCTGCGTCTCCTCTCTCCGTGCATCAACTCACCACTCAAACATATTCAGGCGAAGATTTACTCAAAACCGGTAACATTGGGGTGCTTACTTCTTTGCGAGAGCTTGGACCTACCGTCAGGAAGAACATTGGTCTCCTAGAAGTAGGTGACGCTCTCGATGCCATCATACTCTGTTTGAAGCAAGTGCGTAATCACTACGTTAGCCAATGAGGAATTATTTGACATTTAGTATGTATAGGCTAACGCTGCCATGACTCACATTGGGCCATGGGCACGAGAACCAGAAGTCGCCCAGGCGTCGTACGTGACATCTATGGAGACACTACGGCTATGTGCAATATGCTTGCAGCCTTTTATCCCTTCGACAGCAGGGAGATTGTTAGAAGCGCTTGGTGTTCCATTGCACGAGCGTACACTTCAGTTTGCAGAATTAGGTGCTGGAAAGGTTGGTGAAGGGGTGAAGGGCGTCAAGCTCTTCCCCCCAGCTCATGCGAAGAAGATAGATATATGACCTTCGTCGGTCGCTGCTATCTGACAAATGGAAATTCTTAGTGGAAAAGGTATAATGGTAATAAAGCAGGTCGACGAAGATTGATAGAGTACCTCTACTCACATTATAATGATGAATATAAGAAGGTTGTCAGTGAAGCTAGTGAAGCGTTGGTGCCAGCAGCCAAGTGTCAAACATAGTTACCAAATGGAGCGTGACCCGAGGTAAATCTATGATGTCATCCAACCCTCCTGCTATGTTTTCGACATAAAACCACTTCCATTGCATTTCCTAACGCAAATCAGATAAATCGCGCATACAACCATCTTACGCAACAATGTTAATGATATTCAGAAATATGCATCGCTCCTTGTGGACAAGCCGCCGTTCTTACCACTCGCGCTCTATCCACACCACATCCTCAGCGCTACATCCAAAGAAAGACCATCCAAAAGACAATTCCCATTCGGCAGACAACTACTTTAAGGACGTTGACTCCAACCCACCTCCCGATCCCACCATTCATCGTGTAGACGCCGCCTCAGAGGCTGCTCAACGTCCCTACGAACCGCCCTCTGGGCAATGGAGTCGAGCAGGCAGCAAAACGGAGGAATATGCCACTATGGACAAGGAACATCCGTATGATATTCCAGCGGATGGTAACGGACAGGAAAAGAAGCTGAGGTATGGTGGAAAAGAGAAGTATGGAGAAGAAAAAGGGTCAGAGATAAGTCAGCCAGACGAAGGACCAGCAGGTAAAGCGAGCGGGGGGATGGGTCGAGGCAGGTGAAGTGCGCGCAGGAAGCTCTTTGGTTGTATTGTACGAATAAATTACACAACCAACGTCGTACTGCATCCCTTGCATAACATAGCTTTCACTACATCCCATAACGCGACCATTACGTGCACATAACATGACTCTATATCTGCAATGCATTCTATGGTCTATCATATAAGATAATGGTCTTAACTTGAAGGTGCACGCACGCACGTAATACTGCATGGCAAGAAGTATCTTTACCCAAAGCAAAGCTTAAGGGTTGAATCGAATCACTCACGTCAACGTATTTCCGGCGACAGGTGAGTAGCTGCTTCAAGGCCTCACCCTGTGGGTACCAAACTGTTCCACTACAGCGTTGCGTTACAAAATACCAAATAATGGGCAGTGGCAGTCTCGTCAGGGGTACACGATGGGTCATCGGTCAACCTCGAAGTTTTGAAGGTACGTACAAGGAAGGGGGGCATCTATGTCTCGCGGTAAAGGGGGGACAAGAGGATACCAATGGGAACCTGAATATCAAAAATACTGAGTAATGCAGGCATGAATGTATAACGAGAGACCATGCCATCGATTATGTGCCAACTTGATGAGTGTAATCGATAAAATTTCCATTCAACGCCAAACTGAGGTAGTGCGCATACATCAGGGTGACTTTCGAATCTTCTTTCCGCTGCTCCCCGGTATCTCTGAGGCAGTGTTGGTGTCCGCTAAAACCGCGAGGGCCTCTTGCAGTTAAATTTGGATATTATAAATTAACTTCAAGGGGAAGTATTCGGCGCCACAGATTCCAAGATGGTCTTCATATCCGTAGGCGCACATCTAAACTGGTTTAGCACGCTCATCGATATCGCTCGTTACCACAGCGATAAGTAAGATTACAGGCGGTGTTTAGTGGTGAGGAGATGGCCGTGAAATCGGATGCGATATAGTTAGGGCGTTTCAGCTCTGGGTCTTTCTTCCTTAAAGGATGAATCTACAGAACGTTAAATTTACTCTATAAGTACTCGCGTACAATCAGAATGGTGGATAACTTACGTCTTTTGATTGTGAACAATTACGCGATCACATCAAACGCCGACGACATTTCCGCTGGTTTGTGCAGTTGCAGCTCGTTGGACCTGGGTAAATTGCTCCTCCACCTCTAGCACCCACTCAGGCTGCGCCCATCGGCGATCGGGTTGTAGATCGGCGGCCATGTACATGTACCAACTCTGGAGCGTGAATGGCTTCATGCCGCGGTACCTCAACTTCATATCTCGCCGCGAATGTCAGTAAATGCGGAATCAACTCGAAGTCCATTTGCTTTGACGAAAGATCTAGATATACGAAGATATTTCATTGATTCCTCCGTCGACCAATGACTTGCGTTTCGATGGTGGTATAATTGATAATTTGATTTGGTTCAATGTAAACGCTTCCTTGCTTATTCATTATATTCCGAGGCCGCCCCCCACTGGCAAAATGGTATTTCTTCAACTCGATTACTTTTTCTCCTCCCATATCGAACGACGGTAACTTCTGGTGAGTCAGCACGGCAGGCGCTAGAATCGATGCAGTCGGTGGAAGCGAGATGATAGGAACCGCCTCTGGCAAAACCTTTCTAGAGTGGACATAGTAACTGCACTGTCAGAACCCTGGCCCAACGGAAGAGCTATGAGTAAGGCCAAAGTAAGGCCAAAGTTCATTATCTGCATTTTCTTCAGCATTAGATCTATAAGCAAGCAAGTATTTGGAGCTATCTTTCATCATCTTCTGGGCATTTCAAGTGAGATAATCAAGCATGACCTTCACTGATCCTAGAAACGGGATTCCGTAGTGTAGCATAGAGAGTACCAGTGCCGTTCTGTCAGATCCAACCGATGCCTTGCTATTGACGGTTAAATGATGTTGAGGTCACTGACATGGCGGTGGTTGCAAACCAGGAAGTTTGCATGTCAGCCACAGTCACATGCCAGTTGTAAAAAGTCAGGTGACGTGTTATTAGAAGAATATATCGAGAAACACAAAAATTACTGCGAACAAGTGTACGTGCTATTGATATGATTTCTACTGACTAAGGCAACTTACTGTGATATTTTGACCAGCCAATTGCGCGAGAAATCGTGCAAGAAAGGAGGGGGCCGGACGAAATTAGTGATGAGAGAATTGTACGTCTTCGATAGGGTCGAACTTACTATACTGTCTGTGGACACACCAAATTCCTCCTGAATCTGTAGTAGTATCTGGCTATTAACAATAAGCACAAGTATGAAATCAAGATGGCTTGATTGGCTCGTGTGTATACTGGGTCCCAGAAAGCATGAAAGTTAAAATCAGCTGAGGAAACATGAACGTTCCATGAACATCCTTATACGGGATTCCGGTCAAGATGCGGTGGTCCGTAGACAAGATTTTTACTACGGGATCCCTTTTGTTTTCTCACCTGGCACCTCGGGTCCAACTTCTGCACGGTAGATATTCTCGTCCGACATACAGCTTTTGTCGCCTCCGCGGCTTCGTCTTGGCATCCACGGACGAACATCGGCGTCTGTGAGTCTGCGATCTCCTAAGAGGACTAGGGTATGCATTGGTATGCCGATGGCCCTCGGAAAGGTACACGCCGGGCGAACTTAGAGTACGATTGCGTCCCTCACATATTGCGTGAGCAGAAAGAAAATCGGGGCTTGTGAGACTAGAAAGAAGCCGACAAAGTGCGAATGAAGTCCTAATAGTACAAGTCGAATTGACGGAGGGCGTAATGTACTTACTAATATACATCGTGAGGCAGTCATAGAAAGCATAATAGTTCATCAAGGAACACTGTGTATCAGATTGACACCACCTTCTTTCGTTTCTTCCACGGCAACAGCTTGCATCGCCAAGCTCTTCCGCACTGGATGAGGATCATCAAATATCGCATCCAGCTCCTCCAAACTACGGCCTCGCGTCTCTACGAACGTGAAATAGATCACGGGGATCCCAACGAAATCAATTACGAGGTAGAGGAAGTAAAAGCGCCAGGATGAATTAGAAATGCCAACTGGAGCAGCATACGTGTTGATGAAGTTCACGATACTGTTTCAGAAACGGTCAATATCACGAAAAGCCCAGCAATATTGAGCGCACTTTAACCACAGTCCAGACAAAGCCAAGCCCTTGGCTCGAGAGTTGGTAGATAGCACCTCTGTCGGATACAGTGCTTGGACTAAGTAGCTATCAATATATTACCGCACTAAGCATGCAATACAAAACGCCACTTACAAGGTGTCCAGATGAGTGCAAAGGCAACCAAGAACACATATATGAACGCGATGCCCACCAGCCCTATTGTGGGGTGCCCTTGTTGCGTCGCAGTACATGCAATGATGACCGCAACCGAAGCGGTCATCCAGGCGCTCGACATCATCAGGAGCTTTCGCCTGCCATAACGTTCGATAAAGTTGAGCCCGACAAGTGTTGCTATCATCATGATGGGTGTTTGTAGTGCATTGCATAACAACTGAGAACGCTCAGATGTGATTCCTGCAGTTTGGACCTAGACAAATCAGATCAATATACCGACAATTGTGTTGGAATTTTTTTCGGCTCACCATAAGCGGGAAATAATATGACGTGGGAGGCAAGTCAAGTTGGCCAAAAAAGCCGACGGCTAAAACTATCCAAATGCGATGGCGGGATGCTCGAGAGTTGAATCTGAAGACCAAATCTCAATATGAAAACACGCAACCACGAAGTTTAAATTCGAGACTCACAAGGATCTGAAATCCCACCACTTCTTATCCGATCCTGTAGTCGAGATGGACTGCAACATTTCTTCCATTTCCAATGCGACTATCTTGCTTTCGGGGTTGCCGTTTCCATGATATCTGTATTGCTATTGTGAGCACGTTCTTTCGTACAGGAAACAATAAGGCCCACTTGATTAAAATCTGCCTTGCCTTTTCGTTTTCCCCTTGTGCGATATACCAACGAGGTGACTCAGGAATAAGCCAGACAAGGACAATTACGAGGATAGCTGGTAATCCTTGCAACGCCATAGGTAATCTCCAGTTGATAGTCGAGGCAGTCTTTAAATATGTAAGGCCATATTCAACCCAAGTCGAAATGACTTCATGGCAACATAAATTACACGATGGATAGCAATATAACGAGGGAGCACCTACTTGTTCCAAGGAAAAAACAAGATTGATAGGCCCCAACCATCACACCTCGGTATGCTGGGTGAGCCATTTCTAATCATAAAAATATGAACAACGAAGTCATCCCGTAATGGTAAGTAGTAACTTACCAACAGCCCAACTTTGGGCAGAAGGGCCCAACATCACTGTACCAATACCCAGGACCACTCTTCCCGCGATCAGGTCCCGGCGTTTTTGAGCGCTTGCCTGTACTATCGCGCCTGCTAGAGTGATCGCCGATGCAATAAACATACCCCATCTGCGGCCCCAGCGGTCGGCACAAGGTCCAGCGACAAAACTGCCTATAACATTACCTGGTGAAAAAATATGAGGCGCTGCTATCGTGTTCATACAATAAAACTATGTACCAATGACATAAAGAGCAGCGAGGAAACCGTTCGTCGAGGCTATGTTAGTACCAAACTGTGCCTTGAAGTCTGGCATAGCAGAAACGCCGCCAAAGGTATTTGAGTCGAAGCCATTTTGCGCAGAACACAGATAGGTGACAAAGAGGCAACAAAATAGGCGAAAGGTGTTGAAAGAGCAAAAGCGTGGAGGTTCTAGTAGGAGGACTTCAGCCATAGGCGAATCCTTCTGCGTCTCGACCACCTTCACACGCCTCGCATCTTGCAATACATCATCGTTCAGTTTGCTGAAGTCACCGCTAGGTGTTTCTTCGTGATGGGCGGATATCTTTTCCTGGCTCATATCGACGGGATAGTGCAAGGGTACCATCAAGTGAGACCGAACAAGCTTTCGCTTTATACTCGCCTCCGCTGGGGAAGTTGACTTTTGGAGTGCACTGCAGCGAAGAGGTCTCGTGAGAGGGGATGCGATCATAAACTCACCTAGATCCTCAGCAATGTATGGCATCGCGTGCTACATGCACTACGAGTCCACAGCAGATGCATGACCATAGGCAATTACATTTACCTGGCCGCTCAAATCAGATGACCGCCGAGGTAAGTCCTGGTGATGAAAAAGTACGTTACTTACCATAGGAGTATGCCAAGAACATAACAAGGGCCGGGACTCAAATAACTGTGATTCTCCGAGGTTACCCAATTGGGACTGCAGGTACAAGTTTACAAGTCGAAAATGCGACAGTATCATGAACAGATACTTTTTGCGAGATAACTGCAGATGATGAAAAGAATGAGGTCGATTGGCGCGCGACCATCACTACCACATTGACTGCTCTCACAAAGGTCGTTTTCAGCTTGCATTGTCTGGGGAGGAGGATTCACAGGTTCCGGATAGGTTTTTCTCCTCGAAGAGATATGTTCTTGAAACACCAAGCACTCCAATTATTGATAGTATTTGATATAATATTTCTGTCATTCTATGATAGACATTGGTTTTCATATCACCAAGTTGAATTAATGAAAAGAAGATCGTCGAGAAGATATAACCAGACTCACAGTTGAGTATCTTTTCCTCACAAGATGCAGAAGCGACTCGAAAAAATGACGCCGATCACGTCTATGATTAACGTGGCCAAGAATATCTCCAAGGTCTTGGACAAAAGTAGGACAGAGGGGATGGATACTGACCAGGACGAAAAACTCTTACCAACTGTTCAGTCTAGTGATTGCTTGCATCCGCTGTCGCTTGCGAGCTCTATAATGTAACGACCAGAGATCTGCTATGTTATCGTTGTGCAAAGTACACCGAGGGAGTTGCGATGCTGGTTTATATAGAGAGAAAATAGATTATCCGTAGGTGATGGTCTGTCGTGGGTGAATTATGTCTGCTAGGTGAGCGCTATATTCAGATAAATGATGAATAAACGAACCTGGCTTGACTCGTATCTGGAAAGCCATGACGCCCGAGTTACTAATCCATGACATCCCCGTTTATGCATAGCGATATAATGCACTGTCCACGGAATCACGTCAAATAGTGCTGTAGTTTCACTACACTCAATCCGACAGATGTGTCCACAACTAAATGAAATGGTGAAGGTCAGAGCATGACAGTAGACCGCGAAACACGATCCTTGCTTAACGGATTCGGGAGTAGAGGTTAGGCCCAAGATATATGTCATTGACTGAGAAATGGATTGATACATTACATATTACCGTAACTCTGACCGGAGACTACTAGTCTGTCCTAAAAGCGATGATAGACCAGACTTCAGCTTGTGCTTGGAGTCCAAGGTTAAATCACTCTAGTTAGGTTGCGTGCGATGCAGTGGATGTAGCCATTCACGACATCCACATCGCTGGCTATTTTGCAGGTCAATGGTCATGGTTAGTGGTCAAGAGTCAATACCATAGTAGTCCACTTTTTACTCCGACAGCATGGGAGAAAAATACTAGTAGCATCGCCACAGTTTCAAACCACTAGATCCGTTGGTCACCGTGGTATCATCACTGTTGATGGACTATAGTACCATTCAACGTTCTTCTAAAACAGATGCTGATATCACACAAGACCATCAACTTTCAAGTCTATGTATGTTCAACCTTGTAAGCTCCAGCTCTGAATCTCCTTGGGATTCGTGGCTTACACGTATAAATTCATTAACAATATGCATGTCATCGCCAAAAGGTGCATATACTCAGGTCAGTCCATGTCCAAATTGTAACTACATTGCACCTTGACACTGAACATGGAAGCCGATGGCGATGTCAAGCTATAACCAACGACATGATGTCTTGCATGGGAAGTTTCCGGTGTTGTCACGGCCCCATACGTTCCTGAGCATCGCAAGACTAGGCATGTGTAGATGCGGCCCATCCATCGATGATCTTTCCGAGCCACTCATGAAACGTTTTCAAAATAACTTTTCTGTACAGCCGATTATGCACTTGAGCGTCTATCATACCAGTTCATTACGCTTCTGTTGGCCGCACGTTAAAATGTGCCCTCCTCCTGAAAGGTTACGTGCATGTACTCGAACGCCCTGGGACACCTTCCACTATGTTCGGACGATCCTCCAGCTGTAGTCTCTTCTTTCTGGCTCTGGGTAGCAGACTATCTTATGCTCTGCAACCCCCATATGCCATTCCCAATTTCGTATCACTGTCTGACGATTGGCCTGCTACTTCACAGTGGGACATACTCAACGCTACATTGAATGGACGTTTGTCAGCGCTCAGGCCATGGGCTGCTGTTTGTTATACTTCCGACCTCCTTTACAATGTTGAGGAGTGTCAGGCTGTACTTTCGGGCTACGACAACGATATCACTGTGAGCTCGTTCACCGTTGTGGATTTATTTATCACGAGTATAACATGCGCCTAATCTCTAGCGAGAAGGAATAGCTTCTGCTCTTCTTTGGCCAAACTTCGAAGCTTGTGGTTTTGGCAATGGTTGCCCACTCAATTACAGCAATCCACAAATCATCAATGGGAGCACGTGTCACCAGGGCTCTACGCCACCTTACAGTGCCGAAATAATGAGTGCGCAAGATGCTAGTGAGGTCGTGAAGTGGGCTGTCCAGAATAAAGTTAAATTGACAGTCAAAAACACAGGTATGGGATTGATTGAGTATGAATACTTAGTCCTTTTCCAAAATTTCAATTCGTAGGACACGATTATCTCGGCAGATCGGCAGCACCATCCACACTGCAGGTGCATACTCATTCGATGGATACTCTCATATACAATCAGAGTTTCGTTCCTCAAGGATCTTCGGCAAGTCCAGTCCCTGCTTTAACCATGGGTGCTGGAGCACAAATATACAACAGTAAGTTCATATTACAGGTATTGACAGGCGTAACTCATATGTACGTTTTGTTACCAGTTTACGCATTTGCTGAAGCTAACAACTTTTCTGCTGTCCTCGGAGCTTGTTTAACTGTTGGTGCAGGTACGTATGGCTGCGTTTGTCGTATTGTCCAAAATAATAAGTTTATCCCGCATAGGTGGAGGATATGTCCAGGGAGGTGGTCATGGCTTGTAAGTGCACGGCACGACGTCAAGGGATGTTTCCTTCTTACGCAAAATATGATTGTCAGGCTTGCACCTGTTTATGGGCTTGCGGTAAGCTCTCCCTGTGCTTAGTGCCTGGAGTTCCTAACCTATCTCACTCGTAGGCTGATAACGTCCTTGAAATCGAAGTACCCAATATTTCTCCTTTATCAGTAGCTCAAGTCAACTAAACCAACTTCTTTTACAGATTGTTACTGCAGACAGCACCATTAGGATCGTTAACGCAAACCAAGACCCCGAATTGTTCTGGGCCGTTCGTGGTGGCGGCGCTGGTAGTTGGGGAATTGTTAGTATGTCATATCTTCTTCTTAACTTCCGTTGCGTCAGGTTCGAATTCAGATTCGCTTCTATAGTCTCGGTCACGATCCAAGTGTATCCTGCCACAGCAGTCGCCGCATCTATCCTCACCATTGCACCGAACATCTCGCAAAACCTAACCTCCCAGGGTATTGATATGATTTCTCTATTGGGGAAGTATCAAAATCAACTAGTCAACAATGGTGTTGTGGCCAGCCTGATTTTATCTGAAAGTCAATACCTGCTAGTGAGTTTATATTCCGATTGCTTGTTTTGCTGTTCTAAACTTTCCCATCTAGTCGTTTTATTGGCCTACAGCTGCAGCCCCTCTATCTATTTTGTTCCCCTTTTTCGAAGATGTCATTTCACGGAATTCATCTTATACCGTAGTCTCGAATACGACGTCTGCTGCCATGTTTTCCTCTGTCACCGAAGCCGAGACGCAAAGCATCGGCCCCTTCTACGACGAATTAAATTTTTACGGTGCGAACGTCCGGATGTCCTCCCGTCTGGTTCCTCAGACGATGTTGACTACTTCCGAGAACATCGAAAACATTGCTCAAGCGATATGGCAAGGAATGGAAATTCTAAATCAGCCCTTTGGCTCGTCGCCTCCCGGTGTCCTTGGTAGTACTACACCAGTCATGATAGTGGGAGATATGCCTGCTGCAACACGTACTCGCGCGAATGAAACAGGGGCAAATCCAGGGCTTTACGAAGCCTCGTGGCATATTATCTATGCAGCGTAAGGTTGTTTTAAGCGGCCGTTTGTATAGATGTTCTAACTTTTTTGATGCTAGGCCCTGGACTGTAGGCGCAAGTCAAGAAACAAACAACGCAATCATCAACGCCATTCACACGGCAACCGGCCCTCTTACTGCACTGGGCATCGATACCAGCTATCAGAATGAAGGAGACGTCTTGGAAGTCGAGTGGCAGCAAGGTACGGTGTCAATAGCTGCCAAGGAATGTAAATAACCACGCGCCTCGTCTTAGCTTTCTTTGGAGATAAGTATCCGGCACTCTCTTCCATCAAACAGAAATACGACCCCGAAAACTGTGAGTCACTCGCACTGCCTTCCGTTACTATGGCTGAAAAGAGGTGACTGGTACAGATTTTAGTAGCTGGAAGGTCAGTTGTCCACATCTCTCGCTTCGCTAACCATACTGAGAATGCGATTCACAGGGGGTTGCCTTTGTATCGAATTTGACAGCGTATCAGTGCTTGAGCCAGTCATAGAATTTTATTTTGGGAAAATTTTACATAAGTGTTTGCGGATCTACTCGTTAAGTAGAAATACAGCGGGGAACTGGTTTTTCACTTATTATTATGTGTATGGTAACAATATGTATCTGTCAATGACTAACGAGCTTGAGGTCTACTCTCAACCTGGAGTGTTTTGTTTCGCATAATGGATGTGGCATCAGTGCTTCTTGGTCCTATTCAGGCAGGTAGTAATCGATTTATTTGTTTTGTTCTTATGCACTTGCAGCTACCTTACCTCATGAATTCATGAATTCATCATACGAAGATCGTAAGAACACCGGAAAAACATATTACTCAGCCTCATTTCTTATAACCCAATTTATGACAGAGGGGTCTATTCAAGGCACTGTCCAGGACAGTATGTTTCAAGTTGCAAGATTCCGAATCGACAAACTTTTAAAAATACCGTCAGGCCCGGACGCTATATGCCCAATTGTAAGGAACGAATGCATAGTGTCAAATTGCGTAGGCACGGTACCCACAAAGTGCTCAAAACTATAGTATGTAAACCAGACAAATATCCACGACTCTACTACTGATCAACCTCCATGCTCATGGTACTCGTGCCATCCACCTCTTCCTCCACGGAGACATCACCATGGGACGTTGTTAAACGACCATTACTATCCGGACTATTACCAGGCGAAACGTTTCGCGAGCCAACAGATCGTCTTGGCGCTTTCAACCTGCTCGGGTCTTGTGGTGGGGATTGTCCAACAGGGGAAGACGTCGGCGATGGTGTACGTGACAAACCTTCCCGTTTTGAGCGGGCAGAGGCGTTGAAGTGGCCACACTTGGGGCAGACGTATTCTATTCAAAACGTCGCATGAATTAGTTGTCAATCAGTACAAGCTGCTCTCTTACGAGTGTCTTGCCACAAGCTTTCCTTAACGAGACCATTGTGGTGGAAACACTTTTCACAAATCAGTGCGTAACGGGATGCAGCAAACGTTGCTGATTGTTCGTCGTCTCCCAAAATAGCGTCCGCAAGTTTATCGTACCACTGTTTCCGCGGGGTGAACACGGGCTGAGGGCTTGCTGAGCACATTATTAGACCTGGAACACGTTTCGATATACCAGAGGCACTCACGGGACAACTGGCTCTGCAACAAAGGATTTGGTGATTGCGTTGGTGCGTTCGGAAGCGGTTGTTTCGGAAGAGTTTGAGGTGTTGTCGATATGGGCGTAGACGGAGGCTGGGGGCCATTGCGACGGCGCATAGGGGATGCAGCATCATCGTATTTCTCGATTAAATTGCGAGTAGAATAGTAGTTCGTCTTCTTCTTTATTTCCTCGATCTTGACACGCTGCTTCTGGAGAGCATTTTTCAGTGTCTTCTCTGTACCTACTTTTTAGCTCATCAAAAAAGGCAACAAAGAGCGCACCCACCTTCAGCGTTTCCCTTCTGATTATACCACAACTGGACAATCCGCCGAGTAAATAGTATACTGAGTGTACGTTAGGAGAGAATAGTGAATGGCACTAATGATGAGACGCACATTATGGGGCCCAAGATCACTGGTATGCCTTTCAGGGCCTTCTCCTGAGGTCCACTTGGAGCAGACAGAACTCCCATATACCAGAGGCTTACATACAACGCCCATATAGCCAGCGTGTATAGTGTCACTAGTAAAGTAGAACGACGTTCTCGAAGACGGATCTCGGAAAGGCGCGTCTGTCGTTTTTGGATGTCTAGGGCGAGTGACGATAGCACCTGCTCGTAGTCTTCTGGATCATTCTAGCCAAGCGGGTGTACGTTAACTTTCTAATCCCAACTGCAATCACTCCACGACAAACCTTTCCGAGCCAGCGAGTGAAGAGAGACATAAGGAAAGTAAAAGAGATGAACAAAGAACAATTGGCGATCGCGAACTTTGAAAACCGAAGCAGTACAGCAAAGACTGCGAGGCGGGTCATAACCACAGCCACCACCCACGTGACTTCCACATTAAACTTGCCGAAATTTTTGTTTCTCTTCGACTTTGACTAAACTTAGAATGTGTTCAGCTGGTTCTAAACCAAAACAACTGAAGACTAAACCTTGGATCTTCCACGAAAACATTCACAACTCAAAAGTGATCTCCACGAAATGCATCATATTATTTTTGCAAGACAATTATAACAGTAACTTAGAGTGACTACTTCATCGCCCATATATCCAACTCTAGAACTTCAATCTACAAGCTAAGAGGAGAACATCCCAGGTTGATTGCACCGTTCTTAACAGGTCCGATAAGTTGTCAGATACCAAGAGTATTGCAGGAAATAGAATAGAAAGCTTACGAAGCTATTCTTGGTGCAGCAGACAGGCTCCTGCTTGCAGGAGGAGCCAGCGCCAACGCCCACAACAGAAAGAGGCGAGCAGCCGAAGCCAACTTGGCCGGTAACACCATCCACAGCGATGCCCAACTCTTCAAGAATATTCGACGCGTGCGCGTCCGTAGCCTGTAGTACCCCAACACCAAATCAGAATTGTACAAGCAAACATCAGCACGACGTTCTCACATTCTGGACGCTGTTGCAGCAGTAAGCTGATCCAGTTTCACACTGGTTAGTCGCAGCGAGGGCCAACAAAGGAAGGGTGGCGAGAACAACAGTAGAGATACGAGCGAACATCTTGAATGTGTAGTTAGAGAGTGGACTGGTTATTTAAATGGGTAGTGAAAGACATGGGCGAGCTCGAGTGTACCTTTATATGATTCCGGGTTTGACTATGTTTGCTCGATGTTGGGCTAGCGAGCAGCGGTGACTAGAAGCATCGGAAAGAAGACCCGTTGAAAATTGTCATGTCTTTACGTCCTGCTTGATCCAGACGGTCTTAGCTCCAATAAGGTGTCAACACACTTCCATCTCTCATTTTTTATCATCGAGTCTGCTGTTGGATATAACCTACCACCATCAACGTCGTAAAATGGCTTTCGACGGAGTGAGCACAGTTTGCTTACTCTAGGTGCAATTGCGGACCTATGTGATCCCCAAATTCCTCTGTTGAAAGTTTCTCCTCATGCCTTTCGGTGGAAAGGACCTTCGCATGTTCAAATCTGTTATGCGAACATGCACTCAACGAGTCGCAGTTGCATGGCGGCACTGCCAGTACAGTATTACAATTGCGTGCAAGCTTCAAGTCACCGTGACGGTTGCTTCACCGTGTTCACCGCCATCCAGCATCTCCCAAAGTAGCATGCATTTGGTAATCAGGATGTTTTCAAACTCCGATCGCACTCCCAATCTTTTTGGCGCCACTGGCATCGATCAGCCTGCATTTTTCTTACATCCGTCCCTCATCTTCAAAAATGCCGCCCTCAGCCTCAAAGCAAAAAAGATTGGCAGAAAAGGCTGCAAAACAGGCTTCAAAGCAAAACGGTTCTACCGTCTCACCTTCAACGTCCACACCGGCCGGTTCAGTGAGCGGAAGTTATGCCAATACACCTTTGACCAGCGTTTCTGCTGCAAACAGTACAGATGACTTGACTTCCATGGCCAAGTTGCAGATCGCAACCGACAGGTACGTTAGAATTATCTGTGGTCTCCAATACAGATCTTATCGCATTGTTCGTAACCAGGAGCGCTGCTGGTGTGCTCGTATCCGATGTCAAAGGTCGAGATGTCAAGATAGACTCATTCACGCTCTCTTTCCACGGTCGCCTACTTATTGAAGGTGCAGAAATCGCACTGAACTATGGTCAACGATATGGTCTTCTGGGAGAGAACGGATCCGGCAAGGTGCGAATCTAATCTAATCGTTTATCGCATTTTATTCAGCGATTTATTTATTGAAGTCAACATTCCTTCAATCCATTGCTGAACGGGATATCGAAATCCCCGATCACATAGATATTTACCTTGTGCGAGGAGAGGCTGAGCCATCAGATGTCAATGCTGTAGACTTCATAGTCAAATCTGCAAGAGAAAAGGTCGCAAAGCTCGAGGCCCGAATTGAGGATCTGTCCATTGCAGACGATGTTGACGAAGCTGCTCTGGATGCATGTTACGAGGAGTTGGAGGAGATGGATCCCAGTACGTTTGAGACCAAAGCAGGCAGTATCCTGCACGGACTTGGCTTTTCCCAGACGATGATGCAGAAACCAACGAAAGACATGAGTGGTGGTTGGCGTATGAGAGTGGCTCTGGCTCGAGCACTTTTCGTTAAACCTCATATCCTCTTACTCGACGAACCCACCAATCACTTAGATCTTGGTGCCGTTGTGTGGTTGGAAGCCTATCTTTCCACTTATAATCATATCCTCGTCATCACCTCTCATTCTCAAGATTTCATGGACTCCGTTTGCACGAATATCATGGACCTTACAGCGAAGAAAAAGCTGCTCTATTACACGGGTAACTATACCACCTATGTCCGGACGAAGCAAGAGAACGAGGTCAACCAGATGAAGGCTTACAACAAACAACAAGAAGAAATCTTGCATATCAAAAAGTACGTTTGGATATATCCGTGTATGCATTAGCTGATGACTTGGAATATAGATTCATTGCATCTGCCGGTACATACGCTAATCTTGTGAGACAAGCCAAATCCAAACAGAAGATCATCGATAAGATGGAGGCTGCTGGTCTTATAGAAAAGATTGAGGTTCCCAGACCTTTGAGATTCCACTTCGAGGATATCCGTAAACTTCCACCCCCGATTATTGCGTTTACTGAGGTCGCGTTCGCCTACTCGGGCAAGAAAGAAGACTTTTTATATGAAAACCTGTCCTTCGGTATCGAGTTCGTGATCGTTTGCTTGTAATATCTCAGGGAGCTAATCAGTTGGCGCTTCTTCAGCATGGATTCACGGATAGCCATCCTCGGCGCCAATGGTGCCGGAAAATCAACGTTACTCCATCTCATCACTGATGTTCTCCAACCAAGTCGAGGTACCGTCTCGAAACACGCCGCCCTCAAACTCGCCAAATATTCGCAGCATTCAGCCGATCAACTACCTTATGATAAGTCGCCGATTGAGTATTTCCAAAACATATTCAGAGAGAAATATCCCGAGAAGGATGCTATGGTATGTTATCTATGTTGGTGGAGTTGATCATAACTGATGGTTATATTCAAGGCATGGCGACAACAACTTGGTCGTTTTGGTCTTTCAGGTCCCCATCAGACATCACCCATTCGTCAGTTATCTGATGGTTTGCGGAATCGGTAAGTTTTAAAAGTTTCGTATTGAATTATCTTCGGGCTTACCCGACTTTTGGTTGATAGTGTGGTGTTCGCGCAACTTGCCATGGAACACCCACATATTCTCCTGCTCGGTATGTCGTGTTTTTCTAGGGCCTGTGAAAATATAACGCTCAAAACTTTATAGATGAGCCTACAAATCATTTAGACATGGCTTCGATTGACGCTCTCGCACTTGCCATCAAAGATTTCGAAGGTGGCGTTGTCATTGTTTCCCACGACTTCCGTACGTATTCAATCATACATTACACTTCTCCGCGCTTCCGTGGCTCAATTTGTATTGCAAGGTCTTATCTCGCAAGTAGCGGAAGAGCTGTGGGAGGTTAAGGATAAAACTATTAAAAATTTGACGAAAGAAGACATCACTATCGTAGACTACAAGAAGAACCTGATCAAACAGAGTAAGCACCTCTCGTAGTGCGGCTTATCTGCTATTTGCTCACAGTCGTTCCTTTCCAGGTCAAGCAAGCCTCGAGAAAGCGAAACTGATCAGCAAGAATGCGACCAAAGGCAAAACTTAGAAGATGTATCATTCGATCTGTGCAGTATACTGCTGTTGTATAGATTTCACCCCCCTGTGCCACTACATATCACCTGTAGCCCAAACATTCTCTATACTGCTAGGATTTCCACACTTGTTGTAAGTCATGCCTCGGATTTGTTCGTATTAGTATGTCGAGTCTAGCGTCGTACGATATTAATACAGTTATGAAGCAGCTATGCACTAGCTAATCTGGTGATGCACGAGGTTTAAGATTCAATTAAAGTAGGTGTTCGTGATCACCGCTGCAATGTGCTGGGCACTCCCGACTGCAACACGCAAACGGACGAGATGAGGACAGATGAAGGATGATCTATAGATCATGGTGATCGAACCTTATCGAATTCATAGCGCTCACGAACTAGGAATGCTATTTCACGAATGGTGAAGTAAAGATCTGAGCACATGCAATGACAAGGTTTTGACGTTCTCAAGCAGCGGAGAGGGCGACAACACCAAGCCATCAAAAAAAAAATGGCCACCACATTACCCATCTCGTCAAACCCCTATCTACCTCCATTCCATTCTTACTAAAAGCAGAGTATTCTCGCCATATCCCTGCATGGGGTGTCCTTTTTTTCATTTGGTGGCGTCACTTTCAGAAGCCCCAACGGCAAGGCAGAAACGGGAAATGGTTGTGTCCTCAAGGTGGCCTCCTTCGGCAAGAAGGGAGGGAAGACAAAAAAGGGGCTTATGACATCCTCCACCACTCACGGACCCGGTGAGGCGACGTGTGTGGTAAACGTGCTTTTTTTTGTGTACTTTTTTTTTTCTTTCTCTTTCTATATAGAAGATCCACCTCGTTCCGCCCTCTTCATAGGAAGTAATCTGCTGGTGGGCGTTTCGCAGGTATGGACCGCACATCCTATAATATGACGGCATCAGATGGGCATCAGAAAACGCCAGTTTTTCGATGCGGCGACACGTAAATAAACATATAGAAAAAGAAACGCCCGCATATCGCCTTTAGGCAAAAACCGGGGCATGGAAAAAAGGTGTGGTAACTCACCGAGGGCGCATGGTGAAAGACTTTGTATTCCTGGCTCAAATGTTCGTCTAGTTCGAGAATAGAAGCCACGTTGCCGCACCTGATTCGAAATAGGGTGAGCGGCCGAACGAGAGGATGGAACTTCCAGGTACGAAAACAACGGGGGTGACATGTGCGGCAAGAAGAAGAAGGAAGAAGTGGAAGAAGGGGGGAAGAGACGCTCGAGAGAACGTACCGGTAGCAATAATTCGGCGCGCTCCATACTGTCACGATCGTGCGGTCAAACATGAGTTTATAACCTTCCATAGCAAGCTGGTGCGCTCGTGCAATAAGATCAATGGAATTATGATGGGCAAACGCTTTCGTAATGTCTGCGCCGAAAAGAAAGCCAGCTCCCCGAGGGGATAGGCCCCAGCCGGATATATCTAGAAGAAAAGCGAAAAAAGGAAAGACGTGATCAGAACAACGAGGGCAAGTCGCAGTGAGATGACGGTAGAATGGACTGTGGAAGTGAAAGAGAATTCACCGTCTGGATCGGACCATAAGAGGTCACACATGGGTCCATCGTGAGGAACCTCCTGTTTGCGGTCGATAGCGCGAATCTAAGGGGGTACAATCAATAAGGTGAATCATGAATGAACGCTCCTCAAAACGTTTCATTTCCAACCCCCAACGCGTGGGGGGCACGTTTCGTTTCGTACCTGATCGATAGCCTGCAGATTAGGGCTCAACCCGCCATGCACGCAAAAGACTCTTCCGTCCACGATAGCACCCAACGCCAGGTAATCAAACACCTCACAACACCATCTCCAAACATTGCTGCTCCCGTACTTACGCTGACACTCGTCGTAAAAGCCGTATACCTGTGTTATTTGTCGAGATTCGTGATTTCCCCGGATCAGGGTGATCCTTTCAGGGTAACGAACTTTAAGCGCGAGGAGGAGGAGAAACGTCTCGACGCTGTAGAAGCCTCGGTCTACGAAATCGCCTATATTGTGTGTGATCGAGAAAAGTGTCAAGCAAGCTCCGTGAACGTATTCAATCCGACTCTTTTTTTTGACTAACCCATGAACAGATAATTTGTCTCAGGACAAAACCCGCCCACTTTGAAAAGCTCCATCAGATCGAAAAACTGGCCGTGTATGTCACCACATATCTACGTAAAAACGCACACAGACACATGAGTCGGTTGTCGACGGCGTGCTCGTGCTGGGGGGGAGGTTTGGGTGGGAAGAAGGATGACTTACTGTCACCGGAGAGTCTACGATCTGGACATTGGCTTCCTCGATGAGGATTTCGCGTGCTTTGAAACACAATCTCTTCACTTGTTCTTCCGATATAGGTTCACATCTCGTCAACTGCTCTATTTGCCTGCACACGGCGTCCGGTAAGCCGTATGTCCCAGCATAAGAGGAGATGGAAGCGCAGCAAAGGAGAGTGATCAGGTTATTGGGAAAAGGCAGTCACGGTATTTTGGGTTTGGGGTGTCAAATGGACATACAGGACGAGAGTCCAAAGCCATGAGTCGGGCGAAAAGCATCCAAGCCGAAACGGCCAATAGACCTGTTATCATTACTCACTTGTCAAGGTCACTCGGCATTCTGTCTCCAGTCGTTTGTGCGGCTTCCAGTGATGTGTTTCGATATATCACGATGAGGTGACAAGGGAAAAGGAATGACAGAAGTGATAAAGCGGCTCCACAGGCACAAGAGATCTTTGTGCTGGATCTTTTGTGCAGAACGGTCGCAAACGCCCAGCCACACAGCCCCTCCTGTCAAATATCGTGCCAATACGTATTCGCATATCTATCCAAACGTTAACGCTCCGTTTATCTTCGTGCGGGAAAAAAAAAAAAAAAAACAGGTTTCTAAATTGCTGTATGGACATCAGAAGTACAATAATGTGCAGGTAGCATGACTAAAATTGATATTGTATGCAAGGGAATATCGAAAACACAGCAGACCCCCCATAGCGTCAATGTCCGTGGACAGATGGGGGGTGCCAGGATACAAAATACAAGGAAAACCAGGAGCATTCCATGCCAGGAAGAGGATAGTGAAACATGATAGTAAGACAGAATGAGAGCGAATAAGAAAGCACGGACGATAATAAGTGTCGAAAAAAAGACATGTATATCCAATTTATGCATCAGCTGTGCAAACGGGTAAATGATCCCATAGACGAGCCATAGAATACACAATGACACAACCTCCGAGTTGCCCAAGCGGTAGAAACGCCCTGCGATCATACAAAGCTTGTCGAGCTCTTCACTCTCAAACCACCGTCCGATCTCCAGTTTGTTTGTCCAAGTGATAGATGAGGCGAGTGGTAGGGGTATGAGTTGGGAATGTGAGAATGGCTCATATACGAGGACATGTTTGATTGTGGCGACGAAAGATTCGGAACAGACGAATGGTGCATGTGCGAAACTCGTGGATCACCACGAATCACCCGCTCATCTTGTATAGGCGCAAGAATAGGTGGCGGAGAGTCGTACCGAGCATTCATCCCCTGCTGTGGCATAGATATAGACTGATTGTATGTTCCAGAGATGATGTGGGGATGTGAATTAAAGTAACCTCCAGACAGACCGGACTGGTCCGGCATAGGCTCAAGTATTGATCCGTTGTTCTGGAAAGCGTAGAATCATGATGTCATCACGATATGGGGTGTAATTAGGGGTAGTAGGTCCGGACGTTTGCGAATGCGAAGACACAGAATGAGCAGAGTCGGGAGAAGGCGGTCCGCCGGTAGGTTGGTACTGATTAGGGAAAGGGTGTGGATGCGAGATGTGTGAGATGGAGAGACGGGAAGACATGGTAGAGAGGTGAGTAGCGGAGGAAGGTGGCGAACTATGATTGTCTTCTACTGATTGCTGATGGTGCAGAGAAGAGGAAGAATGGATGTGGGTCAGTTGTGGTCTATCATCGTAAGAATTTGAGTAGTTGAAGGAAGGCTCTTGCATAGCGGGGCCATTTGGAGCAGTCTGGTGTGATAACGAAGCAGGGTGTAGATAATTATAACTCGGCGCCTGAGATGGCTCCGAGTAAGTCGCAGAATTATTTCTGTAGTGTGATTGCATCTGCGACGACTGATTTCCAAGGTGGATAGAATGGTTCGCCACGGGGAGAACCTGGGAATTGTCGTGGTGATGTTGCACAATCGTGGGATAGGTATTTTCTATGGGAGGAGGTGAGGGAGAGCGGCTGGAGATGTGGTTGTGGTGGACGGGAAGGGAGAAAGCCTGTACGAGAGCAGGAGGAGAGTCTGGCGGGGGAGGGATGGCCTGTTCGAGTGCTGGTGGGGGTGAAGGCGAGCTGGTCATGGGAGAGGCATGCCTAGAGGAAAGCAAAGCGGACGAAGAACGGTGATTTTTATGGATGGGACCGGTTGTGTTCATCGCACGGGCTATGGCGAGTCTTGTAGCAGAGCTGGAGCTTCTGCGGGAGCCAGGAGAGAGATGTATTCTGTAACTGAAAAGACAAGGGAGTGAGCGACGGACAGAAGGAGAAAATGGAGGAAAGAGACTGACTGCTGCTGGAGGTTATCCTGGCGCGAACAGCGTGTTTCGCAGCCGGGAAAGGGACACTTGTGGTTCCTCTCGCCAGTGTGTACTCGTATGTGCCTTGCGAGATGGCCGCTTGTTGTGAATGCGCGGTCGCAGGTTGTGCATATGTGTCTTTTCTTCTGTGCAAGAGGTGAGTGGAGATGTGTGGGGGGCGGGGAGGGATGGGCTGAGGGGGGCGGGGTGGGGGAGTGCTCTGAGGCGTGGTGGAGAGGCTGTGGGGAGTAGTGGGGGGGATAGAAGGGAGGAGGAAGAGGATCGTTTTTGAGGTGTGGCTGGCGGGGCATTGTGTGTCGAAGGGAGGCTGGAGAGAGTTGAGGGAATGTCTGGACTAACAGGCTTTTGAAGAGAAGAAACGTCAAGGCGGTGAGGCGGCTAAGAAAATACGTAAAATAGTAATCCGAGTCTAAGCATTTGTCTACATTTCAATTATTACTTTGTCCACTTGTTCGCAATTTATTCTTTACCTAACTCGTCGGACCCTGAATTCCTCATAGGGCTGAGTTTAGACTTTGCCTCGCCTTCCACTCACTCGGTCCTCCTACACAGATCCATACGAATACCCCAGCTGTCCCAGTCAACGCCCAGCGCGTGTCCAGCTCCTCTCCACCGCGTCTGTCTCTGTCCCCACCCTCGAAACATATTCATTTCTTTTTTCGTCTTTATTTTCCCTTGTTTTGTGACCTGCCCTCCTTCCTCTTTCAACCGTCTTCTTCCTCTTTCCCCTTTGAGCCACTCGCGGCACAGCACGTGCTGTCGTCCTCGTCCACGTGAGCTGCCCTGCTCCAGCCTTACATACTCCCTTTCCCTCATCCTCCTCACCTCGCTTCCGTATCACAAGCAAACTCCCTTCCATCCCTCCCAGGCACTCTCCTTACGTAACTAGTCTCTAACGCTGCTTTTCGGTCCCGTTCTATCCTCTTTTCAGCTCCTTGCCTCGTATGCAAATCAACTCCTTTTCCTTCTCATTCTCCATCCAATCATATCCCCCTCATTACAGCATACATCTTGCAACGTTTTCGTCCCATCGATACTGCGCACTATCACATACACATCTTACATGACTCTCCGTATATCAGATAAGCACCACCATTCTAGCTTAATACCCATCGCAATTTCCCGTCCTTCTCCATCTTGCATCGCTTTTTTCCTTACGTCGTCATCCTGCTTTGATGCCACGCAGGCTGAGACTCTTGGGTGTTGTCAATCTTCTTCACAAGGTACCATATCCTTTTCACGCGACAGCATTGACATAATCCTCGAGCAAATCTAGTTAGTCGTTGACATGTTGGGTGATGCAGATTCAGAATCCAACCACACATGACGTGGCTCATTTAATGCCGCCTATAGTCTCTGCCTGTGGCTGACAGTCTCCTGGCAAGTAAAAAAAAATTACCCCCGCATCTCCCATGACGGGATCATTTCCAAGCATGGTGATCCCAGGTTTCGCAATGACATAGGACGACACTTGTGTCTGCTAAGCATGTCCATCATGGCGGTGAGCACGTCACTCTCGATTACATACTCTTTCGCATCATGTAAGAGTAAAGCACAGTACGATTGGCATGGCGTCCGAGCGTCGCCGCCATACACATCTCTCGAGGGCGCTAAATACATCCCCTTAAGCGAACGTACGGGTAAGTTTCCGAGCTCGCTGCACAGCAAACCACCTGTCAAAAACGAAGATCAACACAACATGTACAAAATCGACACTATTCAGGCTCACTCCGTGGTCACGCAGATCCGCGAGTGTCCAGCAGGAGATGAGAGAAACCCTGAAGAAGAGCGGCCACCCTGAATGGAGGTATGGGCTGCCGCATCATTCGTACCTTACTAGACCTTACCTCAGCTGAGAGATCGACTATGATATCGATCGCGAGGGCGGGACTACTTTACCGGTACTATGTTGACTGTTTGAGCTTGGTTTGCATCAATAAATGTCCACTGGCAGGTTTTTTTTTATTATGTGTACGCTCACGGCACTGTTTCAGCACGCAACCTGATGGAGCCCCGGTATCGACTACGCGGTCCCGCAACAGTCGCCGACGTGCCGCAACTACATTCTCGCTCTCGACGGCGTGGTCAAAGTGGCAGTTCACCATTCAACGATAGGTCGAGACGAGCCTATTCAGTTCCTCCAAACATAAAACTGTCCTGGAGATATCTAATACACCGGCTACAGATAAGCCAAACGGAACTGCCAGTGTTTACTCAATTCGTGGCTACACATATCAGTGGCCCAACTGGGAAAGGAGATATGCGCTTGGTTGAACAGTTGTGGAAATCAATATACTTACCGTTCACGAGACCAGTTCTCGTTGAGAATTTTCTATTCCGATAGCTGAACGACGCCCTTTTTTCGGGCGTGCGCCATCGGACAGCCTCCTTCCCTCCCCCGAATGCGGCGGACACTACGCCCTCGCGAGAGTGGGGAGTGGGGGGGCACCAGAAGGTTCAGAGGCCTGATCCGTCGAATACTTTATGTCGGCACCTTCACCCCCCATCAAATATTATTGCGCTTTTTGATTGATTGCCAATATTTGTGTATTTGTGAGTGGGAATATCGAGGCCAGTGAGGCGGCATCTTGACATGCCGTTGCGGGGCCTTTGGACGAATATGAGCCTTACTTTGAGCTCTCTTGTCTTGGGCGCTGCCACTTGTGACGTTTGTCCAATGACGACGAGGTTGATTCAAAGAGTGTTATTGTCGCCAGTCGTTATTGTCGTTGTCTTTGCCTTTTTGCCCACCCACGTCCTTTTAGACTCTGACATGGGCATGTTCGCGCAAACTCTCTGTGGATGGTTAAAGTTTGGGTCTAAGAGGATGACAGTCGATTTCTGTTTTGGAGCGCCAGTGTGTTCTCGTTGTTTTTTTTTTCCCTTTCTTTCTGATAGGCGGGTTCGACGCTGTCGTTGACAGCGTCATGTAACCACTTCTGTCGATGTTCCCTCGGGGGGGCTATCAAAACTATTCGACCACACAGGTCCGGATGCAGATAAAACATGAAAACACTTTTGCCCGCTAGAATGCGATCAGTGCAAAGCAAGTAGCAGAACTGTCAAGTCCGCATCTTACTAAGGTTGCCTAGTAGTGTGGTAGTGTACTGGCAGTGTCCACTAGCACCGTCGGCATCGGCTTGCCTACAAGCAAAAAAAAAAAAAAAAAAAAAGTCTTAGGTCTACAGGACTGCAGCTCGCAGCTTCAAGATCAAAAGCTCGTTCCACGTAACGAAACCAATCGAATCCCGAGTCGAGTGGGGCTACGAAATGACATGGGAAGCCCAAAAACCGCCTCGGCAACATGCTGGCATCGTACACAGCTTCTTTCTGAGATTGTAACCGGCGACAAGTCAGTATCTGTGACCTTGTCGGGAAGTGCAAAGAGGTGATAGTAGTAGCGGCTACACGAGAGAAGGTTGCTTATGGCCTGTAATTATGGCTTATGAGAAAGAAAAATATCTTGAAGGCTACGCACATTTATGGCGTTTGTACCCTGGTTTTTTTTGTTCTAAACCTAGAATGCTTCGATGGCGGTAGTACCGGTAACGTCAAGGTTTATGGTAAGCAGCAGCGAAGGAACGCCAAAAGGAAGCCCTTGCAGTGCCGAAATAGATTTTGACCGAAGGAACTTCATAATAATAATATTCATTGATTGGTTCGTCACGACGGTCAAGATCGCCATAATTTTGGGTAGCTTCGCGACATCTCGAGTAATCGAGTAACATAAAAGTCCGCAGCAGACCATGTCGTGATGGCGAGCGCGCATGCAGAAACATAAGTTTAGATCTATAGAGAAAGTCTTGAAGCATGCTTCGAAGACGCGCACAAGTCAATTTTGAGCTGAGCATGATCACTATGATGCGGCGATACGTTCCCCACCGTTTTTTTTTTTCTCTCACAGTGGCCTCGGTTTCCAGTCAGAGAAATCCCCGGCTGGCGACCAACTGCCATATGCACCCAGAAGCGAAAGCTGTTAGACGTGAAGATGCGGGCACGGCTGACTGAGCGTCCGTTCAGCAAGGGAAACAGACTGCGTGTTGGACTGTTACACTTACTCCGAGTAGAAAGAGGGGCTGAATGGTTAGGAAGACTTTTGTTGACCGTCAAGCTTACTGAAGATGCGGACCAATGTGGGACCGTTTGGATGTGGGCCAAGTTGCTACAGTACTGCGGTTTGGAGCCGGTTAGCAACTTCGCACACGCATGCTGGACTAATGCAGGTGGGATAAGACCGACATTGACAGCATGTATGCATATGAACTTCTCATTCCGAATCATTGATCACCGCATGGAGTCTACCACTCAATCATATGAACATGTCCTATTTCCATATCGTGCAAACACAGCATAGTCACAGATATCACCAAGCACAAAAGCAGAGTAGAATGTGCACCCGATAGAGAAAGTAGTTGAGAAGGAAGAGGACGAAAACCGTATCAGCTCCCAATCGGCTTCCCACCTTAAAGCCGTTGGTCCAAGCGTGCGGGGCTTCATGTTGTGCATTACGGTAACGATCTCTCTTACCCCCCAATCTCATCTTTCTCCTATCCCACACATCCCTTTCACCCTTTTCACGAGAATCATACGCTTAATAGAGACGAACAGGTTTGCCCATAGTGGACTTGATGTGCAAGGACTTCACGTTCTGCCAGTTCTTCTTGAGCAACGAAACGAGGAAGTTGATACCTATAAAAGCCATGGCATGAGTAAACGGCACAGCACGAGCGATCAAGAAGCACCGACTCAGCATCACGTTTCCAAGGACTTGGTCATCAGTCATTTGGACATGACCGACGGCAACGCCCAAGCAGAGAACCTTCTTAAGCTGGAACTTGATCGTCGAACGGACCTCAGTAATCTTGTTACTCAAGTCCTCAGCGTGAGAAACGGGGGTAGGGAACTTTCCGGCTGGAATGATGATAAACGCTCATAGTACGACATCGAAAAAGCATGTTCGCTAAATACCTTTGGAAAGACCTGGCCCGAGGAGACGAGGGATCTGCTTAATCAAGGCTTCGGAAGCCAAGAAAGCATCGTACTTCTTGGCAAGTTTTTTAACGAGCTTCTTGTTTTTGTTAAGCCTGGAAAAATATAGGAGTTAGTGGAAATGCCTTGTGAGCGTGAGATAAGAGAGATTGCGTACTTTTTCAAATCGTCCACGGACATGTACTCTAGGTCGATTTGCTTAGCACGATCGATATCGGCAGCATCTGCGAGAATGCAAATGGACATGCGAGGACGGGGAACGTTGGGGAGTCTAGTGTGGTGATGTCAGAATCCGTGGTCCTGACTTTACTCATATAGTCAAAGCTCACTTGACGGTTCCCGAGAAACGCTTGTCTCTCTGGGGGTCGTAGTTCTTGAGGCCAATCTGGAGCTCGATAGTCTCCACGAAGTTCCTCTTTTTTTCGCCATTGGCTTCGGCGAGGAGGTCTTTAACGGAGCCCCGCACACTTGACACTGAAAGCTTGCTACTGCTGTTTTACACGATCTTCTATCAGCAATGCAGGCAGCAGAACAGGACAGGCTACACAGACCTCATGCTTTTTTAATCGTAAACCTGTAAGGTGGAAGTTAGTAAAACTTGACGTTTCGTTGGCGAGCGCGTCGATGGTAACATTTTAGGTTTGGGTGGCGCAGGAGATATACAGCGGACATTAGATAAGCAGAGGGAGTCACGAGACCAGCGGACCCTAACCCGAGGATAGCTTCAGTTGTTTCCGGATTGAGTCATGTGAACGAACGAATACGCGCCGATAACTGAACTCGAACTATTACCAAGTCTTTTGTTGTTCGCATACTGCCTGGATCCTATCTTTATATCTATAATCTTTCATGGTATGTACAGTTCAATGCATATATCGTAGTCTCATCCAGTCTCGCAGTTGTATGCATACTAGACAATGTCCTCTGAACCTTGGACCTTTGCGGATTTACCCACAACGCCATTGTAAGTTTCTCATATGCACTGCATCGCACCTTGTTGAGTCGCAACCGTTACTTTATCTGCGATGTTTCAGGACAAATACACCAGAATCGGATTCAGCGTCTTTATCTCCTCGATCTGCTCTTCTTTCTCCAGGTTACGATGACGCCACATTGGACAGACCTACGCGTTTCCCTCGCGGGCCAGGCGAACGGTTCAGACGTGAGCGCGAGCGCATACACTCAGCCAATTCCACCCGCGATCTTGTGCGCCTTCTTGTGAATGAGGAGTACGAATCAAGGCAGAATCGCAAAGTCCTCTACACCGCCTTTGATCGTCTTGAGAGCGAGAGCCGTCGAGCTGCAGAAGCTGAGAGTCGACTAACGGAGACTCTGCAGCGGTTTAGAGTTATCAACGAAGCAAGGGTCGCCGCTCAGCAGGAGGCTGCTCGCGCACAGGAGGAATTGAGGCTTTATCAAATGCAGCTGGGCAATGCCCAGAAGGAAATCATTAAAGCACAGAATGTGCTAAGTACCATAGAAGCGCAGCGTGATGAAGCAGAAGCTGCTGCCGCACGAGCGAGATCTACCGCTCGCAGAATGAAAGAGGATCAGCTGATACAAGTTGCTCGAGATGAAGGTAGGAGATTGGGATTCGAGGAAGGCCTTCGTCGGGGGAGGACGATCGGATACGGTGAGGGACACGCCACGGGTGTAGATGATGGCCGCTCAGAAATGAAAGAGATCGCTGAAAATGCATTGGATAGAATGCTGGAGGACCGGGAAGAACAAGAAATCGAAGAACAAGAGCCACCGGAAGAGGTCAGGGAACCTCGTCGTCGTATACACGACCACCCTTCTCCGGACGTTGTTCGCGTTTCTTCACCTGGCCCTTCGAACAGAAATTCACGTAATACTTCCACTCTTTTGCAACGAGATGACACCAGAGACAGCCGTAGTCGAAGAAGTAGCGTTCCTCAGCCAGATACTTCCGCCATTCCCATGGCGTCCGTTATGCCCATACCTCCTCCAGGGACCGTTGGGAGGAGCTCAGGCCGTTCTACTTCTGCCATGTCCGGCCGTCAGTCTGGTTCTGGCTGGCCTGAACGCGGGCTATCACCACTTAGTAGACCTCTGTCTGTGCAGAACTCAGCCGCGAGTGTACACCATGAGGATATCCACGTGCCTCCTGATGGTTATATACCGACGTTGGATGCTAATTCATTCATCTCACTTCCCCCACCTCATGAGCTGCACCACAGCATACCTTCTCCATCTCCATCCCGGGAACCCTCTCCACTGCCCCCTGCTTCCCCAAATGTCCGAGCTCATGATTTTGCATATGACCCCGTTTATCCACAACAGAGACGTGCTTCCCCCGAGTCTCAGTCTCAAGCATCAACGAAGAAGTCTCAAAGCTCAACTATTTCTCAACTTGATCTTGTTACGTTTCCAACCGTGGCGCGAGATCGGGACCGGCGGGACCGTGCACGCAATTTGAGTGTGATTCCTGAAGATGTAAGTGGTTCACATAGCCCAAATACCAGCGGAATGGGACAAAGCCTGCGGTCTGAAAGGATGAGTGACTACACCTTCTCCCAACCGGCAGCGTCAACACCTTATGCTGGTCGACAGTCTTATCGAAATGATAGAGACAGCGAAAGTAGCACTGCAATGACTCAGGACAGATATTCGAAACAAAGATTCGCTGATTCGCTTCGGTACTCAAATCCCAGTGAAGTGGAGGAATGGCGGCGGACTGGTGCTGACAAGGTGTGTCTCTATTCCACTTGAAGTAAGCGTCGTAATTTTACCAATAACGTTGTAGCCTTCTCACAGCCAAGGCCCACCTCGTGCTCGCCCTATGAACGTGACAACACCCACACCGCTTTCCCCAACGGTCCCGACGGAGGAGATCCCGTATGCCCCGCCTCGTCGTCACCGCCGCAGTCAATCGGCCGCTTCAGCATCTCAATATTCTGACGTACGGTCACACCGCAGAGTTGTATCATCAGATAGCTCTGTACCAGACATCACTGTACAATCTCCGGTAAGTATCTTTTGCGTCAATTTGGATATTCTAACTTACAGCTGTGTTTTAACTGTAGTCAGGCTCTCCTTCTGATGCTCCATCTAGAGGTGGTGTAGCACGTGGCCTTCTCAGCCCTGATCATCAGCCCATTCCAATACCTCCCCCTAATCCCGTCATCCCACTTGTCCCCACCGTCCCCAACACGCCAACTGCACCACCGATAAGCCTAACAGGGCAAATATATGGTCCTCCTTCAAACTTTTCTGCCCCTCGTAACGCTGAGTACGGACGTCAAGGTGCACCTCCACGTAGTTCACAATACATGCCTTCTCCCTCTCCCGATCCAGGTCGACCAAGAAGTCCTCACCCTTCGTATACTACCGCTCCTGTACCATCAGGTCTGTCATATCCTCAGCCACCTATATCTAGAGCTGCTACGCCTAGCGGCGGACCTGCTCCAATGAGTCCGCGCTCTACCATTTCAACTGTGGACCCTCGTCGTGGAAACAGCATGAACGCAGGAATGACTCCAGCCGCTCTTGGTCATTCTAAATCATTGTCTTCTGGTCCTACGCCTACGCCCAGAGCCCAGAAGAACCCTTCGAATGCGTCGACGACTTCCCGACGATCGTACAGCCGTTATGATCCTTCGAGTTATAATGATCCCGCTTATTTTGGCAGCAGCGAATCACTTGTTGATCCAATGACGACTCCTAACACCATCGCTAACGCTGCTGCAGGATCGGTGAGGCAGCCTCAAGTCGGACCTGTATCACCCTCGCTTTCCTATCTAACCGTGCCCGGTATGGAATAAACAATTGCTGCGAATATCAATGCCTGTAGTTTGACTTTAGATTATTGACTAACATCACGGTTGAATAACTATGCTGTAATACAACTCGTTTTGCCTCGGTTGAGTGAGGGCGTTCGTGACATTAACCACTCATTAATGCACGATGCATGAACCGCAGTCGTGATCGTTGATCCTGTGTCATGCACATAGCTGACTTTGGACTTGATTCAAAAGAGTTTCAAGCATGTTCGCTTGTCTTTGCATGATCGCCTCAGTTGATTCACGTGCAGCTCGGGAGAAACAAAGGTGGATGAACCGGTGTCGATAAGCTGGATTTTCAATACAGTTCGGTAGAAACCCCGTACTGAAGGTTCTAGGAGGCTTTAACCTCGTGTGTTGGGCATGGTGATACAGGTGTATGTCGTACGTGAATGACATTCCGACATACTACGTAATGTTTACTTTCACATTCCAACCATCATCACGCAGTGGTGCCAACTGAGAAAGTGTAGGAAATGGCAATGAAGAGGAAGAGGAAGATCGGTGACATCGTCGACGAAACCGTAAACCAAGGGAACAAATTATCCCGCAAAGATACTTCACTTTCCAACCTTGAAACACTTACTACTTCTACTAGTGCCGCTGCCACTGCATCGTGCTCAGCAGACTCTTCCATAAAGCCTGTCATCGTAGCGGCACCCGACAACAGTCCATCTGCAGATCTCTGGGGACTTCTCGACTTCTCCGAGCTGAATTCGGAAAAGGACATATTGGCGCGTTTTGATGCCATCGCCAACGCATTGTTGTGTGACTATCAGCTGGTAGTCACTCGTGGAGCTGCACAGACCGCGTTTGAGATAATCGAACTCGAATTCTATCTACAGAAGTCTGCGTGCCATGAGGATCCCTTCACACACGCCCATGAGGAGCAGAGTCACAGCGGAAAATGGTGAGTATGTTTGTTATTTTCTTTGTCTCTTTATCACAAACCATACACAGGTACTTCCACCGTGTACCCAGGCGATTTGCCGAGTCTCCTAGTAAAGCGACAAGTGCTGCTGGGTATAGGGGTGGCACCCGAAAAGGACTCGACCTGACTCTAGGCGGACCTGTAACATCGCCGTTTTTCATGTCCTCGACTTCAAGTTCCAGCACATCTATTCTCAGGGGCGGCGCTCTCCTCCGCACGCTTCGTCGAATAAGCGACGGCAAGATCATATCTGGACCATCCTTACTTGTAGATGAAATACTTCGTCTCAGTAATGCCGCGAGTATTCAGGAGCTTGTAACGCAGAAATGGAATGGTGATATCAGAGGGTTTCCTCCTCCAGGGAGTCCCGCTGACTCTTGTCATACATCACTCTACTTGCAGACGAAGGATAAAGGAGTATCGTCTTCGACAAAGCCTCACATTTATCGTTCTCCACGTATCGGCCTTGATCTATCAAACCCAGAAACAACTGACTCGCGTTCACCCCTTCATCCTCGTGTGATGTTCTTAGCGAAACCGTATCGGTATTTCACGAATCCACATCTTCTCACTGCGAACGGCCGAGGCCAGACATATGTCGGCGTATATCGTGAATGTCTTCAATCTAGGAGCCTGACGGACGACGACGAAGACATGTTGACGAAAGAACTGTGCCGAATCTTGGGGATAAAAGAACAGGTGGTCAAAAGGTACCTCACAGATTACAAACTGGGATACGATAAAGGGTCGTTGCGATCTTTCATTGGGCCCGCTGGAAAAGGCGCATCAGCGTCACTTTCAACATATCTCAAAATGATGGGTACCCTGCAAAGGGTTTATGATGAGGCTATGTTACCACAGTTTACGACTACCAAAGGTGAGGAAGAAGGAAGAAGGTGAATAGGATAATCCTCAATAAAGTGAGAAGTCAAGTTAAATCTGAGAAGGGAGGTGGTAGACATCCAAAATTCGTTGTCACAAGCTGTCGAATAAGTCTAATTATTGCTTACTGAATAGTCTAGCAAATGCTATCCGCTAAGACATCCCAAACATTAATACTCTTAGCACACACATATATATGCAAGATATAGCATGCTAAACATTCAGTAGATATGTCGGGTGATATTTGACATCCAAACTTTCCAGCGACTGCGCCCTTTTTCCCGTGATGTGTCTACGGCAATTTGTTTTTCCTGCCTATCCCGCTCTCGGACAACATCTCCCTGGCCTGGCTTCCACACCGCATCAGTCTCAAAATCGACCTCTAGTAAAGGAACAAAGTGCTGTGTCTTCTTCAACACGAAGCGTTCGTAAATGGTGTAACCTAGGTACAGAATGATGTACAAGCAAACGCCCACGTAGGTCGCAACAACATTCTGATGGGACAGTTGTCAACCGGCCGGTCATCAAATTACACGAAACAACAATTCAGCGCACCTTAGCTTCGAAAGGCTGCTCTACCACTGCAGCATAGCCCTCAGCAATGAACATCAGTATAGCAAGGACAATGACACCGATGGGTAACAGCGGGAACAATGGCTGGATGTACGGCAAGTCTGACAATGCCAGTTCTTGCGCCCGGTAGGCGATACGGAAACGCAGCGAAATCGCGCCAATGGAGCCCCAGACTAGGAGTGCAGAGATTCCAGTAAGATTGAGCAACCACGTGAATACGATGCCTTCACCCCATATGGTGGTAAGAAACGAAATAAAGGACACAGCTAGTGCTACGCTGTGTGGTGTTTCAATATCGTTAAGTCGTGGAGGATGAGGTATGAAACTTACATGAGCGCAGGTACTGGAACACCCCTGCTATTTACCCACCCAAATATGCGAGGAGCCTGACCAGACCTAGCCAGCGACAGCAACATTCTTGAGCTGGCATAGAAGCAAGAATTGGTCGCAGATAGGACTGCAGTCAAAAGGACTGCATTGATGACGTGGGCTGCTGCTCCGAAACCTGCTCGTTTGAAAACAACTGTCAAGGGCGAAGCTGCAACATCCGAATCTGTTTATGCTATCGATTTATCAGTGTTCGGCGAGACTAAATGAGACCTCCATACTATATGCTGCGCTCAGTAGAGTGGGGTCTTGCCAGTTGATACATAGCCCGATTGTCAGAATAGTCAGGAGATAGAACAGTACAATTCTGAAAAATGTCGCCTTGATAGCACGGGGTACGGCCTTGTAGGGTCGAGCAGACTCCCCAGCTGCCACTGCCACGAGCTCTATTCCACCGAACGAGAAAAACGCATATACGAAGGTTTGAGCAAAATTGTGAAAACCGCCTATGAATGCCTGAGAGTTGTGGAAGTTGGATAGACCCTAGTCTAGGACATCAGAATAGTGTTTACTGGAAAGCAGAATATGATTTACTGGTCCAGGATGGCCACGAACACCACCCCAATCATAGATGAGGCCAACGATGATAAATACAACTACCATTACCACCTTAATCATAGCAAACCAGTACTCAGATTCACCTGTCAATGGGGGAAAATGTTGTAAAGTTGTACTTGAAACCAAAGAGAGAGATACCTACCATAAACACGGACGTGAATGAGCTGCATAGCGAATACTGGAGCGATGATAACTAGTGCCCACTCCCAAGCCTGCACATTGGGCGCCCAGTACTGCGATACGTTCGTATCAGTGAATCATGCAGACGTGCAGATGTCAAGCATGTAGGGTCACAAGGAGCTTTCAACATACCTGTAGTATAATGGCAGCAGCAGTCAATTCACTTGCTACATAAATATACAATTAGAAATTTGGTAATTAGTTGTGCACGTATCATATAATCCAGGCAGAACGGGTGCTTACGTATCGAAAGGCTCCTGCGAAAACCAAAAAGAATATAGACGTTAGAAAACTACAGAGTACTTGATTAGATGTACCATTGGAACCAATAATTCCATCCTATCTTCCAAAAGGGAATTAGCAAGTTGTATCATGCTGCAAGATTGGCAATCCTACCTAATGTAAAGCCCAGAGCGGGGGAAACAAATCTGCTACCAAAGATAGAGAATGCACCAGAGACAGGAAACATTGAAGCCATTTCTCCCCTAGAAATATACAGGAGTAGTGAGCCTTGGGTTTAAGGAAGCTGGATAGCATATAGTGTGCTTACAGAGTGATCACGACTGTGTATACAAATACACCGACCACAAAATACGATAGTAGTGCGCTACCTGGCCCCGCTAAGGCAATGGCCTTGTGAAGTTTGAATATAAGAAAGCGCTAGATAGAATACCGTGACTGGCATGCAATACGTACCGAACCTGCACTCAAGAAAATACCTGTACCGATTGTACCTCCGATGGCTACGATAAAATCAGTCTATACGAAATATTTATTGTTATATTTTGGGCCTATCAATACTCACCAATCATCATAAGATGCCTGCTCTGCATGGCTCTTTTTGTTGCATTCTCATGGTCAGTGGAGGGGGATCCCAAGAACATTCTTCTCCAAAAACTTGACTGGCTCGAGTCATAATGGGAAGCAGGAAGGGGCAAGTCTTCACCACTGCATTTCCAATCTTTTGCGTCCTCGACCTTGGGTGAATCTGAAGCTTCAGGTTTGTCCAGAGAAACCCTACTGCCAGTAGTATTTTGCACGGCCGCTGCTGAACCTGGTGTTCGGGACATTGCCGTTACAGCTTCGAGCTGATCGTACTCAAAGAACCGAACGGAAAAGTAACTATCGTTGAGAGAAAGGCGCAATCATACAGCACAGAAAGACGCGAGCACGCCATGGTGACTTCCGAAAGATAATGAACGGGAACCATGTGCGATATCGCGCAAGTTTGACGGCAACATTTCTGGTTGCCGGCAGGTCACGAGACGAGGGATCTGTACTTACAATAACGAGACGAACATATGGTATACTTAATCTGCATCTCGAAGACATCGGCAATACAAACCAGTAAGTAGTCGGGGAGGGATAACCACGGGCTGGTGGACATCAATGCATTTTTCAGGAAAGCGTAGTAGTGCAAGAAAAAAATGGCCAACATCAGCCCATAACATAGCGAGGTAGAGCTGAAATAAGTGGTACCATTGCTTATACCGCAATAGGTAGCCAGGTGAGCTTGCAGTTCCTTACCCCTTGGCCTGTCGCCGTTTCTCCTTCGAGATCTTTTGGCGTTTTTCCTCCAATATCGAGTTCTAAACAGAAATGAACATGTGCTTTGTGTAAAAAGAAGAATGAAGCTGACCTCTGCAGCTCGTTTTCTTTCTCCGTACTTCATCCGCTCGTATAGTTTCCTCTTACGTTTGCTCATCATCATCTTATTCATATCCTCGCCTTCAGCCTCGTTGACGACTTCCTTCTTCTTCGACTTCTTATGCGATTTCTGAACCTCTTTCTCGAACTCTCCAAACTCAATACCAGCTGCCTCGGCTGCTAACTCGGCAGCCCTCAATGAATCTGGGTCGTCAGTGGCCATCACTGCAGCTGCAGCAAGTGTAAGTTTATCTGTGTCTTCTCCTTCGACATCAGAAACTTCTTCTTGACTTTCTTCGGCACCCTCATCTTCAGCAGCAAGCTCTTCTCTGGTGGGGCCCGCCATGGGGTCGTACGCTCCTGCTCGAGCTGCGAATGGCGACAAGTGGGGAGGTAGCGTCTTTCCTTGTGCATAAAGATCCTCCAGCAGTATCTTCCCAGCATTGATACAGTCCACAATCCACTGTGGTTGCACGTATTTTCTTCGAAGTCTGCGTTCCCGTTCTTCTGCCGATTCGTTGGGTTTTTCAACCAAAGGACGGTCTATTATGACATGTGTGATGGAATCGTCCGATTCAGCGAAAGGCGATCCTCCACCTACCGAGGAGGGCCAGCCAATCCGCCCGCCAAAAGAGCGAACGAGGAACTCGAATATAGGTCGCGACGACTCACGTGACAAGAAAAACGTGAATGGCTCAAAAAGTTTTGTCGGCGCTGCCTGTGGTAACGATGATATCGACTGCAGAGTGGGGAGTGCGCTAATTGCATTGGGATCAGAAGCAGACGTTTGAGGTACGAATTCTTCGTCGATCTCAGCAGACTCGGTGGTTTCTTGGGGAACATCCATGTCTGCATCCTCGTTTGCTGATGCATTGACTCCAATGCTTTTAATGGTTTGCCGTACTTCTTTGCTAGATACTGACTTGGTACCAGGGGCAGCTTTTTCGGGCTTGGCGATGACTTTGTGATCGACCTCTTGCAGACTGAACGCTCCGATTCCCGCAGCGGCATCATCTTTGTTTTGGTCCAAAGGAGGAGGATAAACTAGTCCAGAATCTGTATATAGCTTGAAGAACACGAACCCCATAAGCGTTTGGTATAGCTCCAAGAATGTCAGCATGACACGGACATCCACATCTGAAGGCACCTGCAAACGTAATTGAGCACTGATCAATAATTCGATAACATGCGCAGTACATACGTTCTGGGTGAATTGATAAGGAGTGAGCCATGTTACAGTTTGGTCCATGACCTCTGCTTGGTAGTAGACACCTTTTATGGATAAGAAAACTTTACGGAGTGACCGAGAGTGCATAACGTAGAGCTGCCATTCAGCCGTCAACCGAGTACAGTTCTCGATTAAAGATGGAGAAACGCGGCCATCCGAGGGTAGGGAAGCAAAGAGATAAATCATGCAGAGCGCATCATCGATATCCCGGATAGCATCAATAAAGGTGGGATATCTAGACAACCACTCAACTACAGCTCATACGAATGAAACGACAACTAGCACTCACCTTTCCTTGATGATGTGATCTAAGCGATACGTAGGCTTATTTTCGTCGAGATTTTTTGCAGTGCTCCATTCCCCTCTGCCAATCGCACGAGAAATCTTTTTGGCAAACGCTTTGTGCTCTCGAAGTTTTTTCAGTACCGGTTCATGAGCGAGGTAGGTAATATCTTTGGCATAGTAGAACGAGGTTGGCGCTGTGGACCCTTTGTTGGCCCGCTTCTTATGTCGAGGCTCCCGTGGAAATATTCCTTTAGTTTTTTGCGAATGGTTAGAATTTTCCTCATTTGCGTAGATAAGGAAACACGCCTTTTAGTATGCAAAGTCTACGGAAATCTGCCAGCGTGCATTGCAGCCTTTTGACCGCATAAGATCTTGTAACGTAGGCCTTGGCGGCTCCTGCCTTTCCTTTTTGCTTGATGCGACCCATAATGCAGAGACGAAAAAACTAAACAAAACTTTCAAAGGTTAAGATAGCTGCTTATCTAATACTACCCGATTGGGATATCTAGCTCCTGTTTTAGCCCACTGTTATCATTGTTTTCGTTGGTTTCCCTTCTCTGATAAAATTATCCTTTGTGAAAAGGTATACATAAAAGATGTGAATGTTTGAGAATGTAAGGAATGATAGTGTTTCATTTATTTTCTCTTGTATATCGAATTGTGCCATTCTACATTTTGGCCCCAAAGTCATCATCAGCGTTCGGTAGACTGAACATAATGCTGCTTTTGATTCGATGGAAAGGTCTGCAATACTCATCATCCGTCATACAAGGCTCTTGCAATACTGTTTTTATAAGACACATTTGGGGGGGGGGGGTCGACGCCGCAGCGATCACCTCGCGCAGGTTCCATTAACACTAGGGTTCTTAAAAAAGAGTCAAGATTTTAGGTCGGCTTTAGGATCTGGCTCTCGAATCCACTCATGAAGTTCCCCTTTTCTTCCCAGACGACGATGTCCAAATTTGATATTATATTGGTATTATGGTATAGGTATCCTTAAAGAGAGGTCTAGCGTTACGTATAGGTACATGGCTCAGCCAGAGTTGTTAATAACAGAAGATAACCAAGCGTATCCGACACCTTTCGAACAATGAAAGCGGATTCGTCGGGGGGGGTAACGCGTGGGTTGCACGAGATAGCCAGCCATGGCGAAGCCGTATTAAATATTATATGCACAGGGGGAATATATGAAAGCGAGGAAAACAACATAGAAAGTAAGTTTGTTGTGAAGTCAAATTCTTGGCGGTAGACCGAGTGACTGCTGGAAGAATTGATCACTGTTTTCGAGGCTGGAACGCGAGCCTGCATTCCATGGATACGGGGAAGATAACCTTCGAAGAGCAAGTGAGTATTAGTATATCGTATACAAACATCTAGATCATCTTTGTCACATACGAAGCTGTCTTTTATTTCCATACTCCTTTCGTTGGTTTCAGGAGGCGCTATGATATCAAAGTTTCTCGCCAATGCCGCGATGGTAATCCTTAGCATCATTTGAGCTAAGTTCTGACCCCCACACGCTCGCGAACCCATGCCAAAGGGAATTAGGTATTGAGCCATCTGGGCCAACTGTTCCGAATTACCAGAAGTCTCAAGCCAGCGGTCGGGAAGGAAGGTTTCCGGAGAAGGGAAGATGGAGGCGTCGCGATGCATGGACCAGCCTTGCGTGGATACGATGGTACCTGGAGGGAGTGCATAGCCCATGAGATCAAAGGCTTCGTTGGTGGCGCCATTCTTAGAAGTCGAAGGTGGGACAACGCGTTCAAGAGCGCTTGGCGCAGCGCCGTAAAGGCGAAGGCCTGATATAATCAATGCGCATGAGAAAAATAATACACCAGAGGTATGAGTGTTACGTACCTTCTTTTACAAAAGCGTTTAAATATGGTAGTCTCTGCAATACAGATATATCTGGAATAGCATGGGAGTCAGGAATGGCTTGATCAAGTTCGGCTTGTAGTTTTCTCATAACATCGGTACGACGACTCAATTCCCAGAGGAAGTACGACAGCGAAATTGACATAGTATCTGTCCCAGCAATCCTGGGCGCAAAATAAATGAGCACTCCTGGTATGTAGGCAACTAAAAAACGGTCGTTTACATGTGACCCATTGCTTCTGATATGATATCTTGGTCAGGCATTGCTTCATTGGATGTATACTTATAATCGAGAAGTCGATGAAGCATTGGAGCCTTTTCAGATTCACCGATTTTACCGGAACTAATTTGAGCCCTCGTTTCGTACACTCGTGCGCTAACGAACTAGATAAGTTTTACGATGAGTCCATAGACGACTAAAGACAGAAAATCTGACAAACCTCTGCCATTATTTTATCAGAATCACACATCTGGCGCCATCTATTATTGGGAATACGACAGATGAAGTTCCATGCCCATGTGGGACAAGCGCTCCTCTGCGCAAGTTGGTTGAATTTAATTTAAGATCAAGATTTAGAAGAGCTGCCTTACAAGAGTTCCGCGCTTTGGAAAATCACCAATGGCGGTCGATAGAGGATCTTCAGCGCCTACGATCCACTTGCTAAGAGCACCGAGACGGTACCCATAGGAGGATGAAACGATGACGTCAACCATAAAGTGGCGGAATAACGTAAGACAATCCAAAGGTTGTTTGCTTGGCATTTGTTCCAAGCCCTGGTTAAAAGATATGAGCGTAATAAGGAAGATAAACCATAAAATGTAGCTACATGGACGAGTTCCAATGTAAAATCACGGGCTTCAGGTTGGAATAAAGCCAGGTTTGCCGGAATGTAGTGTGGGGCATAACCTTTTCGTCGTACGGCATATTGTGCATGGTCTAAGGTGGTCATACTGTGAATCTGCATTAGCATACACTTAGCGTTTTACTAAAATGATACTAACGCGTGATCATTATCGTTTCTATTTCGAAGCAGTCAATATACATGTGCCCTGCCAATCGTTTACGGACTCACGTGAGAAGACTCTTGTAAAATGTACTCTTGTCGAACTTGTGAACCAAGTAGACGCTTCTCATCGTTGTGATATCGCGGAAAACGACCTTATTAGGAGCGATACGTACAACTGGACCGTAATCTTCAAAGAGCCTTTGGACCGTTTTACATTGTTGCAGGCGAAGGACGTGTGTCGTGATCCAGAAATTGGAGATGGCAGCATACCACGGACCGGGTATTGAGCTGAGGGGGGAGAATGCGAGGTTGTAAATGACGCGGAAAGCGAACCAAAGGATAGCGAGTGATAGCACAGTGACGCCAATGTTGTGAGAAAACCAAGATGGAGGAGTAGGAATCGCGTTGTTGATACTGTCCATGGTGTGTGGGTATAGAGGATGTTGAGACAGCTTCGAAATATTCCAAGATATTCTTGTGAGGAACCCTGCCTACGTCGCTCGAGGGAGGGAAGGGGAAGAAGAAAAGGGCGGCCAGCGGAGAGATAAGATTTGGAAAACCTTATATACATTTCCTGCAGAGTGACAAAAAACATATCACAGACGTGACATTGAAGGAATGCAGGGATAAATATTTTGAATTGATTCCGCGGACAACTTGATCTGATACGTCATTTCAACTAGACATTAGATTCCTAAATCTGGGAATGTGCATTCCAATTACAGACGTGGACGTATTCCGTGACGCCCGGTGGTCTTGCTGCTAGCTAGTATTTGATCACGTCTTACCATCGCCCCTACGGCGGATGAGTATGAACAACCATACAGCCGAGATCGATGGATAGAAACAATTTTAACCTGCCTTAGCAGAATGCTTGTTGATTCGGGCCTTCTAGAATGCAGACCTCGTCCATAATTCCCTGCCGCCAGGTCAGGCAGCCCTGAGAATCAGACCCTCAAAATATAGCACAAAATACCACAATCAAAGAAAAGGCGTGAATCTGCAATGCCGAGCTGCGATATGCTCGAAGTCCATATCTTCTGCATTCGCGTTCCTCTTGGATGGCTCTCACTTCACCGCTACGAATCATGCGTAGCTGAAGAACCCGAATCTGGACAAGATAGGAGCTACCAGTACTAAAACAGGTAGTCAAGTACTTGCCGATGGCGACCAGGAGACAAAAGAGCCGTTGTTGGTAAGGTGTTATCAGTTTCAGCCTATTGATCATCAGCGACAGAACATGGTAACACGAGGCACAATCATGAGAGCGCGGATATTTAGTTTGACCGCCCCTTTCACCACAAGGACGGTTGAGGCAACTTGAATGCCTTTACTATTTTTTGAAGAGCCTGCGGAATCCATAGGCGGAACGCAGGGAGAGCACGGAGAACAGGTGCCAACTTCGACAATGTACCTATGTGTAGATTAGCTCGGTTTAAAGTCTCAGAAATGATCTGAATAAAAGCAAGAAATGTCAAAACTAGCGAGATAAAGCCAGTCAACGAGGCGGGAACGAGGCATCGACGCGATGTTGTCACAGGCAGAATTAATTGTTTACATTGTTACGCACATTCGCGGAGTTCACGTGATGAGAAACCCTACTGTTTTTGGATCGGGGCCATCGCGGCATTCAGCTAACCTCCAACTGCAAAAGCTAGAGCTGCCATAAATGTCGATCATTCCGATGAGAGTGGGGTTACGAACGGAATAATAGTGTGGGTTCAGGAAAGCAATGGCTCTAGGGTGTCATTATCAACTATCGACAACGGCTGTACAATCAACTTCTTTACAGTTTTTCTCCTCGGACCGATCAAACAATGCCTTTTTTTGAGTAAATACTGAAGCGACATAATGTCTGCTTCTCAACAACAAAGGCCGTGGGCAGACAGCCCTCGAGGCCAGCGTTGAAAATGCCCCTCTCATGGTCCCAATATCGAAGCACGTCGAACTCATGGACAGTTCAGTGGATATACCATGGTCCTCCTGGGCGGACCCAGACCCCAAGAATGGAGATCAAGTCATATGGTCGACAGGAAATACAAGTTGTCGCACTACGTTGTATTGGCAAGCAATAGCATACAGACATCTGACTAATTGACAAAAAATTCCGTAGAAATCGCGGAGGGACGAGAGTGATTTGGAAACCTGGTACCCGTAAGTTCCACTGGCAGTGCAAAGATACTAGTCAAACGTAATTACAGGATGTCAAGGCTAGCGTGTCATTTGGTCCATGTACGTATAGATCCGTTATCATTCGTAGCGTGCGCAACAACAAAAACTTTCCAGTCCACAACAGTTAATATATCGATATTCTTGTCCAGGCATCATCGCAATATTCACATGGCCGAGACAGCGAATGCTGATGCCAACACCGCACCCAGTACAGGCATCACAACATTCACACGAGAAGCCTTACTCGTGCTGCTAGGAGCACCCGTTGTAACATCACCGTCCCAACAATATCTCTCGAAACAGCTTGCACAGACTCCGCTCCTATCAACACCCGTGCGATTCCTCGCACGGTCGACAACTGCACATGCCAGGCATGCGGGCCACTCTGGATCTTCCGCCTCACTGGAGTTGGCAGGATAGCCCTGGGTAGTGATTAAAAACGTCTGGTCCAGCATTGCTTGAATTTGTGCGGCCTGATACGAAATCTGGGCTGTAGACGTGTTGGTCAATGGAGCTTCGCCGTTGTGAGGGGGTCCACCGTTCGCAAGATAAATTACAAGGGGAGCAGTAGTGCTAGTATTGCATCCAAAAAATGTAGGGCGAGTACTGAGATTTTGAGCGGTGAATTCAGAGAGGGTGTTAGGTACGGGCGGGAAAGAATAAGCGGAAGGGAAGAAAGTCGTGCGGTTTTGTGTAGCCTTTGGGAGTAATTAACCTTAGCAAAGACCGACTAGTCCATTATACAACTAAGAACTCACTATCAACGAGCTACCATCCGCAAAATTATTAACATCGGACGTCTGTTTATATGTGAGTGAAAATGGGCCGTCAATAATAAACTGCAACCTTACTGCATCGATTGCAACTATGACATCAACGTCTCGTGTTTTGACAAGCAATGGCTGTATGGGAATAACTTCTCCATCCTCTCCTCCATCAACCAAATTCAAGTTCTTTTGGTTAGAGTCGATAAATGTGTCCGGAGATACTCCATAAAATGCATTTGGCCACGACGCAACGTCAAGCTCAACCCCTTCTTGAGGTAGGAGGCTCTCGAAAACAGAAATCACTGAGCCGAGGGTCGCATTGAGGATGTTCTGCAGGAATTGATAAATCCGACGGCTCTCGAAATTAATTATATGTTGTCCTCACGGTTAGGTTGTACTCGTTAAAAAGCTCGGACGAACTTCCAGCGACAAAGCTAGACTGATCATAGCCAGTTACACACACGCTCGTGTTCTGAGTACCTAGGTATTTGGTGGGCGTGAAGGCCGAAAGCACGGGATCGAAAGATCCCATTTCAACTGCGGAATGCCAAGGGGTCAGCATGTGTTGTTCCTATAGTTGTAAAATCATAGAACTCACAAACATTGAACTCGATTAGAGGATTCGTGAGAGGAATATAATCTCCTGCCTCGACATTGGATGTATTCTGGGATGGCGAATCCAAATCGGCAATCACGATTGGGAAGGGAATCGAATGAGATGTAAAAGACGATCTAACGAAAGTTAAGCGTCAAGATCGTCAGCTGGAAAGGTCCCACTCACGTATTAGCTACACCGGAGAACAAAACTCCGGCCCCATGAGTTACAGATTCATCAAAGAAATTTGTGACTGTCGTCCCATTAGCAAAATGTCTGGCCAAAGCGCGTGCCCAGAAATCTGCAAAAGTGACCACATATCCTGCATCTCGCTTCCCTTGCAACTCTTCCACCAAATCTTTGATATACTCTACATCGGTGATGGGATTATCATTAGGGGCAAATATATCGTACTGAGCCAACCACCCTCCCCATGCATTGGTATTATTCGAAGCAGAAGCACCAGAAGTCGGCCCGAAGACAAGATCCTGGATAGTGGGGAAATCGGCTTGAACAAGAGATGTGAGGAACCAAGATCCGCCTGATAAGCCAGAGAGATAGGTAGCAGCTTGTAGCAATCCTCCTGTCCCAGCGCTCGCCGAAGAACCATTCCTCGCGTCTAATGCATTCAAGACACCAGCTCCAAAGATGGCAGCTCGGTAACCCCCTCCGCTTGTAGCAATTCCAAGAGTTGGGTTCTGAGTGCTGTTGCCTTCGAGGATATTGGTAACGTAATCGGGAAGCGAGACTTTGGTGGCCTGGACATTTGCAAGATATGACTTCCAGGCCTGAGGCAGGACTTGAGACTTCCTGGTTTGGATGTAAGCAGATTCTGATGGACTGAGTGTCTGATTATCCGCTGACGAACCCGCCATGCGGACGAGCGAGAAATTTGAAGGGCATGCGCCGGACATAGGCGTATAAGCCTGCGAAGCCACGGTCTGAGCCGACACTGACAAGGCAAGCAAAGAAGGCAGGATAGCCAACGCGATTTGAGTCAACTTCATCGCACCTGCCATCGTCACCTAGACTTCAAGATCGTAACTGGGAACTGGTGAAGAAAGATGCGTGAGCTGCGTATCGTTCATTAAATATGGGGCACAGGAACAACCGGCTAACTTTGAAACCGTGCGAGACAAAGGTGCTTGCGAGTAAAACACGCAACTAACACACAGTAAAAGTAATGTGGCAGTGTCGTTATGAACCGGGCGTTCAGCTCGACGGGGGTCTTGAACTTCAGCAGATCAGCTAGAGCGGACAGCACCGGTGTTACTGCAGATTCAGAAGTGGTTAGCGGGCGAAGAGAGAGCGCGTTATTAATGCTTACGACGAGGAGCACGTTTGCCTGTGTAAAAATAATTGATAGGACCCGAACAGTGACATATGCCAGTGGACTCATATGGATCAGTCCCAGTTTGATGACTCGGATGTCTATCATTGTGATCCCGGACGTGGCTGTGTTTCTAATATCGAGGTTAAGGTTTGTTCCAATCCCAATCGACCTCGGAAGTTCAATTTCTTTTCCTTACCCACACCAAAGACTTAATTCTACAGCGATGCCCATAGCTTTCTATGTGGACCAATGCAAGGCAGATTCCCGAACATTGCAATATCTGACTGCGGCACGTCCTGAGTGAACACTTAGACTAATTCAGATGGAGTTCAGCGCCACTATGACTGGAGTCTAAGGGCGCAGTAGATAGCGGCGGTGCGATCGTTACGATGACGAGCTTCCCATCGCTGTGGTCAAGTGGCCTTCCGACGGAGCGTAAGATGGTCTTACTGTAAAAAAAAAAAGTATGGTCTAAAATGGATGGGGTAAGGTGAGTACAAGGTCCAACTGCAGCTAAGGATACCTTGATTATATGCACCCGATCTCAGCACATTGTATAAGCCTTCAATACTTAGCTGTCGTATCAGGACGTTCAGTCGAAAGCATATAACTCAACGATTGAAGAACTAAATTTTGGGTACCCGTGACGTCCTGTGAACTGGAGCTTATCAAGTCAGGTACATCACACCATTCAGAATTTTGGACAAGATGCCTACCACGAATTACTGGAATATCACTCGCTCAAGTTGTCATCCACTTGTGTTTTCTACGTTATAGTTATCTTTGCATCGACTTTAGATTGAAGGATTACCGTGAGCATTTCATTCGGCATTTATAAAGTCAAGTACTCCTGAATCTGCAGCTCATGCCCATTCATATTCAATGACAGATTCAAAATAAAACAACAACAAGGATGCATAATAGATAAATAACACAAATACGCTCAACAATACAGTATGTACATTTTTACAATACGTGCCAGTACACAAAGTCGTTGAACACCTAAAATCTTTCATCTTCTCGTAAGCACAGTAGACGCGATCAACACGCCTGCAAATGTACCAAGAACGCCTACGATTATCCATCGCATCCACTCGTCAAAGCGATAAGCTACTATCGGGATCCCCGACGATGTAAAAGTCACGGTCGCGCCGCGGAATGAATATATGACAACCCCTGTGACGAATCCTGCAATCGAATAGGCAAGAAATACAAGTGGGAGGGACAATATCATGCTCCGTCGCTTTTGCAAGAGAATTATTAATGGATGAATGAAGAGCCAGAGAAGATTGAATACGCACTGTAATGAAAACAAACCCTTCTCCACCAATGGTACTCGTTGGACGTGTTACGTCTGTCTTGTAGCGAATAAATGCCATTAACGAAGCGATCATACTCGCGGTGGAGCATACAATCGCGACGAGTCCAGCGATGCGAGAGATTGTATCCAAGCCAGGAAGTGTCATAAGCGTCACGGAGGCACTGAGGATGAGGGCAGCCTGGGAGGAATAATCGAGTCTTGTTCAAGGATCAACGTGAATAGTAACTTACCACTAGACATGATAATCCGCCAATTGCTAGTAGAGGCCATGCATACCTCGAGCCACTCTCAATGTCAACTTGGCCATGGCGTGCACGATCTGCAAAAAGAAGGGGAATACCAAGGCATACAATGCCAACGACGACATCAACGACGGCACGCGGAAATGAATATCGAGAACGTGAACTGCGGGCGGAAGGACCAATGTCTCGTGGAAGCGGTTTATGCGCACGAAAGTATATTTGCCTCCAGCGGACTTTTGGACATCATCAGCTTTCAGGAGCATAAACGGAATAAGGGCTGTGCTTACCGACACGCAGGAGAATTCGTGCAACCATGCGGGTATGGACCGCTCGTTGAATATCAGATTCGCGTGAGGGGTCTAGATAAATCAAGGTGCGGCTGAGCATTAACGTCTTCACGCTGATAATGTCCACTTACCTCCAGATGACACTAGCAATTCTAGCAGATCACGACACTCTTCTTGAGAAAATGGCGGTGGTGCGTGATGTGGAGATCCTTGAAGTCGATCTGGTATCACATCGTATCAGTCAAATGAACACAGTACGGATGCAACACAACATAAATACCAGTTAAGGACCAATTCAGCGCGTCGATAGCCTCTCTACGAGCCTCTAGAGGAAGGATGACGTGAACAGGGTGTGTTTCCACAAACGACCAATATCTAAATTCATCATCAAGCGCTGCAAATTTGGTTAGTACCACTAGATGCATTTCACTTCCACACTCACTATCATCGTCAGATCCTTCTCCTCGTTCCCCAGGAGTTTCTCGTGATATAATACGAGCATTGTGGTCCACCCAAAACGCTTCCAAAACAGCAGTCCGTTTTCTGCTTTTCCTGCCGTCTCTAACCCATACTTCGCACGATTCACGTGAATCTCCGGCCTCTGTAATGGCACGCTGAGCTGTCTCCGTTACATCCGCACGGCGTGGGTCAACATCAGCTGTCACGCGCATTCCATGATGCACGAAGTATCTCGCGCCATGAGGGAGCGCTTGGGCAGTCCAACCGCCTGCTACAGGCTGACCGGCACCGCCTTCAGCACGATATGACCTCGCCATGGGAGAAGGGCCACCTTCATAGCCGTATGGTGGGTCGCGGTATGTGGACCCAGTACTGCCGTAAGGGAAAGACGTAGCGATTGGAGGAGTAGATGGGCGTATAAGCGGCCTACGTTCACTGAAAAGTAGAAGTGGTCAATCAATAGTTTTCATCGTCATACGAGGAGAACATACTCCATGTCAGGCTCACTTCGCGCCATGGACCTGGACTCGGTAGAGAAATTAAATCCTGAGGGCACCGCGCGAACGGATCTACTGGTTATGAGTACAGCCTGAAGCAGAGGTCGAAATTGGGGATACTTACTTTGAAAGCATTACTTCATGCATCGCTGGTAAGGGCATAGCTACTGGAGCAACAGGTGCGGGCAGATAATTTTCATCACGAGGTGAGCGAGGATCGATTGGCCTAGAATAAGGCGAATAAGTTCAAGCTAACATATCGTATTCATCTTTACTGAAGACTTACTCGGGTACATGGATAGTCTCTGTTGGCGATGGCCCAGTGACAGTTTGCACGGGTACGGGAACGACGCTTGGTGCAGGGTCGGCGAACGGGTCCTCTGCTGGCATACTAACGAACATGATGTTTAGCATTCTATCACCCAGTCGCAGCTTAAACGACACTCACCCCAAACTGGCTTTACTCTGCCCAAAGCTGGTGCTACCATTACTCCAAGTGTATGTCGTACCTTCTTTTGGTTGTGGTGGTCCAGTGTGGGTAATTCGAATAGACGATCGGCTTGGGCGTGCAGATACTGCTCGGCTCTGCTGAGGTTGAGACGAGCTGGCAGACGAGCCTCGACCACGAGATGAACCAAAAGACATGTTGGATTTGGACTGCTTTTGCGCAAGTATGTGAGCGCTAGGCTGTACGGCAACTGGAGCTGGGTATGGCATCTGATCAGCCCAAACGTTGGATACGTGAGCGTCTTCAATTGGAGGTGGAGTGGCAGTTCGACGTGTGTCAAAGTAGTTGGTGACATCTGCGGAAGACGTATGTTGCTGCGGTACGTCTGAAATGGACCCGGAGAAGTCCTCAGGCTCATCGGTGAAAACAGGTGCTGGCTGGCTGACGATCACGGATGGAGCTTGGGTTGTAGGGGCGGGTTGAAGTTCTGGCATTAAGATGGATGCAGGCTTAGACTCTGGCGCGGCGAGTGATGCTGGTTTGGAACCTGCAATCACGGCGGGAGCTGGAGCTGGAGTTGATACTGGCCCCGGTACTGGGGCAGGTGCAGGGGCTGCAGCAGGTGGGTTTTCTGGAGGCTGAGACTGGGGCACAATTGTCCCATTCCCACTCGACAGAGGAGACTTCCCTTTGACAACCTCTTGTTGCGTCGCTGCGGCTTCACGAGCAGGCGACTCTGCGATCGGGCTCGGTGCTATGGTTGCTGCAGGAGCGGGGACTGAGAGTGTCGCCGTGTCGAGTTGTTTAAGGGATCCTGAGTTTGAAGCTGTATCTGATGGTTCTGGTGGTGGAGGGGTTTGGGACCTGCCCGCGAGTGGGATACTGAACGCTGTCGACGAACGACGCATGACGGTGCCAACGCGCGAACGGAAGGTGCCTTTCTTCTGAGACGACGGAGTAGCCATTGTTGATCAGAGATGAGTTGTGAGTTCGAGTGAAAGGAGTGTACACTGGAGGACCTGCTGACAGGGTTGACGAGAGAGGAGAGCTAGAGAAGAGTCCATTATCTATGCTTTGCCTGGTGGTTTCGATGAGGTTGGCCACGCGCTAAAGGACTGGTGTGCAAACCACAAGATATGATATGGCACCGCTGTAGGCTGATAATCGCGAGACAATTGGCGGCCTGCAGGTATACACGTGTTGTCCGACGTAAATCGGAAGTAAATGGATAGCCCTGTTTCAAAGGTATAGATCATCGTTACAGTTCGCACTTTAAGATTTATTTCAAGTCTGTATATTAGCTTTGAAAAACCAGAGGATCACACCCATTGTCAAAGTTGCATTGCTGACAGAAACCGAAAAGAAGTGGACAAAGATCACAGGGACGGGATACTGATTTGTGAGATTGTGCAGATAGAAGGGCATACCGTACTGTTCCTTATTCGGGAGGAACAAAATGAATTCATTACACTTCATAGTTTCGACAGTATGACAACACAAGTATACCTGTAGCACTAGAGCCTTGGACGCAGCCGCTAGAGAGCCCATACATCGTACCAAGACTAAGAATGATGGTAGAAACACGCTGCAGCTTCCACGTGCATTTTAGCAATGATTGCGACTTTGCTGCACGAAGTCCTTGATGCAAACGGCACTTTCACCAATGGATTGCGGGATACGCTCATATACGTATTGCTGTGCCAAAAGGACCTATGCGCATGCTCGGATCCCGATAAGATTCAGGGCATCGTTTTTTGACTACCGCCATGCCGAATCGTAAAGGCGGTCTTATGTTGATATGATAGGTCCACAGCACGATCGCTCAGCCCTAGAGCAATAAGGACGGAAGTCTGCTGGTGATGGGTGGATTGTCATAAAGGGCAAGTGGACATGCGTCATGTATACGAGGTTACCGAGTGGAACAGCACAGCTCACATTCCAAGCCAGCGGGTATCAACAAAGTAAATGAGAGAGGATTCCCTTGGACGGAGCGCATTGAGTTGCATGTCATAGATCCCAGCAGTACCACAAGGTCCAGTCGTAGCAAGCATGTCTTGCTGATATCGTAGAATCCAGAATAGTGTCAGAGTGCATATCATATGTCCATTCGCTCGAAGGTCGTAAAGCAAGATATTTCCGAAGGCCAAGGAGCTGAAACCAGATTTGAGGTTGGGAGCCAGCAGCTGCATTGTTTTTATAAAAAAATTTATAGGTATGTCAACAAATGTTTCCAACAAGAAATTTAACGTAAAATCGAATTTATCTTCAAGTGCAGCATACCTTTACGAGATATTTGATTTGCTCAGTGTCCGCAGCTCACTTGGTGGGGGTATGGAACTCGTCTGGGTCGTCGTCAATAAACTACACTAGTTGTCATCACTGAGTAAAATAAGTTGAATGGCTTTCTGTGATAGCGGCCTGATACAATATTTTTTATCAGAAGAAAGAGTGCATCTGGGGCTTACCAGTGGTGAAGATTGTCAAAATCCTTCCATGACTACCACAACTAGTGCTCGTATGAACTGGATGTTTTTCACTACTTCTTTATTTTCTTCTAGCACCAGAGGTTGAACGTCATACGCAGCTGTAGGCAATTGAGAACGATAGAGGCACAATAGTGATTTAGGTTATCAGTCAGTAGTAGAAAATGGCGATTTGGTCTCTGAGAGGATGGGTTAACCTGACACTGCTGGTCATCGGCATTTGCCCTTTACATCGTGACTTACAGTATACTCTGACCTACACTTGAAACGTCTTCCGCCTTTCTCCAGTTCTTATCCTACGAATGACAGTTGATTTATCGGCATATCTCGTACAGATTGCAGAGGCTCTAGTCTCAGAAAATGGACCCAACCTAGCATACCTCCTTCGCCCTACCAGTCCACATGGCAAAGATCTTTGCAAGGAATTCCGAAATGCATCGGTACATTTTTGCTACTTTCTTTTGTACATTGATTCAACTCGAAATGCAGAAAGAATCCATAAAAGTTTACTGCGAAGGAATGATCGAAAGTCCATGGGATCTAATTGCTATGCAGTATGTCTTAGTGACCTCTTGCATCGTGAAGAAACGCCCAGGAGAAGCCTTCAAGGAGCAGGCTCAGCTTGTTACGTGAGTGACGGTATTCATCTGGGAGATGCTTAGAGCTCATGGTTATGACTACAAGGTTATTTCTTCGATATTTCACTCAGAACAGTGGTTGGACGTTGCCTGCCTTGTTTTCCATCCTCAGAGATTTGCGTGATTTAGCCTTTGATGTGAGTACATTATAAAATTACTCATCTATCTACTACCACTTGTTCCAGGCCGACTTTCATGCAAAATACAATGGTCAAAAAAGCGAATGCATGGAGGAAGCTGCCAGAGTAATTTCCAAGGCCTTTGGTAACTGTATGACAGATCGGTAGAGAACTATTCACCATTAAATATTCCTATTAATATTGATCACCTACCATAGAACGTCACCACCAGGAGAATCACGAAAGTGGGGTACATACTATGTCGTGGGCTTGGTGTTAAAATGCTACTTTCGGGCATGTAGTTCTGCCATCCCCTGTCGATGTCTGTAACCTTGTCCATGCAGGTCAAACTTATCTCACTATCGAAAAACATACTTCGGGCGTTGAATGCACATCCAGATCTCCCATCTCTATCGTCGTATCCACGGTCTCATCAAGTACGTTTCCTTCAACTTCTTACTTTGATATGGACTCGCTAACTACCTGTAAGGTCACCTATCGATATTACCTGGGCATGCTAAGTTTCTTGAATGAAGATTATGCAAAGGTACGATATTCACGACCCTAGCCTTTTATTATGTACCTGACTTTTGTCTTTCTTTCAAGTCTGAACAGGAACTAACTGTTGCTTTTTACCATTGCCACACGGGTGCACATAGTAATCAAGAGTAAGCAAGGGCTATATGCTCGTAGAAGAACAGAGACTGATGTGTACATCATCAGACGCATATTGACATATCTCATCCCTTTGCGTATACTACGAGGTCATCTACCATCTAGGGAATTAATGCAGCGCTTTCCAGTCCTTGATGAACTCTTCACACCATTCATTGCCGCAATTCGTGCCGGAGATCCTTCTGCTTACGATACAGCATTAGAAAAATGGGAACGTCGGCTTGTTGATCTCAACTTATGGCTCACCCTCGACAATGCACGCGAGCTGTGTATCAGAGGAGTATTCCGGAAAACGTGAGTACCTTTTCTCGGGAAGGCTGTTGGTCTGATTGTTCTTCGCCGACTGGCCGTTAACGAGACATGATTGTAGGTGGGTGGTCTCAGAAAAAAGCACGCGTATTCCAATATCAATGTTCCACTGCTCACTACGAATATCCGGCGTACACATATCGCAAGAGGAGGCAGAATGTCTTGTTGCAAACATGATTTACAAAGGCTACATGAGGGGATATATATCTCACGAAAAACAAATGGTAGTGCTGGCGAGCACGAATACCTTCCCGCGACTTGCGGACCGTCCGACCCCATACGCTCTATCTTAGACATTTACTTGGTCCGCACAGCCTCGACGCTTTCTTATTGATGGTTTCCATTATTATTATCATCTGTGTCCCGCTTTTTGGAATTTTACAGCAATTTTGAAACAATGCTGTGCTGGAGATGGGCTCTGAGGAGGAGCTCTGACCTCACTCACCTCGTGATACGGTTCAAGGCTTTACTGTATACTATCCTAGTCGAACCTAGTCACTTCGCATCATTACAAGTATTTAAATGACGCAGACTCACCTGATGTTCCATCCGACTATCGATCTCATTAGCAATATTATCCTGTGCAACTGTGCCACATTGACAGAAGCGCTTGGTCCACGGCGAAACATACAAAAGCAGCCGGCTTGGACCTGAGGCCTGAAATATCTCACTCAGCAGACACACCTCGAGTGGTATTCATTCCCGGTTCCCCACGACGAACTCATTACATTGGACCGTAGGTGCTTCTTCTCTATCTGCATATCTTAACACCCCACGTTCAGGCTACCATGGGTAATTCGCCTTCGAGTCGTAGGCCAGCAACATCGAATACTTCACCCAGTGATTTCGATCGAAACTACAAGCTCAAAGCTAGAACTGCTGCTGAAGAGCTTGAAGTGAACATGAGTCCTCCAGTAGCTACTCCAAGGCACAGGTCTTCGCAGCATCTCCACGGCCACTCACGGACTATGCTGAGCCCACCACCAAACTCAATGTCTGAAAGTTCATCGCATCGTAGGGCTCGATCGGTGAACACTCTATCCTCGCAAGCACGTGGAACCAGACATCCAGTTAGTGCTCCTCCTCCGTACTCGGCTGTACCAGAGGTACCGCCTTTTGTGCCGCCTACAGAGGGAGAAACGAGACGCAGTAATGGTGAGCCGATATTCGTTCGTTCAGGATCTGTAGTGGCCACGTCTTCGTCGTCGACGGCGCACATATCTTCGTCCCCTAGTGCCGAAATATGGCGTGGTACGGAATCAGACGTTGGGTCTCGCCATACCAGAATGTTTATGTTACCTCCAGCTAGGCCGATGTCTTCAAGGGAAACGGGTTATCTACGGACACCCATGCGGCAAGACTCTAAGGAAGATGCGCTGGAGACATTGCGGAAATATAACACTGTACTTGTAGTAGATGATTCAAGGTCTATGGAAGGTAGATTATGGCACGAGGTATGAATCGTGTATCATGGGGCCTCATATATATACTAAATTATGAGCCATTCATATTGATAATAGGCACGAGATGCTCTTGCTGCACTAGCAGATGCTGCAGCACACTACGATACGGATGGTATAGACGTCTATTTCTTGAATGACAAACGACTTGGGGCTGGTTTAAAGGCACGTTCTACTGCACAGAACCCAAAATGATGAACTGCTCAACGTTTTGCTGTTGCATAGAATGCCGCAGCTGTTAAGAGATTGTTCGACCATGTAAAACCAAAAGGGACAACTCCAATTGGTGCAAGGCTTGAGGAGTTATTGTTGGAATATATGGCGGAGTTGGAGAAAGCCAAAGCAAGGCATGATGCGGGAGATGTCTTTGCTCTGACGCAAATCAAACCAGTCAATTATATCATAATAACTGATGGAGTACCAAGTATGTTATCTTTCCTTTTGCATCGATATTGCTTTGCAACTCACCGCTATGATTGTAGCTGATGATCCCGAAAGCGTCATAGTGGCTGCAGCGAGACGGTTGGATAACCAAAACTTTCCCCTTTCACAAGTCACATTACTCCTCTTGCTAAGTGATGCCTAGCCAGCTAACTATTGCTCTCTCAGGTCGGAATTCAGTTTGTCCAGATAGGGGCATCGAGAAGAGCGACCGAGTTCTTGAAGGAGCTTGATGATGGCCTGTCAGCTCATTATGGTATTCGGGTGAGCCCTCAAATTGTTACCTCCTCTAGCCACCATGCTGAGCCCTTATTATACCTGAAGGACATCGTGGACACTACACCCTACACAGGTGGTTCCATAAGCGCTGAGATATTGATGAAAATCTTGCTTGGGGGTATCAACCGTCGCGTGGACCGAAGAGGGGCTGCTGCCATAATGGATTGACATATGTTTCGCCAACCACTCGTCTGTAGTCACATCTTACCCGTATCTCACCATACCCTGCCTTTTCATAGAATGTTTTAGTATCATGTACAGTATCTGTGTCTTTCAGCATCGCCCATCTCTTGTATCTCTTGCACTTTTATCTGATCATAGGTTACGAATCCCAGTCTTCTAAAGCGAAGGCAAGAACGCCAAATGCAGGTGCCGCTTGCCCCGTCCCTCCAGCAAAACTTTCCGCTCCTCTGCGGATGAAACGAACCAAACCGTCAAGTTCTGATGACAGTTTCTCTAGCCGACTCGAAAATTCCTCTTCAGCAAATGACATGGTTGATGTAGCCATAGAAAACGACGGCTCAGGTGCAGATTCTGTGAACTTCTCGTCGTTATCGGATTCATTGTCGGAACTATCTTCAGACTCCTGTGATGGCTGTGAGAAGCCAATGACGTTTTTTCTTTGGCGACGTTGGCGTCTGCTACGGTGGCGTTTCATACTAATCGACAGACGCGATATGTCGTGCGTCGTGTCCCCTGCAAACGAAACAAAGAACTCGCTGAAGTAGAGGCACATGTCAAGTATAGATAGGATAGCCCGGTAGATGGCAGATGTCTTGTGGATATGAAGTTAGTTAAGCGACGAGAGTTTTGATTAAGTAGAATTTACGTTATTTTGGAGAAGACAGCGGCCTTGTATCCTTTCGAGGCTGAGAATGGACCATGTTAGACTGGTGAGTAATCAGAGAGTGATAAAACCCACTGTTCTTCGTGCAGCTTGATCATCTCGCCCAGAGATTGGGCTTTTTCAAACCCTTTGCGAAAATTGAGGATTTGCGTGTGGATGACCTAGTGTAATGTGTAATGTGTCAAAAACATTTGCAGTTTTCAATAATGGAAGAAGCACTCACATAAGTCGACAAAAAGTTTAACAACGTGCTTATTGAGGAGGGCTAAGCATTCCGCCGCGAAGTAAGAAAACAACCCGCTCACTTTACAAACCACGACAATTTGCCCCTCATAGCATAGAAAGCCTTGAGCTCGGTGCGCAAGTGCGGGACGTTGGCTATAGCGCCGCGAACGAGGATTCTTTCAAGCACATTTTTTGCCCTACGAATCTGAAGGAGGAACACAAATATAGAGCCATATATTTGCAGGATCCGTGGGGTGAAGATGTATGTGAGGGGAAACGGAACAGCGTATTCTACCAGGAGACCATCTATAGCTTTCACAGTTTTGTTGATCATGCGCGCTTTGCTGCCTCGGTAGGATATTCGGACAAGGGAGGGCTCTATCCAGTTAGTCGCATTGGCGTCGACAATGTCAGCAAAGGCACTGTTCAGAAAATGGAAATCATTCCACGGTTGAGAACTATCCATCTGATGGCCATTTTGATCAGATGACATACAACATGTGTGAGAACTTACTTTAGCAAACAAGACGTCTGTGAAGTGACTCATTACGTCTCCTTGCTTCATCAGATACAAGTTCTCTATAGATGAGAGATACCGTGAAAGGTCGCAATCTTCAGTCAATACATTCATTAACTGTGTTCCCATTGCCTCGCAATATGGCAACAGTTCATCATAGACGACGAGAGACAGGGTGTCCGTGGAAACGGGAGCTGTCGTTTTTCGAGAAAGCAAAGACTGAAACGAGTACCATCGGAGCTTCTTAACCTGGTCATTGCCTTGTTCAGGGGAAACAGAAATACCCAGAGTACGGAGCAGCCCGACAGCCTTCCCAGCACTCAGGATTGGCTCGGATATGTGGGCCAGGAAGGCCGGTGTCATCTGCAATTGAGTCATTGTGTCCTTCTCGGACGAAGAACCACTCCGTAACGTAAAACCATCTGTCCAAAAATCGGGGTCGACGAGTGCCATTTCGTTATCTTCTATAAAGAACTCATTCTCGAGCGTTATCTGGTGGTCTTGCTGCCCTGCCGAGTCCCGCACTGGCATACCTTCTCTGAGCCACCGGCCGACTATAGCCCATATAGGTTCTACGGTCCCCGAAAAAACACGTATCAGGGCATCTGCAGTGACTTGCTCACCCATAGATGACTGTTCCTGGGCGGCGTTGAAGAGGCGGTCAAGCAAAAATGCTGTTACTGTAGCTGGGGGTATGCGGCTGTGAACATCTGGTAGAGTCCATACCGCGCTCGAATCAGACGATTGTGTAGCACGGCATAGGACGGTCTGTAGGACATCGAGGATAGCCCTAAATATCCCTGAAAATTGACCTTGAATGCGCTTCTCGAGACTGAGGAGGCTAACTACTAGAGATGAGCCTAGCCCTATTTGTGCACGACATATCTCTTCCTCTTGATCGGCACACCAAAGCTCAAATGAGCGTATCTCGGAATGGATTGCATCGGCGAAGGCCTCGAGGGTGCGTGTCTTATGGTTGTGAAGTAGGAGGTGGGATGGTTGGGGTGTCATATCGGGAACCTTAGATACCGAGATAAAAACAGCCGAGGTAAATCTACGGAGATGGTCTAGTACGGTGGCGGTCTGTGCGAATGAGCTTAGTAAAGAGGTTTGCGATGTCAGAGTCAAATGAGCCAGTCGGGGAGCTGTAGGGGATGGCTATGAAATGGGCTAGCGTGGGTAAAACGATGCCATAATCTAGAAGAAGAAACGCACGATGAGAGATAGGGACTGTTCGTCATAGTTTATCATTATATTAGCCCGCCCTTGCAAGCACATGAGCATTTCACGAACAGCGTTGTGTTCATCAATATATTTCTGTTGATATGATGGTAAAGAAAATCACACAAGATAATCATTACATTTAAATAGATCACAGACCTTTTGGAAAATTCCGTTTATGGGCGCATCTGCACTTTCTCCCAGTAGTCGCCAAAGTGACGATCCTATGATATGATAGAGTACAGAATTTTTTTAGCGGGTTACCTGAAATAACTTTATGAAATGACTTACCTAACGTCGATGCGTCCCCAATGTTGAAGGGCCGAGTAAGATCTACGTCCGTCTGCCAACCTTCCCGCCAATATTGCCGGGACTGTAACTGTTCTATATCTTGACGATGGAGATGAGTATGGTGAGGAGATTGCTTATATTTTGGGCTCGTGCTTAGGTTGCCTTGGTGTATTGGAGAAGGTTCTTCGTATTCAAGAGAGGACAGGGATGCTTCTTCAAAATCATCGGAATCATCTAGAGGAGAGAGTGAAGGTGTACTGCCCCCACTCCGGGTCTCCCAGTCCTCGACGGTGCTTCCGGGAAGTAGTCCATAAGCACCTTCCCAGTGCTGCCCTTCAAAAGGTTCCTCAGCCAGGATCTCCTTCCATGTTAGCGTGGGTGGTGACTTCTGCGGATTCTTTGTCTTGTCAAGATAAGTCTCTGCATATTCTAGGGTAGAAGGCAAGTGTGACGACGAGAGAGAAGTCTTTACCGATGTTTATCAGCCACTGACAGACAAAGTCATGTTGGACCTACAAGAAATTGTAGATGATCAGGAAGATGAGACAGCTTTGTAACAGCATATTAGCCATCAAACAACAGGTTTATAAGATAATATCACTTTGATGTCCTGGTCCAAATCGCTATGTTGCGTCAACCGGGACTTCAGAGTTTCAAACGATAGCTCTAAAGCCTCTGCCAAGGCATCATGCGCATTTATGCGAGCTTTTTGGATGCGGCTATGTTCCATGAGCATGGATATAACGGGATAGAGAAAAGGCAATCTCACCCGTGAAACTGTTTGTCCAGAGTGGACATGTCGGGACTTGGACCAGCCTTACTTGCATACTCCAAATTCTTAGAGACAAAGTCGACGGCAGTGTGGAAGTTCTCAGAATCAGCATCTGGTGTCAATCCAGTTATCTGTATAACCAGGTTCTGACTGAGTGGAAGTAAGCGCGAAGACTGCTTTGTTGCTGGACGCGATATACGCGAACCAGGTCTTTGAGAGATACGAGAATTTGGCCTGAAAGATGCGCTGGATAAAGGACGATTTGTGGATATACTAGATGGAGGGCGCTGGGATAGACTGGACGGGGGTCTTTGTGATGAGCGAGAAGAAGGACGGCGTGAAGGACCTGAGCTGGACGGAACCATCTTATATGCTCATCGTCGTGTCCACGGTTGAGCACATTGCCCAAGTCACGAGGCACTTTCCAACTCCGCGCTTGTACCAAAGGACGCGAGTTCAAACTTGTGTTTTTGCTACCAATATCACTGACATGTCGTTCAGTGGTAAAGCAAGCCGAGCTTTCCTTCAAAGTTATGTAGCTGCCAGGTCATGTTCACAAAGGCCTCTTGTTGTGTCACGGACATATGTTGCTCCCACCCGAACATGGACACCACGTTCCACAACCAGCAAACCATCCCCGGCGAGCCCCAAATTTCCCAAAGCAGAAGCCAGTACAACTGTCGAAGGTACTCAGAATTCAGAAACAATTGGAAAGCCAACTAGTGCAGATGAGATTGATGTAATGGAAGCTATGTCAATGCCATCTGGAAGTGTCCCGTCGTCTACTGTACTACCTGGTCAGTCTCCTTTCGCCGGGCAAGAAGGGGCATCATCATCTTCCGTAAATGACTCCTCGGTCATGGACTGGTCTAAGAGCTACTATGGGTTATCCACACAAGCCTTCTCTAAGGAAATAGCAGAGGTGTTGCTGGCTCCAATAGACGCATTAGACGTAGAAATGAAACCAGGTAAGCAAGATCTCTAACTTGATGACTATGACTCAAACTCGATCTAGATGGCCTGATTTATCTCCCGGAAATAAAGTATCGTCGAGTCCTAAACAAGGCGTTTGGCCCTGGAGCTTGGGGTCTTGCCCCTAGAAGCGAAACCAATGTTGGTCCCAAAGTCGTCAGTAGGGAATATGCCCTTGTCTGTCAGGGAAGGTGTGTATACGTCCAATTCGCACCAGACTTCTTGCAACTAGTGTTCAATGGTGCATATACATAGACTGGTAGCCATCGCTCGTGGGGAACAAGAATATTTTGACCCGTCAGGCATCCCAACCGCTACTGAGGCTTGTAAGAGCAATGCGTTAATGCGATGCTGCAAAGATCTGGGCATCGCGAGTGAACTATGGTGCATTACCCTCCCTGTCCTTCTGTGAGATTTTAGTGTATTGACTCCAACCTACCAGGGATCCCCGTTTCATACGCGAGTTCAAAACTAAATACTGTGTAGAGGTGTTTGCGGAACATGCCACAACGAAGAAAAAGTCGGTACCAGTATGCATATTATGTTGACCCTTTTGTTGACGCATAGTGTATACTTTAGGAAGAAACTTTGGCGGCGCAAAGATCAACCCAAGTTTGACTACCCTTGGAAAGAGTAGCACTGCCCATATCTTGAACATTCTGTCTTCTAAATTATGGACGTGCACGAATTTGGGAATACTCAATAATAGAAAATCAGCGAGAATTCCTCGGTATGATGTGGCGGTAGACCAGTAGGAGAAGTACTGTCGTCACACATCACAATGAGAAAAGCCTGTGATACATTGGAATTTGCATACTTACACTGTTGCGCCATTTTTGCTCTGAGCCTCGGTCTTTAAGGCCCTTACATAATGGACTGAGGCCCCGCAACGGTCCAGCGGCTCAGCGGCCCCCCAAGAACCCCTCAAGTTTACACTCCGAGTCAAGGCGTATGTAATTACAGCAAATCAAGAATCAATAGACCGTTACGAATTTCTTGCAAACAGCCCCATCTATCTCACTCTTGTTTTGGACAGGGTAGTGTCGAGTAGCAAACCAACGTTATATTAATCCTTCTTAGAAAGAGCTCATTATCTTCCTGAGACCAGAATTGCTGAGATCCACGAGGAAACCGTCGTGGGCAACGAACTAGCAGTCAGTAGAGAGCAGAAACATTTGCCAGTTGGATCACGTACACTCGTACCAAATGAGGTAGGTGAGGCTGTAATCATGTCTACTGATTCTTAATTTGCTGAAATATCATTCGAAGCACTACAATCATTTAGTCCAATGGCGATAAGCTGCTCTTTGCACGTTTGATGTTTGATGGCTTGGAAGCTTGGTCACGCTGAAAAGCTCCCTTCAGTTGCTTTTCATAGGCTTGACTTCCTATTCTAACATATTACACAAAGCTATCTCTTTTTGAGACATACCAAGGCTGAATGTCATTCTCGTACTTTCCGGAAATTACTCTTCGCAATGCACCTGACAGCTCCATGCACCGCCGTAATATCAATGACAGCGTCAGTTCACATTCTCGCTGTTGCACTAGTTCAATTCGCTGATATTTGCCCAAACCCTTTTCAGATCTGAGAACTCCAAAAGACGGCTGAGAATAGTACATTCATTCAGCATCCACTGTGACAGTTTGGACAAGCGCGGATTACAGACATCAATATTGATTCTTTGTCCGGCGACAGGAATCCACACATTGAACCACCGTGCATCATTCATCGTGACAGCGTTCATGGCTAGCGAATAACATGAATGGTAGCGGGATCCGGAGTACTACTTCATTGAAGCTATGTTGGGAATATGTGCGTCTAATTCTTTTATTTAAGCCATTGAATATTACCTCTCTCTCTTCATCCGCCCCCTCACTTCATCAACCAGATTTCACCTCACCAGCCCAGCTCCTAAACATGACTGGTTACTATCCCATTGTCGGTCGAAAGGACACCAATGCCATCTTCGACCGCCTTGCTATCGAGGAATTGCAGTCAAAGCAACCTCGTCAATTCACTTTGTTCATCATCGCGTATCTCGCTATCCAGCAACGTCCTTTACAAGAGGGCATCTTCGCCAGTATCGGTTTAAAGGATCCAGCAGGTTCTTTCGACGCCATAGCTGGAATCCACGGCAGGCCCTTTACCGAGTGGCTCGGCGACCAAAGGCCCCCGGCAGAGCAAGTCACTGACTTTAGTCACAACGACAAGAAGGATACACTTCCAGTCCCATCTCGGTTTGGAGGTACGTTAAAGTGATATTTTATGGAAACCATGTCTAACATAGAGCGAATATTCTAGGGTACTGCAAGTAAGTCGGAGAAGGTTTCTATATGTGAAGAAAATAATAATTGTTCGGTCTACAGTCACGGTGCCGTGTCTTTCCCACCTTGGCACCGTCCTTATGTCTTGCTCATTGAGGTACACATTTATTTATTCCCTGGAGACACACCGATTAATTTTAATGCGAATAAAATTCGCAGCAATCCATTGGGAACATAGCAAAGGAATTGGCAGCGCAGATTGAGAGTGTCAATCCAGGTGAAAAGGGATTGTGGACTCCAGCTGCAGAGCAGCTTCGCTTTCCGCAAGTTTTCGTTTCCATTGCATCCCCGCGAAGTCCTGTGCTGAAGTTTTGAACAGCTTTTGGGACTGGGCTGACGAAGTTGTTGCTACTAAGGGTCTTCCTCCTGTCCTCAAGGAAGACACAGTGAAAATCCAGCTTCTGAAAGATAAACCCCTAGTCGATGTTCCCAATCCCCTCTCTTACTACCCATACTTTAACGGTGTAGTACCAGGTGACTTCAAAGATACCACTTATACGGTTTGTTCGCTTTCCTTCAATGATGTTTCCAATGTGCTGATATCAGTGTAACTATGGTAGTATGGAACTTCATACTTCGCGCAATGGAAGCGTACCTACCGTTACGCGGACAGCACTCCTACACCACCTGGAAGCAACGTAGCAGCTCTTGACGCGTTGTCCCGTTTTATTTCCTCCAAAACGATTTTACTGATGTTACTTGTATCGCAGGGCATTCAAGGAAGCAGTCCCTGGTCTCAGGGCTAAAGTTGTACGATTGTTCACGTTCCATGATAACGAGGACCCTGCGAAAACGTAAAGTATCCGGGCCTTGAACATTTGTCATTTCTGATGTCTTACAAACTACAGCTGGGATGAATTTTCTAACCACCGCATGCAATCCAAGGGACCCAATGACGATTACATCCATGGTTCACTTGAAGGTGTACACGATACTGTGCACAGTCTCGTAGTAAGTGATACTTATCCTGTTCTCCGCTCATGCACTGAGCGCATCTGGGTTTAGGGAGGTAATGGGCATATGGTCAGTAGCGTAGTCTCTTTTTGTTATTACTGGTCTGACACTATTTGTTATTGTCATCACTGCCCACCAGAGTGATCCTGACTATGTGAGTACTTTGGTATTGTCTCGACGTTCGAGTCTAATTGAAATATAAAAAGGCGGCCTTCGATCCCATCTTCTTTTGTGGGGTTTATTCCATACTACCCATACAAATATATGCTGACTTTTATTAGTGCATCACTCCAATGTCGATAGGCTTTGTATGCAATGTTCAGCCCTCGATTAAATTCATACTAACTGTAAAATTTACTTTAGTCGCCTTATGGGAATGGTGCTACTCCAAATATTGGATGATACCTACTTACGATGATGACGGCGAGGCGCATGCTTTTACTCAGGTGGGTAGAATTTTGGAAACTTAAGATATCAGTCTGACGTACAGGTGCGATGCTATAGGAACTCGGGACCTACCATCAAGTGTACAATGAAGCTGTCACCCCCGAAGGCGATTTAGCTCCCTTCAGGAATGGCGAAGGAACATACTGGACATCCGATCAGGCGCACTTTTTGGACCCCACTTCCCCAAATTTCTACGCTAAGTGTACTGCTCAACTCATGTGGTTTGTATTGCTGCTGAGCTCAGGTTTTGCACAGACTACTCTTATCCGAATTTCCAAGGTATCAAAGTCGAGCAGCCTGCTACTGAGGCGCAGCGCCTCAAAGGTAGGGCGGATGTGGCGAAGTTTTACGGCTACAACCCCCACCAGTCTGTCACGGGAACACATCCCTCATTTTTGGTTCCAAAGTTGCCACTCAGCATTCCTAATGGTTTCAACGTAATTCCAAACTATCGGCCATTTGTTGTTCAAGTCCAGCTCCGAGAACATGCTTATGGCAGGGCTTACAACTTCCACTTGACATATAAAACAGCACTGGGCGCTGAGAAGCATGTCGGCTCCGTCAGTGTCTTTTCTCGAGTTGACACTTCGCCTTGCGAAGGTTGTGCCGCTCGTCGCTCAGCAGGATCCATTGTTCTTGGTATCATCCCTATCACTGACAGCATTGTGGAAGAAATCCTCCGCGCAGCACCTGCTAACATCGTCGGCGCAGTTGCTACTGGCATATTTAGCGCAGCAACTGCTGTCGCAACCGGAAACTTTGGCGGAATATTGGGCCACATCAAGGGCAGTTTGAAGGGATCCCTCGTGGACTATGCAGGTCAGCATTTGGCCGCTGCTGAAGGTGGAGACGGTGCAGCAGCTGTGCCGCAAAGCGGGTTGGCCTCTGCGAAGGTGACTCCTGTGGAGATCTCGCTCGCATCCCATGCGGTGGCGTCCCACCCTGTCCATCCCATCCGTATTTTGGACGTGCAGAACCATGGCAGTATTTTCAGTGTAAGCAAAATATTAAGCTGTTTATTGTCAGGAGCTCACCTTTTATTTACAGAACGGTTGGGCGGCCACACACCAAGACTCTCGACGCAGGTGAACGGCAGGGGGCGATCCACGGAGTGGTTGTATGATATAATTGAGGCTTGTGTCGAGAGAAATAGCCCATCGTATATGTTAAAGTTCTTGTTCTGCGAAGATTGTATGAGTCTCGGTGTCCGTGTACTTGTAGCCCTCAAATGACACCTATTGATGAATAATTCGAAGCGTATGGTCGCAAATGCCTGTTGAATATTATGTCTCTGAATATCCAACTAGTCTTTATTCCTTCCTAAGTTGCAAAATTCATATTGCCGATTACTTACCAACATTTTCGAGCCTCAGCCATAGTTAAACTCATTTTTAGACCGATTGTTCTGCTTTTATTTTCATTAGAACTATCAGTGTTAGGCAACATACTTGCTTGCAAAGCACAAGCGATTAGACACCAATCTCTCTATTCATTCAGACTCGCATGCACTATTAGGACATGTTCAAGTTACATAATCGTACAACCCCAGCTTTTACTTTGTTCTTGTTCTTGCTGACGCGGCGCAAAGCGTGCTGTTTGCATCTCCCCCTCCCGTGCCCGCAGCCGGTTCTCCATTTCTTGCCTCCTCTGCGTCTGTAAGTATTCCTCCCTCGCCAATGTTCGAAGGCGCTCTTCTTGCTCCTGCCGCCGTTGGGCACGAACGCGCTCCTCCTGTCTCTGTCTCTGCAATTGTTGTTCTGCTTCTCTCCGTCGTTGTTGGATACGAGCCTCATCCACCTGCTCGCGATGCAACTCCATTTGACGCAACTGTGCCTGAAGCAATACCTGCTGCTGTATATGGAAATCAACAGGCTCGGGGACCACGTCTTCTCCATGAATACCACCATGAGCACTGTGCATGTGTTGATAGATGGTGTCAGGGTCGAAGACACCCAGACACCGCCAGCAAACATGGGCTCCACAACTGTTTCCCCCAAGGAATACGTGAGTACGAGGTTATACTGAGGTATTTAAGAACACTCACCGGCATTCCATGTGATTGCACCCCTCCAACTTTTCAATAAGGACGTCACATTGCGGACATTTCTTGACACGTCCATTCTGCTGTGAAATCCACTCGTCATTCAAACGCTCTTGTTCCGCTGGATTCCTGTGAATTTTGAACTCCTCACAGCTCATCCCCTCATGAGCGTCATCGTGGCAAGCTGCACAGACAGATGAGAAGCACGATGGACACTGCATGGCCGCTGCTTCGCCTGAGCATGCAGAGCGATAGATCTGGGTGCAGTCTGGGGTCCTACAGTACTTAAACTCTAGAGGATGCCTGGCGACATGTGAATCAAAAGACACTTCGAGCAAGCGGCTGAAAGATGCTGGAGGGAGGAATCTTTGGATCGTGGGTATTGGAATAGGGACACCGCATTGAGATTCGTCGCCCAAGCAAGTGAGAGGGAACTGATTAGAATCCGCTACGCTCGCCAAGAGATGGCGCATACATGCTGTACAATAAATATGCCCACAGCCTAGTAGGACTGGCGACGAAACATCGTCGTAGCATATAGGGCACGACTGCGTCACAGACGACGGATCAGGGAGCGCATGGAACTCGTTCAGCGACTCGTCGATCAACCTCGAGAGTACGTGTCGAGCCTCCTCATCCCCTGTGACGGTAATCTGCTGACTAGACGCATTGAATCTGACGTTATCCTCGCCGATTGTTTCCTTGAGAGTGGTAATGCCGTGTCGTACGAAGAAGCTAATGGACTGCCTCTTCAAAAAAACGGTATATTCCATAGACGACAACTTTTCCAACTGTGCCTTGACAAGTTCTCGAGCGCGTTCAACGGCTTGGGGCTCTCCAAAAACCTTTAGTGTCTGTCGTCTCCAATCTGTACGTAGATATGCACCTGTCTCATCAAAGACGGAGCGCACAAATGTGTTCCTGCTGAACCCGAGTGACCGGTGCCATCCATCGACCTGTTCTCCCGCGATGAGGTTCTCAACCCTCACTTTGAGCGCACCGATGGCCGGTTTCACAGATCCTGAGACGCGAACACGGACAATATTTCCCTGTTCCTGTATGTTCAAAGTACACGCCTTCTTGTCTTTGATGCTCTCAACCAGCGAGGCCCACTGCATCTTCTGCGCCTGGTACTGTTCAGCTGGAATGACGATCGTATAGTGCATTGGGCTCTGGAGTCGGGTCCAGCAGACAGCATTACCGATGTAGGGAAAACGCCGATCACCGAGGTGTCTGTGGGCTTTCTGTGCTTCATCCCAAGACGCGAATCGTACACGGACAGAGATGTTGCCGTCCATGCTATTAGAAGTTGATGTCTGGTCGAATGATATCACTGCACCAGGAGCAACGACACGTTTGATGTCTTCGTGTATCTGTTGAATACCGTGATCGACGTTGTAACCTCGTCCTTCCAGACGCCTGACCAAAGGAGATCCAGAAAAGTTTACAATGTCCTGTTCGGTAACACTCCACGGAAGATTATTGATTTTGATCGAATTCGGTCGAAAACTTGCCACAAATCGTCCGGGGGGCGGTGAATTTATTTCAACCTTGACTCGACGGCCTAAGCAAATCTGGCGGTTTAGCTCATGAACCTTACGAATAGCAGGAATGTCTTCGGGGAACTCGACGATATAACGGACGGAGGGTGCACGCCAGGATATAGTGAGCACATCAATGTCACGAGCTGCCGCTGCAGACATACTCCCAGGGCTGTTATATGTGCCCACTTCAAAGACCAGCGTCTCGTCCCTAAATTCGGTACCATCGAGCCCAACAGCTATGGCATGCCCAGATTCGGCATCCGTGATTATCTCCGCTTCCTGCTTCTCTCCAGGCACCCTTTTCATGCCAGCAATCTGAAAACTCCCTGCATCTATACCCTGCTGCGTGAAAATCGCACACACTTCCTCCTCGCTCGCATCGAGTGGGAGGTTTTTGACACGTACTGTGCATGATTCAAAACCGGTGATGAGATTCGAGATACTGAGTCCTGCTCTGAATGTGATGATAGACCCAAGGACGATGCGTTGGATGACCTTTGCTGCATCTTCTTTTGCGAGCTGGGCTACATGTGCCTGGCGCTGTGCTTCGCGAGCAGCTTCTTGTTCCTTTATCCTTGCCTGGCGGGCTGCTTCTTGTTCCCTTAGCCTTGCTTGACGCGCTTCTTCTTGCGCCTTTATCTTAGCCTGACGAGCAGCCTTTTGCTCCCTTAGCCTTGCTTGGCGTGCTTCTTCTTGCTTCTTCATCCTTGCCTGTCGTGCAGCCTCTTGCTCCCTCAACCTAGCCTGACGTTCCTCTTCTTCTTGCTCCTTTATCTTGGCCTGTCGTGCAGCCTCTTGCTCCCTCAACCTAGCTTGACGTTCCTGTTCTTCTTGCTCCTTTATCCTGGCCTGACGTGCGGCCTCTTGCTCCCTCAACATAGCTTGATGTTCCTCTTCTTCTTGTTCCTTTATCCTAGCTTGACGCGCCTCCTCATATTCCCTTATCCTATCCTGGAGTACAGCCTCCCTATCCCGGAGTACAGCCTCCTGCTTCCTTAACACAGCTTGGTACGCTTCATGCGCCTCAAGCTCGGCCTCTTGCTCCCTCAACATAGCTTGATGTTCCTCTTCTTCTTGTTCCTTTATCCTAGCTTGACGCGCCTCCTCATATTCCCTTATCCTATCCTGGAGTACAGCCTCCCTATCCCGGAGTACAGCCTCCTGCTCCCTTAACACAGCTTGGTACGCTTCATGCGCCTCAAGCTCGGCCTCTTCTTCCTTTATACGAGCCTGACGAGCTTGCTCTTCACGCATCTTCTGCTCGTTTAACCTAGATTGTTGAGCTTTATGCACTTCCTGCTCCTTCTTTACCCTAGCTTGTTGAACTTCACGTACTTCCTGCTCCCTCTTTATCCTGGCTTGTTGAGCTTCACGTGCTTCCTGCTCCCTCGTTATCCTAGCTTGATGCGCCTCACACGCTTCCTGTTCCTCCTTCGTGCGAGCCTGGCGGGCTTCATGCTCTCCACGTGCCAATTGCTCAATTAAACTAGCTTGGCGGGCTGCCTCTTCGGCTGACTGCTCTCTTGCAGCTTTGTCGCCTGTCGCCAAATTTCCTCCAACCTAGAAAGGGGTTAGACAGTTCAAGTACATCGTGAAGGGGTCAATGGCATACCTCAATTTGAACATCATGGCGATACGGACAATTAGAGCCCCTTGGGCACGCACCAGCCTTCCACGCTCGACAGGCGCTTTTGCGTTTGTGAGGTGTGCGATCTGAACTCGACTTGTTTCCTGGAATAGAAATGACTGGGGCGGCTATCTGTGGCAGAGGAGGCGCAGAGGGAGGTGCGGGCGGCAGCTCGGCGTTCTGCAACTGTGGAGGGTCAACAAGTTGCTCTTGTTTCTGTTTGCCTGAGCGCTGATTGTGGCGTTGACGAGGAGGTCGATTGCGCTGTGCATCTGCGCCAGGCTTTGGAGTGGGAATGGACGAAGTATTCTGAGACCCAGATATTCTAACGTGTGACATTCCACTGACTGATGGGAGACTTACCTGAGGACGTAGGTCTACATTGGGTGTGCCTTCTGGGATGGGTTCGACTAGGGTGGCTACAGGCGGTGGAGGAAGTGCTGGTGGTTGCGACCCGTCAGCACGCTCTGGCTGTGAGACTGCCGGTGTATGCGCGTTCTGTCGTTGGCGTCTGTGATTGCGTGAAGCATTTGCCCCAGATTTGGCAGCACTGGTACCAGTGGAAGGCGTGGATGATGGAACACGCTAAAATCCAACGTATCAGAATGTGGCATTTCCTGACAATGAACGTTGGACAATCACCTGAGACAGCTCATGACTACGCTTGCAGTTTGCTCCAGAACGACATTTGCCTTGGATATAGAGGCGGCACTGCTCGCGGTCTTTGGGGAGGTTGGCGGTGCCACTGACGCTCATGGGAGTTGGGAGTGTAGACGTTAGTAGTGCGTGAGCGCTACTTGTGAGCCTTTAAACCAACCAGCCAGTAGACAGACCGAAAAGGGATATCGTCTTTGTAGGTCAAAGGCATACCCATTCATTCATTGGCAGACGCCCAGAACCTGTGTTCAGTTTAAGGGTCAATAATCAATTGTGCTCGATGCCTTCCTCTCCAAATTCAACTGAAAAGCACGAAAAGAAGAATAAAGTATGATAGAAATGTTAACCCCTGGAAGCCGTTGAATACATAAGTACAGTAACTGACGGTGATTTCTCTCGTGGTTTCTTCTAAATAAAGAATTTAAAGAAATGGACGAAAGCCGCGCAGTTTCTAAGTTTTCGTCTCAAACTCTATATCCAAATCAGGAAATTATGATCGCGCTTGCCTCGTTTTCTCCTGCTCTTCACGAAGACCACTATTCACATCGTTTGCAATGCCTTGTACCGTTATTGGCGTTTTCAAGGTCATACCCATCTACCGACGGACAAACAATCATATCGAAGCTGATAATGACCAAAGCGATGTTTTGCACGATACCAGCTGTGACGACGACAGCGAAATCACGTTTGGATGATGACATCGACCAGAAAAGCGGACAACTATCGCAAGGCCAAGGATCCGCGTCAGACGGTCTAAATGTCGGCACGGTCTGCCCAGGCTTTTTCCAAATCTGACCTTGAAAGAGGAGGGCCAGGTGGTAATGCTGGCTTATGGATATGTAGCTCCAGAAAGCTACGAAGCCTAAGGTCTAAGGCCCGGGGCGGGAGCACAGTCTTGGCAGAGAACTTCGATACTTGCATGCATGAGTTTCCACGGACTCTTCCTGTATCTACCAACGTTCATCTGTTTTATGACAAGAAACAAAGAAGTGAGAGGTGATCTTTTGATTCAAAACATGGTCTCTATGGGGCAATATCTTATAAGTATTCTTCTTCAATAGGCTCCTAGGACTGTTCACTCTGTTTCCTTCTTTTTAGACTCGGAAAGAATATCCTCCAAAGAGATGGATGAATGATCGCACATTTCTCTGAAAATGCTGTTGGGCGTAGAATAGAGTGTACTAGGCGTGTCGAATTCCTAGAACAATCATTCAGTACAGCAGTGATGAGGAATAAGTAACGAATATTTACAACGACGCGGCCGCCATCGAGCACGCAGATTCTGTCGTACGAGATGATAGTACGTAGACGATCTGACGAAAAAAAACATAAGTTGTAAAGCCCAACAACGGCCAAGTGAAGACACTGTAGGAACAGAATTCAAGGACAGGACAATCTTGTGTATTGCTCGTATGTATCAGTTTTATAATCAACGGATGCTGGTGAATAGTTAAACAAACGGAAGACATCAAATATTGGGAGAGCATACCCGTTGCTTCGTCTAGAATGAGCACTTTCGTATCGTTGACTAAAGCCTGTGCTAATGACACTAAGGATCGCTGCGAGACAGAGTTACAGGTTCAGTATCGATCCTGGCCATCCAAACTAGATAGAGATCACCTCTCCGGCCGAAAGATTGCTACCGTCCTCGTCTATGTGGCTGTCTAGAGTGAATCGAGCTTCTGGAGTCTTTTCGTCGTGTACATTTTCAGACTGTGATTCCTTCGACTGTTCGACGAGATGTGATCGCTTCAATGCATCCCAGAGCTGGGCGTCATCGTACAACTCAAAAGGGTCTAAGTTCGACCCCAATGTACCAGAAACTAAATAAATAATGAGATCACTAGAAAACGGAACCAAATAGATCTCACATAAGAACTACAGGGGATACAGCTCATCAGTCAATATACAACAGGCGTCAAATTGTAAAACAAACTCACAGCTTCCTGAGGAATGATAGAAAGCCCACTCCTCAATTTTGTCAGACCCACAGTGGATATATCAACACCGTCAATTGCTATAGAACCAGATATTAATTCCACAATACGGAAAAGGGCTGTCATGATTGACGATTTTCCAGCACCAGTGCTAAAACAAGATTAGATAAATGGTGCAATGGATAGAGAACATCATACCGGCCAACAATCCCTACCTTCTCTCTAGGTTTTATCGAGATTGACAGACCCTTTAGAACAGGAGGAAGTTCAGGACGGTACTTCAAAACCACATCCTTCAATTCCACTTGGCCTTCCGAAGGCCATGAAGCAGGCAGTACACCATCATCGAGCTGATGGGGAGACTCCTGCTCTTCTTGGTTAGCATAGTATACGATACGCTCCACCGTGTTCATGTTGTTCTCTACATTCGCGGTCAAGTGACACTAAACATCTAAGAGAGTTCAGAGTGAACATATTAAATGAATAACTAAAAACTATACGCACTTGATTAACTGACAGAACGAAAGATAATATCACGCCAGTCTGGGCGGGAGAAATGCTGAACTGCGTAGTCACAGCAATTAAGGCGACGATGAAAGTGAGGATTATACCGAGGAAATCGAGACGCATGCCAAACCATCTCTGAAAAAATGTGTTAGCAGTTAGTTCACTTTTTGAACGTAATCACACTCGCCTGGTTTGTTACTGTAAGCCAATATGCACTTTAAACCGTGTATTGTATCAGAAGGGCATACCTAAAGCAGTAACAACAAAGTTTATGCCTTACCGATTCTCAATATCTATGCGTTTCTCATTTTCAGCTTGGAAACGCGCAATTTCACCATATGCTCTGATGGTGGTCCGCATCAGCAATACGAACTGTGACAATACTTTATCAAGCTCAGGCAAATATCTACGCTTTCAGCACCACCTTCTGGTTACTGGTTTTTTAAAAGACTTCGTAAATCCTATCTTGTAGTATCCGTCATAAACAATCTTACCTTGAATTATGTAGATTTAGCTTTGCGTATCACCTAGTGAAAGTATTGTAATATAGAAAAATATGTTCGCTATGGCACTATAAGTCATCATATTGACATACTTCGACAAAGCCTAATCAGGTTTGGACAAGTATTCACACCTTTGGAATCGCTTTCTTGATGGCTGGTTGTTTGAAAGACATGACAATATTGTCATACATTCACTATCGGTAAACATCCTGTAAGTGGATTAATTAGCTTTATATTTGTACGATAGCTGAAACGTGGATTACAATGGGATAACATACATATCATTTATCACAAAGTTTCTATGCTTGGGAAGCCTTTATAAAGCTACAAAACTTTGTCAGCAGTTACCATTCCAAGTATTATTTGACAAAACCAGATAAACCCGGTCTCTGCCGAAGCAGCAATTGTTCTCCATGGAGCATAGCCACCACTCCATGGAGTAACTATTGTTCTCCTAGGAGTCATTATACTGTAGCGAGTAGCACCTCCGACTATAAGTAGTAGGGGGTTTAGTATAGGAATACCTCAGTCGTTTCTATAGCCTATCGGGCAGCGGCTGAGTTTCACTTAGGTTTATTATTGTTTATTCTGTACTGCCAAGCTCTTCAAGGCTCGAGCATAGTTTCCAGCTTTCACCAAACAATGAACAAATACCCGCATGACTATGATTTTATAGGAATAGAAAATATTTGCCTTCGGTGTCAATCGAAGAAAACCTGACACATCAGTAAAAGTCAAAGTTACTTTGGTTGTATTAGACAGCTTAATGTTACTTTTAAGCTAGATCAAGCTGACAAAGGTGACAAAGTCAACCTAAGATCAAACTTGCTTGACTTCAAGGTCTACTAAGGTACCCAGAAAAGTATCAAGTTTCATAAGAGAAATCAACATATTTGATTACAACAAAAGTAAAACCAAGTGCCCGCTAAGACAAAAACTAAGTGTAATAAAATTTACAAGGCAAAAATAAGAGATCAGGAAGCTATTCCGAAAGCATGGTGATCAATAAATTTATTGACATAGTAGGCATGGAAAGCATCAAGGGAATTGGAAAAGGAAAGTTCTCTGGGCATGAAACAATCACCATAAATTGGGAGTAAATGAGCAGCCCGCAAAATGCAATCAACATGTATAAATTTGACGGCTGGATAGCCTTCTTCATTGACATCTTGTTGAACCATCCATAAGCCAGTCAGTTCATCTGGGTGATCAGCAATGTGTGAGAACCACTGAATCAGTGCGCATGGATAAAATATCCCATCATATACAAAAAAAAAGAGGTGAACTCAAACAACATCAAGTCCTCGCATTGCAAGAGCAGTGGGGTCACGTTCAACAAACACACAGTCATAGCGAGAAGGACCACCCCGCCATGATGGACACGCTCAAATTGTTGACAAAACCAGATAAACCCGGTCTCTGCCGAAGCAGCCATTGTTCTCCATGGAGCATAGCCACCACTCCATGGAGTCACCATTGTTCTCCTAGGAGCACAATTGTACTCCTAGGAGTCATTATACTGTAGCAAGTAGCACCTCCGACTATAAGTAGTAGGGGGCTTAGTATAGAAATACCTCAGTCGTTTCTATAGCCTCTTGGACAGCGGCTGAGGTATGTTACATTACATTTATTAGAGATCACCTTAAACTAACATCAATTGTAGTTTCACATAGGTAAATAATAAAGTCGTTTCTATAGCCTTTTGGGCAGCGGCTGAGTTTCACATAGATTTATTAGGTTATGAGCCCTGGTGTGCAAAAGCAACGCAGGAAATAATTCTTATTTGAAACGGAAACCTCGGAACCGTTGTCGATGATGAGAACTGCTGTTAGAAAACCACACACAAAAACAAACTAACACACAATCCTCCCAGATTCCACAGAACTTGTTTATGGGCTTTGCCTCCTAGAACAGTGGAGTGGTCTGGTTGTTTGTGGGGTGGTACATATAAGGATCCTTCAAAGTAAAACCCAGAGATGTATGAGTGTGGGTTTTGAGGAGGAGGGATAGTTGAATTGATAGAAGATAGGGGCTTGGTGACGAGTATAGATGAGCACTACCTTGCTAATCGTAGCACAAGGTAGGTTTGAGAATGACAATATGACGAGGTTCCCAGTGATAGCAGGCTCCTGACGCACAGACTGTAGTGCTCAGAAGGACTCTAATTGAAAGGGATGACAATGACTTCAAAAGTGGGAAGTGACGATGACAGCAGTTGACAGTGGTAGAAGTGGGAAGTGTTGTGACCACACTGGATCACAAGTAGCAGAGTAGTGAACTTGAGAGTAGAGAAGAAGTCTGGATTGGAGTTCTTGTTCTTCTTTTTACAAGGTAAAATACAGGGGTTTATATAGTAAAAGAAAAGTAGGCTATGCACAGTATAGCTGTGCAAAAAGAATGAGAAAGAACATGAAGGAAGGAATGTATGCTGATGAATCCTGCGTAGGTAGTACAGGATAAGATTGTCAAAAAAAGGAAAAGAAAGAGATAGAACGATGAATGCTGTGAGTAATGTCACAGGTTTGTACAGCCATAAAGTAAAGTCCAATAGCAAAAAGAGAGCAGGAAAATCATGATGTCATGGGAAGATGCAGTAAAAAAAGGGCAAGGCAAAACACTATCAGTATCAACACAGTTCCTTTATTGTCAGTCAGACATTCTAAAAAAATATGTGTCCATAAAAATGATTCAAAAATCAAAAATAATTGCACTGTAAATGAATGTTCTGCTGAAGAAAAAGAAACTGGAGCCACCGGTCCACCACCTAGTCCAAATCCGACAGTTCCATGGCCTTACCAATGGACTGGTTGTGTTGGACCACCTGATCAAACGAGGGAGGGAGAGGAGTAGTTCCAATTTGGAACAAGTGAGTCTCGGGCAGCGTGTGGTAGGTGTAGCTGTAGCGAAGACGATGGACAAAAGATAAGTGTACCCAAGTGAATGGGACAGCGATGAACATGGGCAACGCAAGGGATGAACCTTCTCCAGCTCAAAAATTACCCACCCACGCTCCAACCAGGCAAGACGAGCGACCGATGTTTTGATAGTATATGATGGTAGATCGATGTCATAAAGATGGACCTGTTGCCCTATTTGAACCGGCTGCTGGGGCTTTGCTGATATCAGCAGTGGCACGTGGTAGTCAACGGATCGGCGACGGAAGCGGATAGGAAGTGGTGACATCAGAAATGGTGGGGGTGCAAATAAAATGAGGAGGAGGAGGGTGGAGGTGACGGAAAAGTGGATTAGAATGGGGATCCAGAAACGACCGTCAGGTGAGAATAAAAAGGAGAGGAAGGGGCCCATGGTGGGGCTAGGCAAAGGAAGGGGAGTAAGGGAAACGACAAAAGCGAGGGCACAATGCAATGTGTAGCCAGTGGCGATGCGAAAATTTGCCCAAATGCCGAAATACGGAAAGTACCGGATGGAAAAGCAAAGGTGAGCGTGACTGGATTGCCTAATAGAGGTGGTGCTGATCAGCCACAAGCTCGAAAAGGGCAATATTAATTAATATTCCACGTGGCACTGTGCCTGTGTGGCGCAAAGGCGAGTCTTTTGAATATTCACTTCATTATTGACACCTGTCCATGCTACCAATCAACTTTGGTGCATGACAGCGCGTAGACCGGCCCAGACCGGTCGTAGTCACCCAGCAAGGTGAAGAAGAGTTCGAAGTCGAACAAGTGGTGGACGCACGCTTGAAGCGTGGACAATTAGAATTCTTAGTCCTATGGAAGGGCTATGGAGACAAGGACAGAATGTGGGAACCAGAAGCCCATCTGGAAAATTCCCGCAATGCTGTTCACAAATTTTATTCTAAGAATCCCTCAGCTCCTAGAAAGCTTAGAGCCATGGATTCTAAACTTTTTAATTCCCTTTTTCAACCTATGCCCGAAAGTTTTACCACTACCTCCGGTATTTGGTCCCGCCTGAAAGTCGAGCCTTAGAGGGGGGTAGTGTTACGATAACACATTTTTGGACCTTTAATTTTTATTCTCCTCTTTAACCTTTTACTGTAGTTTTCACACTCCGTGCCATGTGGCACTTTCCCTTTTATTCAAACTCCCCTTTCTTGTGCGGCGCTGCCCTTCCTTCTATTTTAGATACAAGTCTCTCACACAGTGGAGCTGGTCACACGGGCTGCACCCTCTGACATCATCAGCCACTGCTTTTAATAACTGTACAGTACATAAGTACAAACACTCTGTATTAGTATATATACCTCAATAGATCCAGGAGACTCCTCAGCGAGTCCTTCTGTTGTTTACCCACAACTAACTTGGTCCTACCTAAGGGGTAACCACTCCCTCATCATTACCTTTACAGTTGGTTCTAGTTGTGCGCCAGAGTGACTAACTCTTAGTTGTTACAGGGACAGTGGTCTCAAAAGTTGCGTGCGGCACACGTGGGAGCACATTTTTTTGCTTAGTTTCACTTGCATGGTTTTCAGTTAGCAGCAGAGCAGGTACTGAGTAGTAACGGGTGCAGTGAAAGTTGCAGCCACACTGAAAATTCTCATGTTTATAAGGACAAACAGCACAAGTTCACTGACTTCTGACTAAATAAAATTTAATCACTTAACTATATTATTATTACTCAAAAGATAGTGTGGAGTAGCTCAGTCAAGAGCAGTGGAATGCTTTTGATACCATCATAAGGTCAATCTATTATAATTGGGGAATAACTTGCTTTATTCACAGTGCTGAAGGTAAGAGAAAAACATATCTCTGTAATTGTTACGATAACACAATTTTCAAACCTTTCCTTTATTTTCATTCTCCGCTTTAACCTTGTACTTTAGCTTTCACACATGGTGCCATGCGACACTTCCCTTTTGTCCAAACTCCTCTTTCTCGCGCCGCATTGCCTTTCTTCTTATTTTAGACACAACTCTCTCACACAGTGGAGCTGACCATGCAGACAAGGCCCCATGATATCATCAGCCACTGTCTCTATCAACTGTATAGTACACATGTACAAACAACCCTGTAGTAGTATATAAACTCCAATAGATCGAGGAGACTCCTCAGTGAGTCCTCCTGTTGTTAACCAACAAACTCTCTGCAGCTCAAGGGGTAACCACTCCCCATTCACTACCCTTATAGTGTGTTCCTGTGTGCGCCAGAGTAAATAACTCTGGGTTGTTACAGTAATACAATTGCCACTGCTGCTTGAGCAAGAGATAATCATAATGTTGTTCTATGTGTAGCATCCTCTGAGATTGAATCCCTGCTCTTGGAGGGTGGCTGCACAGCTCATTCACACTTTGGAATCCCTATTCCTGTACATGAAACATCCACATGCAGGATTCCAAAAAACTCTGACCTCCATGAGGTATTGAGACATACTAGAGTTATAGTCTGGGATGAAGCACCAATGCAACACTGTCATCGGATTGAAGCATTAGATTGTACATTGTGGGACATTTTGGATAATCAACTTCCATTTGGAGGCATTATAATGGTCTTTGGAGGGGACTTCCGCCAAACAACACCTGTTGTTCCAAGAGGGTCAAGGCAACACATTATTTCTGCCTCTCTTAGAAAGTCACGACTGTGGACAAATATCCATGTCTGCTATCTCACACAGAACATGTGCCTGAACCGTACTCCAGAAAGTGAAGCCTTTGCTAGCTGGCTCCTGGATGTTGGTGGTGGTCGTGGAATTGTAGGAGATGGAACTATTGAGCTTCCCGTCAATATGCTTATGCCAGAAAACACCATAGACTCATTAGTCAACACTACCTATCCTGGAATTGCAAATGGAGACCAAGATGACCATTATTTTCTCCACCGCACCATCCTCTCTGCAAAAAATGATGCCATTAGTGACCTTAATTCAGCAATCCTCACAAAATTCCCTGGAGAAGAGTCAAGTATTTGGCCTTCTTGAAGTGCACCTCAAACTTAAAGCTGGATGTCCACTTATGCTCCTCCGCAATATTGATCCCCTAAATGGACTCTGTAATGAAACACACATGATTTTGATAAAGATGAAGAGAAGAGTATATCACAACACAATGGGATCCGCACCCGTGTACAGTGATTCTGGACCTTCTGGGCATGCAACCAATCAGTATGCTTTCCAAGTACGCCTTGGTAGCTTAGTTGGTAAAGCACCAGACCATGAAAGCTGGAGTCTCAGGTTCAAGCCCTGGCCAATGCATGTTTTCTCATACTATAAACAAATGTCATAATTTGTCAGAGTATACTCAAAAGAAGAGGAAGAGGTGGGAGTGGTTACCCATCTGGTAGGAACAAGTTAGTTGTTGGTAGACAACAGGAGGACTTGCTGAGTCCTTCCCCATGTATTGCTCCTGTATATATACTAAAATACATGAGGTACTGTACAGTTGTAAATTAAGTTTAAAGTCCAATGTCTAGCATGTGACTTATGAAAAGTCCGAAAATAAAAAGTAAAGTAAATGGTCACATGACTGGTCATGTGACTTGGAAAAATGAAAAGTAAAAGTACAAAAAGTGAAGCGTGAGTAGGTGCTGGTATGTCAATTGTAACAGCAAGTAAATTTTTCCCCAATTCTCACCCTTTTAACTGAAAGTGTTTTTGTTATCAGATTATATTTTTGTCCTTTACCATTTTAGTAGTCTCTTTTTTTATTTCTCAACAATTTATCAATGTAATACCATAGACTTTTTATGTCACAATATATGTTGATGTTTGTAAAGGTTCAATGAACTATCTGCTTGAATTCAGTATACTGTGCACAAATTTAGGGCAGGCTTATAAGGACATTCAATGACAGAACTGCAAGTCAAACATGCATCATAGGATTCAAAGACTTAACATACATTACAGACAGCTTTACTTAACATTTTGATCACTTAACAGTGATATTATTATTATTATTATTATTATTTATTATATCACAAAAACATTGCACCAGTGGCAGAGCCATGGGCTGGACCTTGTTAAGACTTAGGGTATAGATGATTTTATTGCTATAATGAGTCTAACTACAACCACGGTTGATATCGGAAAGTGGATACTCCTGCCCGAATTCACCATAGGATATGTTTTGAGTGGCATCATGATCAGGCAACTTAGCTTGGCACCGCCGACCGCTCGGTGTTAGCCGATTAACCAGTTGCAGTAACCGCCTTAAACTCTAAATCTAAATCAGGAAACTGTGATCGTCCAGCTTTTTTGCATAATCATTTCATTCGTCGGTGAGCACCAAAAAAAATGACACCGTCTTCATCGTCGTCAACGTCTCCAAGTCCCCCTCCATCTTCGAAGAAGCGAAAAAGAGATGCAAAAGTACAGCCAGTCGCAGTTGTGGATGACTCTGACGATAGCGACAGCGATGCAAAGGATGACGCAGACAGCGGTAGCGACGAGGACTCGGACGATGAAAACGAGCCTGCAGGCTCAGAAAATGTAGCAGGGGACGCACCAAGCGATGACGAAGACATCGTACTCTCCCACGCCGAACGACGTCGACAGAAAAAGCAAGAAAGAAAGAGCATCGCCCTCGACAAATCCTCTCCCTCCAAAAAACGAAAACTAGAGGATGGCACCTCCGCCCCCGCATCATCGAAAAAGTCATCAAAAGCCAAAGACCCAAAGGCGACGGCCAAGCAAAAACGACAAAACTCGGTTTGGGTGGGCAATCTTGCATTCAAGACGACTCCAGATGCGTTGAAGGGCTTTTTTGATGGGGTGGGCGAGATTACGAGGGTGCATATGCCGATGAAGGCTGGTTCTCAGGAAGATAATATGGGGTGAGTTTGCCTTCTACCCCTAGAGCTTCTACGTTTCTGCTTTCATCCATTTCGTGTGGTCTTTCCATCTATCTTCGTGATTTCCAATCTACTCGAACGTTCTATTCATTTGTATGCTAACTAACCTTTCCTACCTATACTCGCTGGCCATTTCCAGATTCGCATATGTCGATTTCGCAAGCCCAGATGTAAAAGTGATCGCTATCACACTTTCAGAGAGAGATTTCCAAGGGAGGAAGCTCCTCATCAAAGACGGCAAGTCCTCTCATACCCCGCTGTCATCTTCCTTTACTCATCTATGCCCACAGGAGACGACTTCACGGGCAGGCCAGCCGCCAAACCCACACCCACCGAGCCCTCCACCGATCCAAACCTGCCTAGTGACCCCTCCACCGCCAGCACCAAACCTGCCGTCGGCCAATCAAAATTCGCTCAAAAAACACTACGCAATCAAAAGCAGCCGCCAGCGCCCACACTTTTCTTCGGGAACCTTGGGTTTGAGACTACGGACGAAGATTTGAAAGCGTTGGTTGAGATGCATCGGCATAAGCCAGGGAAGGGGAAGGGAAGGGAAGAAGCGAAAGGAGAGGATGAAGGGGAGGACAAGGCAAAAGAGGGCGAGGAAAAGTGGATACGGAAAGTGCGGATGGGTACGTTTGAAGACAGTGGGAAGTGCAAAGGGTGAGTAATTTTCATGCCTCATAACCACTGTCCCACCGTCATTACTGGCATCTCCATCCTAACCATCTGTCTATTTTCCACATCCCTTAACTTATCAAAAGATTCGCGTTCATCGACTTCACGTCCGTCCAACATGCCACGGACGCACTCACGAATCCACGCGTGCACAGGCTGCAGGGAAGGGAACTGGTGGTGGAATACGCATCTGCGGAGGCTGTCAGGCGTGGTGGGGGCCCGCGAGTAGCCGGTGCAGCTGGGTCTGGAGAGAGAGGTATGGGTGGGAGAGGCGGCACGAGAGGCGGGAGGGACGGGGGACGAGGGGGTAAACCAAGAGGTGGGAAATGGGAGCGGGGAACACGTGATAGTACGCGTACAAATCAGTGGGAGCAAAACGGTGGAGGGGACGATCATGATGGGGATGGTCACGTGGAGGAGCAAGGGGGCGAGAGCGAGACCCAATCACGGTTTGGTCGCGGTGGTGGCCGTGGGGGAGATCGGGGCAGGGGGCGAGGTCGTGGCAGTGACAGATTCCTGTCGCGCTCTCGAGCCAAGCCAGGGGCCGCACTCGCACAGGCACCGCGCGAATCTGCTGCCATCATACCCAGTTCTGGGCAGAAGATCACGTTTTAAAGTTCCGGTCTACTATTGTATGCGTCGTGGCGTGTATGCGTCTTTGCTCGGGGAATGTGTGCTGAATAGGTACGATGTACATTGTGATTGTGTTGTCATCTGCATGAAACTTGCAGTGAGTAGACTTGAGATTTGTTAGGTCATTGAGTAATATTGAGTCATAGCGACCGGACTACATATATACATATATGCGCTGCTATATACTGCGAGCGTATACACTTTTTACATCCGCTAGTACTCCCCGTCCATATTTCTCCACCCGTGAACTACTCTTACTCCTCGTCATCCTCCTCTTCTTCGCCCTCCTCTTCTTCTTCTTCCTCGACAACCCCAACCTCAAACTCCCCACACACATCCCACCTCGACCCCTCCGCAGCCGCTGACACATATTTCACGAACCGCATAACTCGCGCATCGCGCAGGACGAGGAGGAGGCGGTTAAAGCCTGGTTGAACTGTTAAGAGCGTTGCGTCGTCGTCGTCGTCGTCATCTTCGCGTTCTTCTTCTGCGTCCGAGACAGGGTTTTCTTCGCCACCATTTGCATGAGAGTCCATGTCGGCGTCAGCATCTGCCCCAGGGACGGTGGACGAAGTGGTGACGTTGATGTCATTTGATTTTTGCGAGGACGTTGGTTTTGATTTTGTGGAGCTGGAACGGTAGACGGCGGGGTCATCTTCTTCGTCGTGTGGGGCCATGTAGCACTGTATAGTAATTAAAGTAGCATATATGTCAGTTTTGTTCGTTTTATAAGGAAAGAAATAGAAAAATGGCAGAAATTTTTTTAATGTGGGACTAGAGGACAGGGAAGAGACTAGAAGTTGACTTACCTCCCATCCGCCCCACTCGCCCGTTTGCCATCCGCGCTCCTCTTCTTCCTTTCCTTTGCCTTTCGACTTTGTCTTCCCTTTCCCTTTTCCCTTTCCTTTCCCACCCTCGTTCATATTCTTCGGGGTCACGTCTGGCGTCAAACCCAAAACTACGTCTAACCTCGCCTCGTCCTCCTCGCTTGTCGCTAGGGTATAGTCCAAGCCAGGCCTGAACCTTCTCGCCTGCACGCTGTATGCAAGAGGGAACATTGATGTTACAACTGCTAGCCACGCACGAAACGCGGGAGACGGGAATAAGTGGGACTGAAGGGCGGGGAGGAAGGCGGATGGGTCGAGAGTATTGGGATCTGTGGTGTGGGAGGGAGATGAACTGAGAGGAGGTGGGAGAGACGGTGAAGTGCTGGTGGGACGGAGTGTGCAATATCGCCATTTATGGGGTGGGCCTTTCACGTCCCATTTATCACCAGTACCCGCCTCATGACTTGGTACCTGACCACTCCTGCCTAATCCCAGCCCATCGCGTTTGTCCGTTGCTCTAAGAGCATCTTCGAGTGTAGATGGAACGGCGAGGAACTGGTGCAGCTCAAGAGAAGACTCGTCGACGAAGCGTTTCGCGAGTGCGGTAAGAGTGGATGCACGTAGGTAGACGGGACTGAGGAAGCGAGAGAGGAAGGCGAGGTGTTCGGCGGTGAGTGGTAGGGAGTCTGGGACTGCTGTCTCTCCCTCTATGGTTTCGTAGGGCGTGAAAGGAGTAGAGGCACCGCTGACGAGCTGCTCACGTGAGCTCTTCGAGTCGATGGGTTGGTCGAGGTCTGGTGAGTAGTCGTCCTCGCCTGGCTGGGCAGCGTGAAACCACCCGCTGATGCTGAGCCGCGCCACGCCTGGTTCGGTGGCGACTACTTCTTGAACTGAGTGGAAGGATTTGCCTGGTTGGACCTCGAAGAAGACGAACTGGTTCCAGGCTGGAGGGATCGATTTCGAAGGGAAAGGGATCGGCTCTGGGTCCGCTCCTTCCACCGATATGCGTGTAGGATACAGCTCAAGGGCGCCGCCATACTCAGCTTTCCATTGGTCAGTGTGTGGGAGGGGCATGTAGAGGATGTAGGAGACACGACGGGTGCCAATGACGTCGTCGTGATTGAGAAGGTGACAGCCTGTCGTGTATGAGTTGACAGACATGTCTTGTTTTGATCCTGATAGTGGACCACATCCTGTCACTGCACGAAGAAATTTACGGAATGCGGGGGAGTAGAGGGCGTTGCGAAGGGTGAGGAGGTTTTGGAAAAGGGCAAGTTCGGTGGGGGAGAGGTAGGATAGCGAGGCAAGGTCGCCAGTTTGGTTGACCTGCCCCGCGTTAGCATTAGTAAGTGTAGTTGGTGCTTACATTACCTTGTATATATCAGTTTCCTTCTCAGTAAACGCAAGTTTCTCGATACATTCATCCTTCACATTTCTTAGCAACTCGTCATCGAATAGTTTGTCGATAACAACATATTTGTACGGCTCGCTCGCGTGGTAGGATTGGTGTAGCGTCTGGACTGTGTCTGCGCTCAGCAGGTTGGGAGCGAAATGGGCGGTTGGGTCGTTTTGGGGAGCGTCGTGGGTCGTTTTGAGCCGTTTGAGCAACGAGTCTGGTTCGGCGGGAGATGGCGATCTGTCGTGAATTCGAACCATGGAGTGTAGGCTGGCTCGGCTCGATGATCGATGGCGAGGATGGGTTGAGGTGGGAAATTTTTAAGTGGGCAGAATGACTGGCTGCTTTTGGGTCTAGACTTGCCTGGTATGGTAATCGACGTCTGTCACAATATCGGACATCGAAACTACGACCCAGCCTTCTCTTCTTCCGACACCTCCACCCCGCATATAGCCGTCTTTGAAACCAGATAACAGTGACTGATCGTGGAAACGACGCTCACGAATTCTGGCTGAGATGATCTGATTCTCATCGTTAAGCCTGTCCACGCATTGTCCTTCAGGCAGAGGCGAAGCAATGTCTTCTAACTCAGCTGGTATCCTTTAAACAACAAAAAGAGACAGGTGTGTATGCTTCCTAGGGAAATTGTACACGTAACTTAGAAGTAGATATCTCATTGGTTCCTAGATGTCGCAATATAACGAGCGCTCATTAACCATCCCTGCAGGTGAAGGGTGCTGGTACCAACCGCTGATTGACTTAGGACCAAAGTATGCACAATGCGACCGGTCGGTGTATTAGTATGTGCTATTAACACCTCATGCAATTCGCGTTTTGTGCAGCTTATGTAGACGTCGTTAAGCATGATGCTCGCCTCATACACGTGTAGGTATACCGGGTTTATATTTTTATATTTGCCTAGACTTATGTCACTAGTATCACTTTCAACCTTGCATCACGCCCAATTTCTTTTTCCTTTATCATAAGTCGAGACCTAGTACGATCCAACTCTCCACACCTGTTTATCCTCATTATGTCACAACCTCACAAGTCTAAGTGCATTAAACTACATCTATCTATATTCCATTATTCTCCTCATCTCCATCCAATTTATTCTGTGTAGAAATCTGGATATCAATCGAGATAGCCATTGCAACTGTGTCCAGGACCGCGAGAACAGTGGAGGGAGAAACCTTGTAGTGTGTATTGATGGCACTTCCAATCAATTCGGGGAGAGGGTAAGATATATCTCTATCTGTGAATCATTACGCCTTCTCATTTTCTCCCTTAGAACACAAACGTCATCGAGCTCTATAGTCAGGTAGAGAAAGGAAAAGGATGCAGGCAACTTACCTACTATAACAGTGGAATTGGAACATATGCGCAACCTTCCTGGAAGTCGCTCGGCTACTGGCGCCAAGTCATCGACCATAAGATTGATCTTGCCATTGCTTGGTAGGTCATTTCAGAATAGTCGCGCCCTTAATTTTTACCTCTGCGATAGGAACTTCGAGAGAATTATTTTGAATGCATTCCGTTGGCTTGCAGAAAATTATCAAGAAGGAGACATCATTTATCTCGCGGGTGAGATAAGTAAATTAAGCAGATATGCGGCTGTCTGATTTTGTAACAGGTTTTTCTCGAGGGGCGTACCAAGTTCGTGTACTTGCAGCGATGATTCATAAGGTAAGATCCTTCTTCCTACATTCTGATGGAAAGGGGATAAATGACATCGCTTGTGGAATAATAGGTTGGCCTCATCCACAAAGGAAACGAAGAACAAATTCCTTTGTATGTGAGCAAGTACTATATCCGTTGACCTTGTCGTTTACCGCCTGTTGTAGTGCTTATGAACTATATGTGAATCCTGAAAGCGGCGAACCCCTCGACATGACCAAGGAGAAGACAGGCGTTTTGGCAAAGCTCCTACACCGCTTTTCTTTGAAGAAAAAGGAGCACGCCAAGAAGCATAATAAGGAGCATGTTGAGCGGCATGGCAAGCTAGAAAATGCAGAAGCGTCCAAAGCTCTGCCTCGTACGGCCGAACCGCCCAAAACACTTCCGAGTCTGGCGGAGCGATTCAAGAAGACGTTTTCCTGGGACGTGAAAGTACACTTCGTTGGCGTTTGGTACGATGTCGAAGCATGCACATCGACTCTATTCTGACTATGTCGTTTAGGGATACTGTATCGTCCATAGGTGTCATCAGAGGGAAGGATTTGCCTGGTACACTGGATCCGGACCATATCTGCTACTTCCGTCATGCCCTCGCCTTGGATGAGCGTCGTGTGAAGTTCCTACCTGAATATTTGCAGGGTGGTGTCATGGAGAAACCAAATGAAGTATGTAAAATTATAGATTGCAAAATCATCATCACTCACTGCGCAGCATTTCGAAAAGACTCAAGGAGAGAGGCAGGATACGAGTCGTGGTAAGAAAATATTATTTCCAAAAAAGTTCGAGTCATTAATGTTATAATGCGTAATCCAAAAGGACCTCCAAAGGTCAAGGAAGTTTGGTTTGCAGGCACACATTCTGATATGTGAGTATATCCTGCGTATCAATTACTGTAACGTCATTAGTATGTCTAGTGGAGGAGGGGTCACTGAAAATCATAGCATGGATAGTCGGACGCCCTCGTCATTATGGATGTCGTATGAAGCGATGTCAGCCGGGCTCAAGCTGAAACTGGACTCTTCACTGGTGGAATGGAATTGGGAAAAGTTAGGTACAGTACACGAGTCGTTGAGCGGAGTATGGAAGATACTGGAATACCTCCCAATCAAGAGACTCACTTACAAGGACGATCATGATCACACTTGGAGGTACGTCAAATTTGTCCGTGGGTTGGACACCTTTGACATTGGCATTTGTGACAAAGGCCTCATCTGGGAGTTGGCCGTCAGATCCAGCCTGGTCAGAAGATACATGTCTCAGTTGCGCTCTGCATGAAATATCACTCGATGGCCCGTTTGAACTCCGGCGATAAACGAGACGTAAATAAACTTGTTGGCATAGCAGGCCTTCATGGAGAAAATGTGTCTCGGATGAAGGAATGGGATGATATATTGGAGAGGGACATCTATGATTATTCTATGGCCGATGAGGTGATTAAAAATCTGGAGGGTTCAGGTGCTGATCGAGACATGTGGCTCTATCGTCTGAAAGTCATACTAACGTCCGGTGAGTGCACACTGAAGAGCGTGTGATAGTACTTAAATACTGATTTGTTATGCAGACGTGGGATTAAACGAGATTTCTCAGTTAAAGGACTTACCCTGTCGTTTGCTGAAAGTCTTCAAGTTCCAGAAAGTGGATAGCGCTTTTATCCTCATTCTGTTGAACCTCTTGGCTGAGAAGCGAAGGACACAAATATGGATAGAGGGGTGACATCACACCTAATTTCTGTCTCCTTTGTATCACTAAAGTCAACTTTCAGCCTTCAATCGCCTGCCACACGCGATGCTCTGAATCAATTGATTAAGGACGATGACGAAAAGGATGATATTGTCCACATATTTATGGTAATATTTGCTGACTCTGACTATTGTGAGTCCTGATACACCCCAAGTGTGCCCAAATCTTGACGAATCACAGTTTCTGATGAGTTGGTGAAACTCGCTCCACAATTGGATCAGTGTTTTATCAAAATGACGAATCTTGACGCGAATTTCATGGGTCTAAGACTTGCAACTATCACTGCGATACCAACTTTAGCTAAAGGAGGTATTGTTTTCTTTTGATTTAGAAGTGCTCAGGCTGATGAATGGACAGACAACTTACGCCTGAAAATCACTAATGATATCTTACATTTACTGTCCAAGGGTCTAGAACCTAAAGATCGAAGGACACACCGAGCTGTGCTCATGGTGCTACCGCAACTAATGGCGTACGGTGCATAGTTCAACCCACGTCGCGTGTATTGTCGCTAACGGGCAATGTAGAAGAACTTCGGCCAAGTGTGCCAAAGCTCAAATTCCTAGATCATCTTGAGCAACTAATCTCGGCTGGTGGGATGGATGTTGTCGGTATAGTCGCAGCATATGCTCAGCATGGTATGCCAACCTCTTAACTTGCATAGCAACAGGCAATTCACTACATCACAGAGGAATTCCGTAGTGTGATGATCCAACCTCATTTCCTGCAGTCGTTCCGCCCTAGCAAGCGGATATTTGAGTCAGCGCTTGCTCAAGACCTCAGTCATGTTATTTTAGAGTTAGCAAAATATGGTGGGCATGTTCTCGCGTCACTATCATGTAGCACTGTTAACTGTATAGCAGAGACATTTCGGCGTAAGATGCTGGAGTTGGGCTTTCAGAAAGACCTGGTAGACTTGCTTGGTGATCTGGACAAGAAGTTACAACTCGCGTCCAGAAATACAATCACATTATTGGCAGAGCACGGTAAATCATTGTCGTCCTGTCATCTTTCTTTTCTTTCTGCTGATTGTTTGTCAAAACATACACGAACCAAAGATGATTGGCATTGGCTTCTTCACTGATCTGAAAGAATTGTTTCACCATCGCTACTGGGAATCAAGAGAATCATCTATTAGTGCTGTTGCGGAATATGCCAAACATGGTGGGCATCTTCGAGCTAGGGTGTTTAAGCAGAACTGACAGTTCAACAGAGGGGCTTCGAAGCAAGATGCTGGAATGTCGCTTCCTTGAGGATTTAGGAGATAGGTTCATCGACGATGACTTGAGGGTGCAACGAGCGGCTGTGAAGGCAATCGCGGTCTTTGCAGAGCATGGTAGGCCATCACTGCCTTGATCACTTATAGCCCCGTTTCTAATGATTCGTCAGACGCGTGCCAAAAGGAGATGCTTAACATTGGCTTTCTGGAATCTCTCCAAGAATTGTTCCACCATAGCGAGTGGACACCAAGATGTTCATCTCTAAGTGCCATGTCTGAATGTGCGAAACATGGTGTGCATATTTGAGCTGGACTTGTTGGGCACAGCTAATGGCTCAACAGAGGTACTTCGAAGCAAGATGCTGGAATCTCGCTTTCTCGACGATTTCAGAGATAGGCTGGGTGATAGTCACGAAGATGTACGATTAGCGTCTGTGAAAGCAATCGCAGCATTCGCAGAACATGGTAGGCCATCCGTTTTCTGATGACTTTCAGCCCCCTCGCTAACGACTCGTCAGATGCATGCCAAAAGGAGATGCTTAAAACTGGTTTTATGGACTATCTCCGAAAAATGTTCCACCATACCGACTGGGAATCGAGAGAATCATCTGTTAGTGTCATTGCAGAATGTGCGAAACATGGTGGGCATCTTTGAGCTGGCCTTTTCAAACACAGCTAACAGCTCAACAGAGGTACTTCGAAGCAAGATGCTGGAATCTCACTTTCTTGACGATCTCAGAGATAGGCTGGGTGATAGTGAGGAAGATGTACAATTAGCGTATGTGAAAGCAATCACAACGTTCGCAGAGAATGGTATGTCACCACTGCCCTGATAATTTTCGGTCTTATGCTGACGGGTTTCCAGACGACTGCCGTCGTATGATGAATGGATCTGGTATGATGGATGCTATGTTGGATTGCCTACGTATTCTTCTTGGTCATTCTTGGTGGGGAGGGGACCCTGCCGATGTTTCAACGCGTCTCGCGCAGTACGGTAGGCGACTCGTTTCTTCTTGTAAACGAGTATGGCTGACGATTCCGCAGAAGATGTCCGGGCGAAGATGCTGAAGTCTGGATATGTGGCCAGTCTGAGGAAGATGCGTGATTTTGGTGAGAAATATGGCCCGCCAGCCGAACGGGCTTCATCATCATTCGCAGCGACATTCTCCATAATCATTTGGCAACTATCTGGGGATCGTTACAACATAGCAGCATGGGAGTCTAATTTAAGTGGCACCATCAAACTACCCGCTTTCGAACCGTCATGATGATTTAGCTACACTAGAGGCCTGGCACGGTACTTACAGCTGAAACAGTGTACTAGAATATGCAGACATGTTGGGGTGGCGGGTAATAGACGCCGCTCTGTCTGCTCCATGAAAATAAATAATGGGAAGAATATGACATGTTTGACAGCTTTGCTGTCTTCCTGGCTACGACTGTGATACAGATACTTGTTAGTTTTGAAAGTAGTAATGCTCAAATAGACTCACGAACAAACTTGGCATCCCTTCTTCAAGCTGCGAAGGCCGCGTTGTCAGACTGACGGTTTTCGTCTTCACGCATTCTCGCTTTGAGTTGGTCCAATTCAGCCTGTTTTTCAGCCTCGCGTCGGGCACTTTCAGCCTCGCGTCGGGCACTTTCAGCCTCGCGTCGGGCACTGTCAGCCTTCTGGTGTTCCATTTCAGCCTTGAGTTGCTCTCGTTCCGCATTACCTTCGTCTCTCCCAGTTTGAATCAACTGTCGATGAGTTTAAACAAATTAAGTAATAGATAGCAAAATACGACAGCGAGAGTTTACTCACTTTACGTCGACTTTCTTCTCGTTTTCTCTGTTCCTCCCTCACCCTGTCACACGCCTCGCGCCATGACCTGTTATATTCTTCAGTTATCGTCTCTATACTGTTACGATGGTCGAATTTCAACCCGTGATAGTTGGCGCGCATGTCGTGTGAACTACACTTCTCCTCTGCATTTGGAAATAGTTTCTTCAACGTGTCAAACACGGTATTCGCAAACCAGTAGCACTGGTGCTCATAAAGATTGTAGAGCGGGGCGTGTTTGTTGATGACTTTCAACAGGATGCATAGCTGCCGAACAGAAGGCGATAAATAATTTCCGGTGATATTGGAGGGACAAGACTCGGAGAATGTAAGGGTACAGAGCTCCCTGTATGGTTTATACGGTTTAGTCAACTCCGTTTTATCGTCTTCTTTGGTGATGACAATACGATCATGGGCAGGAGTATCGGAGACTGACGGTGACACAATGGCAGAGCCTAGAGGGGTATGAACAGACGAGTTGGGTGACGGAGCGGAGGGTGAACGGTCGACGACCACAAGTGCCTTGTTCGTGATGTTTGGGTCCGGGTAGCGAACGGAAATCAACAAGAATTCGTGTTTCTTGTCGTCTTTGCATTTACAAAACACGATGTGGTCGATATAACAATTTGTGGACCTATCGTCTAAGCAAAGCTGCCGCTCCCATGACTCAGGTCCCATAGGCCCGATGACGCCCTCCTGGAATATGCCAAAAATGTCGTTTGGATAAGGCATATGTGGTCGAAAAAGAGTCGAGTAGATGTTATGGAGAATAAGAGAAAAACGACCTGAACCCATCTTTAATCTGTAGCTGGTGAGGGCTGTAAGGGCTGAGGGTGTTTCAAGTTCCAGAGGGTCTGACCGTCTTCAATGGCGCTGGCAATGCTATGATATGAGAGTCTATCAAATCAAACTTCTAACAAGCTCGTGTACTACACATGTCTCGTACATAAGCGCCCATAAGGTCCAGTAAATTGCCGTGAGAATGTTCACGATGTCTACATATGGGCAACTTGAACATCCTGTTCGGACTCGGTGCAAGTAATCCATCACACCCTACACCAATCATTCTCCTGGGGTCCATGCTTCAATGACAGTCTGAATACTCGCCTTCAACGGCCTGCGCACTTCAAACCCAGAAGATAAATTATCAACCGAGTGCGTCGTGCTTGGGTCATGCTACCACAAAATCACCTTAAGCTTTTCACCGGTCACCCGTGAATCAATGGAGCGGCACACGGCTTCTGAACAAGTGGCCTGGTATATATATCAGAGCAAATCCAGACATCTCAATCGACTCGATGGACTGACATAGTCAAGCATTCATTACATCAACTTATAGTCATAGAACACTGATTCGTTTACAGAGGCCCTCAATAGTGAACAAATAGCACCAAAGCCAGTCAGGGGCTTGCGGGAAGGTATGACTCGGACGTGTCGAATCACGGTTACTGTAGGGAATATTTTTCCCTTCACCCTCGCATCGCATGACTCACGATCGTAAATATCTTCCAGTCTCTTTCCAGATCAGGCGAGGATTCTCATTATCATGATGGACACTATCACTGATGACGGTTCGTGGTCACCTCCTTAGGGCCCAAGCAACGTGTAATTCACCTCGGTTACTCCCCTACCATTCATTGCGCATGGAAATATCTTACTCCAGTGTCAGCTGTCAACGGACGAAAGCAATTGTCGCAATACACCGAGACGTTGGCATGAGCTTGATGTACCTGTGCTTATGCCGCTAGCTGGGATCATGACGCGTTTGATTCATCAGCGCAGCCTCGCATAAACGTATAGCCTTTATCGACAGCATTCCACATCAAGTCCAGTTTGAACGGGGTAAGATTCGTTCAACCTATCAATTTCACACACCCTAAAGCTTTGATGCATGTACTAGGTTTTAGCCCTAACCAGTGCATCGTGGAATTGAGAAGCTCTCTACTGATGCTTTACTGTTTAGCACTTTATCATTGCAGGGGTGGACGGCACGATTTATCGGGGGCTAATGTATCTCCCCGAAACAGTGCGGTCGAGCTAAGGTATCACCTATTCACCATAAGTTAGTGTGCTATCTCATGATGGCGTAGTTCTGTGAATATTGACCGACTAATGAATACTTCTCCCTGGAAACTGGATATTGTCATGCTTGTATATGGCCGGACTTCGACTTGCATTGTAATCTCTGCTGGACTTCCATGCACTTTTTTTCATGCCCCACAAATATCACAGCAAAATTCCGCGCGGTGCTCCACCGGGCTATCCAGACCGGCTTGCGGGAGGGAGCAGACGACATCCAGATCAACGGAGCCTTGCAGCTCCAAATCGGCTGGATGCACATCCACGGTAAGTCTTCCCCAAACACTTTCCTCTCTTTGCATTGTGATTGTGATGGGGGCTAACAACCCTCATCAATTTTTTTCGTGGTGATGAAAAACAAAAGGAATGTCCCAGCACTCGGACGCGTCAGCGACCCGGATGACATCTTGACTTCCGTCTTGGTGGAGGACAGCCAGGTAATGTTTCTCGAAGCAACACACTCCTCCCCTCTCGTTAAACGCTCTTCTAGATCCAACCCGACACGTACCAAGTCATGCCCTCTTATTATTTATCAGATACCAGACAAATGTCCGGCGGAATAGACGTGTACAGCCTACCACCAAAAGGGTGGTACAGCCCGCTGCAAAGTCTTAGATAACAAAATGCATGCAAAAGTGGCAACAGTACTGACATTCTGAGCATGCTATCCCTACAAACCATATAAGAAAATAAAACACCACACCATAGAATATGGTCTCATTGGACTGTTCCACCTACAGCTCATATGGTTGGAGGGTACTATGTCATTCTATATGTGCTGTATATTAAGTCGTTCGGGTTTGATCTAATAAGATAAGGTGTCTCAGATCTTGTAGAAGAGTCTGAGCTATATTCAAAGTAAGTACCTAATAAGATAAGATGTCTATACTAGGGATCAGATAGGTATTCAAAAGGGGGGAAATAAGGGAGTCTCACCTCAGATCTCATAGAAGAGTCTGAGGTGGTACATAGCAACCAGGCCTCTTTATAAGTAGGTAAGTGAACGGAATCAAAAAGTTTTCTGATGGTATAAATTGGTGCACAGGCCACCTGAACTTACATGCCTTCCTTTCTAGGCATTTTGTGTTGGCTTGTCTCCTTGTTCAACACTCTCCGTCCAACACTCCCCCTCAAGCCGCACGGAGTCCTAGCACGGCAGCAAAGTGCTTTGCTTTTGTAGATGGTAATGCCTTGGTAAGCATGTCTGCAATCATATCATTTTTTGGGCAATAAACCATCTTGATCTTCCCCTGTTCTATAGTGTGACATATGAAATGCAATCATATGTTGATATGCTTTGTCCTTGCTTCACTTCCAAAGATTTCTCTCATGAGCATCCTAATCCAGAGAAGTTCTTTTGTGGTGTGGGTTGCAGCCACATACTTGGCCTCTGTGGTTGACAGTACAATCAGTTCTTGTTGCTTTGAGAACCACAAGATAGTCCCACTGTCCAACATGGTCCTAGCATAGCCAAAGCTCACACGTCCCCTTCAGATACTTCACCACTCTTTTTGCCACTTCCAAATATGCTTTCTCAGGATTCTCTATGAACCTCGAGAGTATAGCTATGGCGTGTGCAATGTCTGGCCAAGTGGCAATCACAGCATACATAAGAGACCCTACAATTTCTCGATAAGGTGCGTCTCTCATTTCAGCAAAGTCCTCGGGTGTCTTGGGGCATTGATCTTTTATTAGGTTGGTGTTTGCCACTATTGGCATCAACGGAGGCTTTGCATCCTCAAGACCAAAACTGTGAGGAATCAATTTTTCCTATTGCATTCCCATCATGTCGTGGTTATCCAATTCATTCCCTGTCACTCCTCTCGCTCTTGGACTAGAAATCACAGTCGGCATTCTGTTACTGTTATCCTTTTTCTTTTTATTTTCCATTCATACTCACATCCTATTGTATCTGCTATGAAGAATGGTTGTAGACCCTCAAGAAGATATCCAGATGACATAGCAATGATTCAATGCTATGTCTGGGAATACTTTGGAGGACCATAGATAAGCAAGGTAGGCTATGAATCAGTGCCTTCTCATGGGCTAACTGATACAGCCAATCATACACCTCTTACCAATACAATAGATTGGACCACTTTCTCTCTCTTTTCTTATTGGTTAGTTGGTTGGTCAGACCACTTTCTTAACTCTTCTTTCTTTCAGTCTGACCATTGCTGTTCACTATATAAGGAAGTACATACTCGATGTATTATTCCTTAGTTCAATATTAGTTTGTATTTGTGCTTATACTGATACTCTTCAACCTCAAGTACTCTGATTCACCGCCCTCTTCAGGGACTTGACCAGACATCTGTTGTTGTTATATAGCTTTGTATTCATTGCCTGACAAAAACATTTGATTATGGCATCAATATACAAACATTGGGATAGACTAATAGTTTGAGTGAGTCTGTCCCTTTTTATCTCCATACCTAGCATCCAGTGTAACTTGCCAAGATTGCTAACCTTAAAAAGTTTGAGTAGTTCCTTTTTCAAGGCCGTCATATGTGCTGCCATTGGTGCAGCAAGTGTCATGTTATTAACATGGACAGCTATGATGGTGAGCTTGTTTGCTTTCTACTTGTAGAAGATGGCATGATCTGACTCACATTGTTTCAGTCCTATTTTCTTTAGGTCTTCTCATAATATTTGGTACCAGCAATGTGCTGCCTGTTTCAGGCCATACAGGGTTTTATTGAGGCAAAGTACCTGTTCTTCTCATCCTGGGGCAGCATAGCCTGGGGGTTGGTGTCAGGCAACAAATACAAAGCTATATAACAACAACAGATGTCTAGTCAAGTCCCTGAAGAGGGCGGTGAATCAGAGTACTGAGGTTGAAGAGTATCAGTATAAGCACAAATCCAAACTAATATTGAGCTAAGGAATAATACATCGAGTATGTACTTCCTTATATAGTGAACAACGATGGTCAGACCAAAAAGGGGAAGAGTTAAAAAAGTGGTCTGACCAGTTAACTAACCAATAAGAAAAGAAAGTAAAAGTGGTCCAATCTATCATATGTACTAATCATGTAAGAAAGAGTATTGGTAAGAGGTGTACAATTGGCTGTATCAGTAAGCCCATGAGAAGGCGCTGATCCATAGCCTACCTTGCTTATCTATATTCCTCCTAAGTATTTCCAGACATAGCATTGCATCAGGAAAAACCTAGTTTCCTTTTATAGCTATTAAAGCTGTCATAGTGCTATATAGGAAAAATAGTAGCTATAGTACGCCTAGACAAGTTCCTATTATATAGCATTATATAGCAGGGCTATTTTGAGATGTTTGCTATACCAGCTATAGTATCACTTCTGTGATATATGCAATCCATCTCCACTATGGCTTCTCTCATAGAATATAATAGATATAACAATCATCAATGGTTATTTCAGAATGATCATATTATATATGTTCTACAAGCTTATCATAGTTTTCAAATTCTCTCAGTTTTGTTCACTATTATTATAGCATCCTAGCCAGAGATTATATGCAGAGAATTTATTATAGTATGTTCCTGATACCACCCCAGGCAGGGACTTAATCCATTACATAAGGGCCTCAAAGACCTATTCTTTGTCAACGGATGTGGGACCTTAAGTATCCCCTCACTGCCAAGGTTTCCTAGCCAAGTATATATATAGTATTTCTAAATACAGCGGTACTTGAACAACCCTCTGAAAACCCTCCTGTGGTGCCCTCTGGAGTTTGTAAAATATTTTTTTGTTCCATAGGCCTTCTAGGGCAATGTTTATTAAGAACAAAGCTTGAAGGAAGTGTCTAGCCACTTGCTGAGAGCAATCAGGGACTGGAACTAGAGTCCAATGTGAGTAACTTTATTATTAGAGAGTATGACAGGTATACAGTACCTAGAGTCCAATGTGAGTAACTAGAGAATAGGAAGCATTGGACTCTGCAATACTGTCCGAAGTTTTGTAAACAAAGGTAAACAAAGCAGCCACAAAGGCGAAATAATAGAGAACACAATCAATAGTGAATGATAGAAGAATAGATAGAGAAAGGAATGAAAATATGTAGGTAGCACAAAGGTGCAGAATCACCAAAACTAACAATATTTACAGCAATATTTCCATATAATGCATACTCTTTATGTGCTCGTAAAATGCTCTGTCAAACCTCTGTCAGACCCTCAGGCAACCTGTAGAAATCCTTCTGTGAAACCTTGTGACCCTCTAGCCACTACTGTGTTCGGGTTAATCATCCACCTTAGGCAGGACCCTGATCGCTAAAGTAGTAGCCTTGAAGGGGGGTTTTTTGTTGATAGAAATAGGGCCTCAAAGGCTCCCTCTGTGCGATGCTCTAGGCTTAAATATATATATGGAATTAGCAAAAGTAGTACTAATCTTGATGTGACACTTCAGTCACCCCCAAAACATAAGCATTTAGCTTCAACTATCTGTGTAAATGTATAAAGCTAAGAGCTTGTTTTTCCTGGTATCATCCCAAGTGCTCCAGCAAGGATGGGATCATCCCAGAAGTGGGATAATACCACCCTTCTGGGATTTTCCCATGGTATCAGACCATTTGTTATGGTGGGATAATCCCAGACATTTGCCACATGTCACATGGTGTCAGGGGGGCTTTACTGCAAAAATAGTTCCTGCATAAATGTAGCCAACATCAATACATTATCAATAGTACTAATAGCCATGAAGCAGAATACAATACTACCTGCTTTCATCATTTATAACATATATACAAATTTCAAATGGTGTTTACTCTCAATTGAACCTTAATTTGTCCAGCTTCTAGTGTAATATCATATACTATAGATTGATGGAGGAGACTTTGACCAAAGGTTAGTGTAACTAATTGTGACGTATAACCATTTACAAATTAACCTGATTTAATTCAGTTGATTAGGAGATAATTCAACCATATCTCTTTTCCTTAACTGACTATATAACTTTGTCATTCCTACTTATCATATAATTTACTGCATATCACAAAGTAGATTTATCTACCCTGGATTTCTATCAATGTTACTTAAAATGGCTTATAGTCAAAGGAATACAAGATGTTTGACAATACCAAGCATATACATCTGCAGGATTACAATACCTCTCATTCAGGCTCATCCAACTTTAAATAATGTAACACTCTTGCAACCAGGCAAAGATATGTCACAAATCCATTTAATGTGCTGATCCAAAAGATATGATATTTTTTTGAATTGTGCAGCTTTATCCAAGTGCCTGAACTGAAAAATGCACAAAGATACCAGTCCGAGTAAGTACTACATATTCATTATCCTTCCCTCTGCTGCATCATTGTCAAAGGCAGAACATGTCTTGCATGAGACAAATTGCTGGCTCTTTGTGGCAGCCCAGCATCCACAAGCCAACACCCATTTTATCCACTATATGTCCCCATGCATACAATTGATTATAAATTTTTGTGAAAACAAAAATGGCTGAAAGGTGTGCTCTGCATGCTTATGCAATTTCATGTGACTTGGGATGAACCTACGTGAGGGCTACTCTGAATCACTGTCCCAGTTCAACCTTAGGTTCATCCAGGTCCTACCATAACATAATAGTTGGTTTACAAACAAAATACTGCAACATGTAAAAAATGGAAACTGCTGGAAAAGGACAATAATATTTTAAGCTGCTGGGAACTTACCTATGATTATATGTTACAGAATAACCTTAGTGCATTTCAGGAGTATTTTCCCCTGTCATGCTGAGTCACCAGCAGCCTAAGCATGCTATTCAATAATTCTGTTCCTGTTGTGGGATCTCCCTGTCCTATTCTGACTCAGGGTGATCTTGTCCCCTGCTTGGATTTGTCTGTGATGTAGTGAGATGATCCTATGTAATTTGGAGATTTTTCTAGATCAGATTGAACTGGAATGATCCCATCTCTTTCCAAGACTTTCCTTGGCTGGTTTGGGATGATGCTTTACCCTTCAGGCATTGGTCCATATCAAATTGTGATGATCCCATCCCATTTGGTATTTGTCCACATTTAACTGGGATCATCCCCTTTTTTGCTGGGATTTTCCCAGATTGGTTTGAGATGACCCTATCCCCCCTTGGTATTTGTCCATGTTGAACTGAGATTTTCCCAGATTGATTTGGGATCATCCCATCCTCTTTTGGTATTTGTCCATGTTGAGCTGGGATTATCCCATCTCTGGCTGGGATTTTCCCAGAGTAGATTGGGATCATCCCATCCTCTTTTGGTATCTGTCCATGTTGAGCTGGGATTGTCCCATCTCATTTGGTATTTGTCCATGTTTAACTGGGATCATCCTATCTCTTGTTGGGATCTTCCCAGATTGGTTTGGGATCATCCCATCCTCTTTTGGTATTAGTCCATGTTGAGCTGGGATCATCCCATCTTATTTAGTATTTGTCCATGCTTAACTGGGATCATCCCATCCTTTGGTGGGATTTTCCCAGATTGGTTTGGGATCATCCCGTCCTCTTTTGGTATTTGTCCATGTTGAGCTGGGATCATCCCATCTCTGGCTGGGATTTTCCCAGAGTGGATTGGGATCATCCCATCCTCTTTGGTATTTGTCCATGTTAAGCTGGGATTTTCCCAGATTCAATTGGGATCATCCCATCCTCTTTTGGTATTTGTCCATGCTTAACTGGGATCATCCCATCTCTTGCTGGGATTTTCCCATATTGGTTTGGGATCATCCCATCTCATTTGGTATTTGTCCATGCTTAACTGGGATTTTCCCAGATTGGTTTGGGATCATCCCAGATTGGCTTGGGATTATCCCATCCTCTTGTGGTATTTGTCCACATTGAGCTGGGATCATCCTATCCCTTTATGGTATTTGTCCATATTGAACTGGGATGATCCCACCCCCTTCTGGTATTTGTCCATGTGAGAAGTGGGTAACCCCATGTTACGTGGGGACATGTACAGATTTAACTGGGATGATCACACCCTATTTCAGGGATTTGTCCAGATCAGTGTGGGATGATCCTCAGTAAAAAAAATCAAAAGTTGGGCAATGTCAATGGTCAGAATCAGTTTTGAAGGAAATTACCTGAGTTCTACATATTGCCATAAAAATGATAATCCAAAAAGAGTGGTGTGAGACAGCATCACTATCATATGAGAGACAGAGAATGTTGGCAGAAACCTTACTTGGCATGAAAAAATATTTTCCGGATTCATTTCAATTTCTCAAGAATCTAAAAAAAGAATACCTTTACAGCACTCAGATTCTTTGTGGACTTAGATACTGTACTATACACAGTCAGCATATAGGCACCAGTCACCCCTTAGACCTTCAGCTGGTAGCTCCCAGAAATGGCACAACTCAAGGTATTAAATACCTAAGCAGTGCCTAATTAATCCTCACACTCAAGTCATCTAGTGTAGGAGTATCAAAATGGAGATCTTGTGTATTATACTGTACATAGCAAGCATCCCCCTCTCCCCATAGACCTTCAGCCAGCAGCCCCCAGGAACCACTCTCAGAGAATGTACAATATAAGGTATCAAATACCTTGGTAGTGCCACAAAAGTGGTAAATTCATGTTTTTGCAAGAACATGACTTTATGTTTCTTTTTACTATGTTTTACTTTCTACAAGGTCAGGATTTTCCTCACAGAATATGCCAGATCTAGTGTAAATCTAATATTTGATGTCCTTCTGCAGATTACTTTGTTGTCACAGCATTTGTGTTGTGTTTCCTAGTTTTTACTTCAGTTAAGGGTATAATAAACCTTGCAAAAAAGCAGAACTCACATATCACATCTATCAGCAAGGACAACAGCATCTTTCTAGTGTATGGTTCCTGGAATTGATTATATCTAGAAATTGATAATGTTCCACATTTAAAAAAAAGGGAATGCTTCTCCCCAAATTTGCAGTAAGCTACAATGAGGAACTTGTAACTCGTATATTTCAAAATAGTCTTGATTATATTGGGCTAAAGTACCATTATTCAGGTGGAAAAGACTGGAAATATCTTCACTAGTTGGCCCAGCATTCTCACATGTTAGTATTAGCACCAATCCCCCTGATACCATGTGACATGTGACAGGTTATTGGGATTATCCCATCTGAGGGATAATCCCACTATGGTACATGGTCTGATACCATGGGAAAATCCCAGAAGGGTGGTATTATTCCGCTTCTGGGATGATCCCATCCTTGCTGGAGCACTTGGGATGATACCAGGAAAAACAAGCTCTTAGCTTTATACATTTACACAGATAGTTGAAGCTAAATGCTTATGTTTTGGGGGTGACTGAAGTGCTTTATCCGCCAGTGCCCAAGCTAATCTTGTCTTGTATATAGACCAATTTGAGCCGTCAGGCTCAAGTTTCGGTACTCCAAGCAACTCCTTGTTGTCGACGTTGTCGACAGGGCTCATGACCTGAAATTGTTCGGGTTTGATCTAGTAAGTAAACTCAGACTTCAACAGAAGATCTGATATATATTCAAAAAAATGTACCTAGTAAGTAAACTGGAAATGAGGCATAAGCTAAGTACTCATAGGTTTAATCATAAAAGTGTCTCACCTCAGACTTTGACAGAAGATCTGAGGTGTCTGCCTGACAACAACAGCGTATATAAGTGAAGACGGAACCAAAAAAAAATGATGCAGTATATTAGGTGCATGGGCAACCCCAAATACTGGACCTTCCCAGTTTGGCGCCTGTGCCACTACTTGCCTTCGTACTACGCTGTACAAGGCTTGTCTCTCTCTCTCTTATTCTTCCAACACTGTACAGTACCTCATGTATTTTAGTATATATACTGGAGCAATACATGGGGAGGGACTCAGCAAGTCTTCTTCTAGTATCTACCAACATTAGTATGACAAGTTCCCTCCTTTGATAGGTTGTACACTTCCTTTCCTCCATTACATTGTTGTTGTGGCTACAGTTCCCCAAGACTGTGTCTTGTTGGTGTTGTCACATATGGGCCAATTGTACTTACATGCCTTCCTTTCTAGGCACTTTGTATCGGCTTGCTTCCTCTCTCAACACTCTCAATTCAACACTCCCCCTCAAGCCATACAGAGTCCAAGTGTGGCAGCAAAATGCATCACTTTCATAGATGGCAATGCCTTGGTAAGTGTATCCACTATTATATTGTCCGTGGGACAATACTCTACTTCAATCTTTTCTTCTTCAACCACCACATACTATAGTTATAATGTTCCGTCTAATACAAAACATTATTACCTGATAAATTACTATATAGACAGGGCTAGCAGAGTCTGGCAGAGTGGGCCAGCTGGGCCATCTTCAATGTAATAATACAGGGCCTGTGTAAGACAAACAGGCTGGGTCAAAGCACACCCGTTTCAAATGATCTGGCTGGATTTGTCCATGCCCATCTGAGGCAACCCGGCTGGATGGCTAAATAATTCACCGTCTAAGACAACCCAGCTGGCTGGGAAGAGATTCACAGGCCCCATCTAGGACAACCTGGCTGGATCAGAGCACACCTGTCTAGAATGGCCCAGCAGGGTCTGTCCATGCCCATCTGAAGTGACCCAATTTGATAGGTCAATAATCTCTTGTCTAGGACGACCTGGCTGGATAGCTAAATAATTTCTTGTCTAAGGTGGTCCGGCTGGATCAGAGCACACCCGGCTGGTTCTGTTTGTGTGAGATGACCCAGCTGGGTGGATCAATAATCTCTTGTTTAGGATGGCCCAGCTGGATAGCTGAATAATTTCTTGTCTCAAATGACCCAGCTGCATAGGGAAATATTTTCTTGTCTAGGACAACCCGGGTTGGTCAGAGTACACCCATCTAGGATGGTGTTACAACCAAGATTTTGTATACTCTGGCACACAACCCAGACAAAGCTATAAGGAAATGAGGGGAGTGGTTAACCTTTAGACAGGACCAAGTTTGTTGTGGGTAGATAACAGGAGGACTTGCTGAGGAGTCTCCTGGATCTATTGGGTATTTATACTACTATAGGTTTGTTTGTACATGTGTACTATACAGTTGATGGAAGCAGTGGCTGATGATGTTATGGGGTGCAGCCTGTGTGATCAGCTTCACTGCATTGTCATGCACCAAAGCCGATTGGTAGCATGGACAGGTGTCAAAGATGAAGTGAATATTCAAAAAGACTCGCCTCTGCACCACACAGGCACAGTGCCACATGGAATAGTAATTAATATTGCCTTTTTTGAACTTGTGGCTGATCAGCACCACCTCTATTAGGCAATCCAGTCGCGCTCACCTTTGCTTTTCTATTTGGTACTTTCAACATTTTGGCAAATTTTTGCATCGCCACTGGCTACACATTGCACCCTTGCTTTCGTCTTTCTCCCTTACTTTTTTTCTTTACTCATCTCCACCATGGGACCCTTGCTCTCTTTTTATTCCCACCTGATGGTTGCTTCTGCATCCCTATTTTAGTTCACCTCCTTGTCACCTCCACCCTCCTCCTCCTCATCTTTTTTGCTCCCCCACCATACCTGTTGTCACCACTTCCTATCCGCTTCCATCACCAATCCATCAACTACCACGTGCCACTGCTGATATTGGCAAAGCCCTGGCAGCCGGTGTCATGCACCAAAATTGATTGGTAGCATGGACAGGTGTCAATAACGAAGCGAATATTCAAAAAGACTCGCCTTTGCGCCACACAGGCACAGTGCCACGTGGAATAGTAATTAATATTGCCTTTTTCGAATCTGTGGCTGATCAGCACCACCTCTATTAGGCAATTCAGTCACGCTCACCTTTGCTTTTCCATTCGGTACTTTCCGCATTTCGGCATTTCGGCAAATTTTCGCGTCGCCACTGGCTACACATTGCATTGCGCCCTCGTTTTTGTCGTTTCCTTCACTCCCCTTCCTTTTCTTAGCCCCACCATGGGCCCCTTCCTCTCCTTTTTATTCTCACCTGACAGTCATTTCTGGATCCCCATTTTAGTTCACCTACTCATCACCTCCACCCTCCTCTTCCTCATATTCTTTGCTCCCCCACCATTTCTGATGTCACCACTTCCTATCCGCTTCCGTCACCAATCCGTCAACTACCACGTGCCACTGCTGATATCAGCAAAGCCCCAGCGGCCAGTCCAAGTAGGGCAACAGGTCCATCTTTATGACGTCAATCTGCCATCATATACCATCAAAATATCGGTCACTCGTCTTGCCTGGTTGGAGCGTGGGTGGGTAGTTTTTGAGCTGGAGAAGGTTCATCCCCTTGTGTCGCCCATGTTCATTGCTGTCCCATTCACTTGGGTACACTTATCTTTCGTCCATCATCTTCGCTACAGCTACAGCTACCACACACTGCCTGGGACTCACTTGTTCCAAATTGGAACTACTCCCCTCCCTCCCTCGCTTGACCAGGTGGTCCAGTACAACCAGTCCATTGGTAAAGCCATGGAATTGTCAGATTTGGACTAGGTGGTGGACCAGTGGCTCCAGTTTCTTTTTTTTCAGCAGAACATTCATTTACAGTGCGATTATTTTGATTTTTGAATCATTTTATGGACACATATTTTTTTAGAATGCCTGACTGACAATAAAGGAACTGTGTTGATACTGATATTGTTTTTTTTCTTTATACTCTTTTTACTGCATCTTCTTATGACATCACAATTTTCTTGCTCTTTTTCTCTTATTGGACTGTATTTTTATGACTGTACAAACCTGTACCATTACTTACATAGCATTCATTGTTCTATCTCTTTCTTTCCCTTATTTTGACGATCTTATCCTGTACCAACTATGCAGGATTTGTCAGCGTACATTCCTTCCTTCATGTTCTTTCTCATTCTTTTTGCGCAGCTATACTGTGCATAGCCTACCTTTCTTTTCACTATATAAACCCCTGTATATTACCTTGTAAAACAACAAAGCACTCGATTCCAGACTTTTTCTCTAATCTTAAGTCCACTTCTTACTGCTACTTGTGATCCAGTGTGGTCACAACACTTCCCACTGCTACTACTGTTAACTGCTGTCATTGTTACTCATCACTTTTAAAGTCTTTATCATCCCTTTCGATTAGAGTCCTTCTGAGCACTACAGTTTGTGCGTCAGGAGCCTGCTATCACTGGGAACCTCGTCACCTCTTCATCCTTGTCATTCTCAAACCTACCTTGTGCTACGATTAGCAAAGTAGTGCTCATCTATACTCATCACTAAGCCCCTATCATCTATAAATTCAACTATCCCTCCTCCTCAAAACCCACACCCATACATCTCTGGGTTTTACTTTGAAGGATCTTCATACATACCACCCCACGAACAACCAGAGCACCCACTGTTCTAGGAGGCAAAGCCCATAAACAAGTTCCGTGGAATCTGGGAGGATTGTTTGTTAGTTTGTTTTTGTGTGTGGTTTTCTAACAACAGTTCTCATCATCGACAATTGGAGCCCACCGCGAGGGGTGGTTTCCTTCAAGCTAAATACCAACCATTTCATCGCCATCACTGTCTAATTTATCATCTACACCTTCTATCTCACCCACTGCTTTATCTGTCCCATCCCTCTCTTCCAGTAACTCAATTTCTGTACCAGCTTCTACTCAGCAAGCTTCGCGTTTACCCTCTATATTTTTCACTATGAATCAACATACTACTCTCTCAGTCATCATGATGCCAATTCCTGGCACTCGTTATGCTCCTAAGAAGTTCAAGGGAGACTATACTCGTGTCAGGGATTTTGTTCTCCACTATGAACGCATCTGTCATGCAAACAATGTCACTGCTGACGATGAAAAATGCTCAAGCATTCTCCAATACTGCTCCACATATGTTTGAGAAATCATTGAAGGAATGAAGCATTTCATTACGCCCTCATGGAACAGTCTCAAAGACGAAATTCTCCAGTACTTTGATGCTGCAAAAGCAGAAGCCAAATTTAAAGAGCATCATCTCAAACAGTTGGTCGATGCTTCGCACAAGAAGAAAATGGGCTCTCTGGATGATTTCAAGAGCTACATGAGGAAGTATGTTCGTGTTGGTGGATGGCTTCTTGCCAAATCCAAGATCACCCAGGACGTATTCAACCGCTTTTTCTGGAAAGGACTATCCAAAACCCTTTGTCATCGTGTTGAAAACAGACTCCTTCAGAGGAATCCTACCCTTGATCTCTCTCAGCCTTTCGCTTTTGATGATGTTGTCAAAGCTGTAGAGCATGTCCTTCGCAGAGATTGCTTTGATGATGAAGATTTTGACTCTGATGATTCGGATTCAGACTCGGATTCAGAGAACTCTTCCAGTTCTTCAGACAATTCTTCTGACTCTGACAAAGAGGAAGAACCATCTCATTATATCAGGAAAACCACCAAACAGAAGAAAGAGAAAAAGTGCACCTCTGAGACAGAGAAAGAGAGAAAGTTGTTGAGTCCTTCCAAGTCGAAGAAAACCCTTCACTCTTTAGACGAAGAAGAGCACACTGCTGTCAAACAGGATGAAGTAGAAACCCTTATCAAGAAGTTGGGTTCTATGACAATTGAAGATCCTAACTATCCTCTGCTCTACTATCGTGCTATCAAACTTGACACTGATGCTCGACTTATACTTCACCCTCCCACTTTCATGAACCAGTCAGCTAGACCATCTCGATCCTCTCAAGGAAGCAGCAACTTACCCACTCAGCCTACTGCTCCACCCACTGCCACTCTGCCTACAGCACCTCGTGTTCCCTTCCTTTGCTATGGATGCGGAAAAACTGGTCATGGAGTTAATGAATGTGCAGATATGCTTGACTTACTGTCAAAGGGAATCGTCAAGAAGGATGACACTGGTCGCTTTGTCATGTCTGATGGGTCCAGAATCATGCGATCAAGAGAGGAACCCATAGCAACTGCTGTACATCGCACCATCCCCAAGTCTAACCTCCTCACTACGACTTCTTTCATGTCTATTGCAGAAGTAGCTGACTCTGATTCTGATTCAGATGAAGAGCACGTCTATGCAGCAGATCATCCAGACAGAGTGTCTAAGGAGAAGCGCAAGCAAGTCTTTGATGGTGTTTACATTCCTCCTAAACCAGATTGGGCCAAAGCCGTAAAAGGAAAGAAGAAAGAAGAAGAGAAGCCTGTTGCTCCAACCATAGCCCCTGTTCCATCAAAGCCACACATCTTTGATATTGCACAGCCTATCTTTGATCTCACTAATGACGATGTAATCATGGAAGATGCTTCCCAAAACACCAAGAAGAATCCCCCTGCCGATAAACAGAAGAAACCACTCAAGACTTCATCTACACTTTCGCAGAATCTTGACTCCAAAGCCATTATTGATCAAATTCTCAGCACCCCTATCCCTCTATCTATTGGTAATATCATTGGTCTATCAAAAGAAGTTTCCCAGAATCTCCAAGAAATGATGAAACCCAAGCGTGTTAATTTTGGACTAGACAACAAACCCCAAAGCTTGACAGCTGAATCACTTTTTGCCATCACTCATGCCGACCTTATTCGTGTTCCTGTTACCTCTAATGGCGAAACTATTATAGCTATTGTTGATTCAGGGTTTGCTCTCAATATAGTCAGCCGCACTATTTGGGAAAATCTCATTCGCCTTCCCATGGATACTAGTATTCAACCTGTAGTCAAAGATGCCAATGGAGGATTTGGTAGACTTGATGGTCTAGTCAACAATGTGGCTTTATACTGCGGAGAAGTCAAAACTTATGCCAATATCTTTGTTGGGAAAGACACTGGATACGATCTACTTCTTGGACGACCATGGACGCATGGGAACTATTACAGCATTGAAGAAAGATTTAATGGCACTTATCTTGTCTTCAGAAAGGATGGCAAAATTGAAAACCCAGCCCTTGAAGTCAAGGTATCATCAGATCATCGTCCTATTCACTATGTCAAACCAGTATCTGGAGTATCTGATACAGTATCCAGCTTCTTAGTCACGGACTATGACTTCAATGGAGAAGATCTAGATGGAAATACCGATGAATGGGAAACTGCTGCTGAAAGTGTCACCCCAGAAGAAGAAACTGTGCCTGTTCCAGATAATTCCCCAATTGGTTCAATCGAAAATTCTAGCACTCTCAGAGCACTGGAAGACCTGGAAACTCGTCTAGAAGAAAATATTGAAGCCTCCATCCCTATCCCCAATGCCAGCACCTTCAAAACATTCTTTGACTATATTCGCTCAATCAGGGAAGATGAAAGGTCTGCTATTTTTGGTCTACTGAACAACCTTCAATATCGTCACAACATGAGCTCACTCTCAATAACTTCAGACTATGTCATGAGAGGACACCATGGCTTCAATGAAAACCACAACCTTTATGCTGATTATGTCCTACTTCATGCTCATTTGCAATTTGACCAGAATCATGGACCTGGAAGAGCACAATCTATTATCAGTCGCTCAGGAACTGCACATATTCGCTTTTTTCCTCAAACAGAATCATTTCCAATTCTTACTGATGAAGATATAAATGGACCTCCATCACGTGATATGGCCTTATCTGCACCATATCTCGCCCAATCCTTATCCAATCGTCCTGTAACTTCTACCATTGTCTTCTACGGCCTAAATAACCCTAGGAGAGGTATCAGAGCGGTTGAATTTGAGCTTGATCTTTCTGTGAGCCTTCATCATCATTTGATCACCTTTTGGCCCCCTATTCCATATTTCCACATCCTGTGCTTGGATCTTGGCCCTATTTGAGCCATCTACTACCCTATACTATCGCACTCTAAACCCTCAATTTGGGGGCAATCCATCCATCTTATCTGTCTCTGCATCAATTTCGACTTTTTACCCTATTTTTCGCTTTTTGGCATATCTGGTGTGTGCATAAAGCTCCAATCTTCTCTACTCTGTCCATTATCAGATAGAACAAGCCTATAGACTGTGAAGCTTGCCTGCATTGCCTCAGTTTGCTGTTGCCTAGAGCCTCTCTCAGTCTGCGGTGTTTGGGGAGCTTAAGTCACTTTGTTGACTCATATACAAGCCCTATTAACCAACACTGTCTCGAGGCGATTTTTCTGTTAATATCAGCATGGAATTGAAAGGGGAACACAGGCATAACCCTGTAGCAGCACTAGGAAGCCTTAGCACCCTCCTGGATCGCTTTTGGACGCTTTTTGGACCCTATTTGGACCTATCCTTGCGCTTTCTGACCCTCTCCATATCCTCTCTCTACCACCTCACCATCTTATCTGCTCGCCTCCTACTGCTTCCCATTGACTTTGCCACTATTCCATTGCCTATAGCCATATCCTACATCATTTATCATTGCTCTATCGTCTTATACAACACCCATCATGTCTGACTCTGATCCCAAGTTCCATCCCTTGTCTGGCACTAACTACCCCCAGTGGAGTGGTGAAATGCAAGCTTGGTTGATGACCAAGGGACTGTGGAGGCTCGTCTCTGGCGCTGAAAAGTGTCCTGGGACTGACGCTGAAGCAATAGAGAAATGGGAGTTGAGAGCTGAAAAGGCTGCTGGTGCATTATACCTCAATGTCACCAAAGAGCAGCGCATCCATCTTGATGGCATCATTGATGATCCTGTCAAGATCTGGGAGAAACTGGCCATTGTGCACGTCTCTAAGAAGCCTGGGACAAGATCTAACACCTATGACGACTTCTTCTCTATCAGAAAGAAGGAGGACGAGTCCCTGCAGTCTCTCATGACCAGGATTGACGAAGGCATGCATCAGATTCAAAATTTTTGTCCTACTGGCTTCTCATTGTCTGAATTGGACGATGAATTGACATGCATGGCCATGATTAGGGCGCTTCCTGATCAATATGCCCACTTCACTTCATCTCTACTGCTTCTGGGCACCTTGGATAAGACTCAGCTCAGGGATGCTTTCCTTGCTGAAGAGGTCAATCGCCGTCGTCGTGCTGAAGTCGATTCTGCCTTGCATTCTTCGTCTACCACTGCCAATAGCACCTGTACCCATCCTAACTGCCATCATTGCAACCAATCCACCACCTCTACTCGCATTCAGTGTGATTTCTGTGGTTTACTTGGTCATACCCAGGATAAATGCCACAGATATGTTATTAGTCGCCAACAGGCAGTGGAGGGTGCTAAGAATCGCTACAAGTGTGGAAATAAGACTCAGGCAGGCTCCAGCAACTCTCAGAATACCTCTCAGCAGCCCAAATCTTCGCCCAACAATGCCAATTCATCTACTGTGGTCACTGAATCAGCTGGAAATGCAAGTCTTCGTTCTATTCACCCCTCTGATCCTCATTGCCCTCTCCAACTTGATGCTGATGTTGATTGGAATGCAGACACAGGTGCCACTTCTCATATGACACCTCATCGTCATTGGGTGCACCACTATACCCCATATTGTGTGCCAATCAAGCTGGCTGATCACACTGTTGTCTATTCAGCTGGTGTTGGTACTGTGGTGTTTAATCCTGTGATGAATGGCAAAGTGGCTAGGGCTGTGGAATTCTCTAGAGTGCTCCATGTACCAGATCTTCGAAATAATCTCCTCTCAGTCTTGTATTTAACTCGTCAAAGTGGTTTCAATATCACTATTTCGTCTTATTCTATGTCCTTTATGCGTGACAACACTCTCTTGTTCACTGCAACTATCAATGACAACAATGCAGTATTCCTTGATGGATCTACTGCTGCTTGTGTTGAACTGGGACATTTTACTGCAACTATACCACTTGATTTGATGCTCTGGCATCGCAGATTGGCTCACCACCATCATGCTGATGTCAAGAGACTGATACAGAGAGATCTGGTCACTGGGCTTACACTGGAATCCAAGGCTGCTCCTGATCCTGTCTGTGAACCGTGCTTGTCTGGCAAGATGCATGCCAATCCATTCCCCTCATCTGATACTCGCTCTGCTCATCCTTTGGACCTCATCCATTCTGATGTACACCAAGTCTCTTCCCCCACATTCTCTGGTTATCGCTACTGGGTCACCTTCATTGATGATCACAGTCAATTCCGTGTCGTTGTGCCTCTCAAGGCCAAGTCAGATGTCTTTGATGCTTTCAAGAGATTCAAGGCTTATGCTGAGACTCAATTAGAGCGCAAAATCAAGGCTCTGCGCGATGACAAAGCGGGAGAGTACATGTCCAAGGAATTTGAGCAATTCACAGATGACCATGGGATTGTCAGACAGCATACCACCAGGAATCGTCCTCAGCAGAATGGTGTGGCAGAGCGAGCAAACAGACTTCTGACTGAGCGTATCACTGCCATGTTATCAGAGTCTGCATTGCCTAACAGCTTCTGGGGTGAATGTCTGTCCGCTTTGGTGCATGTCTGGAACAGGTGTCCCACTGATGCAGTGGCCCATGCCACTCCATTTGAGTTGTGGTATGGATGCAAGCCTGACATGTCTCACCTTCGCGTTTGGGGCTGCACT